GACAGGATACAATAATGGGTTTATTGCATTATGTGGAAAAGATTATGGTTTTCCTGAATTTCTGAGCTACCATTGTATTATTCATCAAAAAGTTTTAGCTTGCAAGAGGCTCAACACAAAAGACGTGATGGATACTACCTTCAAAATAGTAAACTCTATCCGAGGAAAACCTCTTCAAAGACGTCTATTTAAAATATAAATTGAAAACAAGGAAGTAGATTTAATTTTGCACACGGATGACTAAGATGGCTAAGTAGAAGTAGATTTCTTCAAAGATACCGTGATTTATTGGATGATATTGTTCAATTTTTGGAGGAAAGAGGTGATAGTTTTTCTCAATTGCGTGATGTTAATTGGCTTTGTGATTTAGCGTTTTTGGCAGATTTCACAGGATATTTAAGAGATTTAAATTTGAATTTACAAGGGAAAACAAAATAATCATTGATTTAATAAGCTGTATTGCGAAATTTAAGGCAAATGCATTAATTCTTATAAGAGATCTTAAGTAGAAAAAATGTTCAACGATTTCCAAACGTAGAAGACCATACTCGAAAATAACTCGACGTTATTTTTGATTCAAAAAAGTATGTGATAGAAATCAAAGCCGTTATCGATGATTTTGATATAAGATTTTGTGACTTCAAGAAACATGAAGATTTGATCCCATTTATCAGTTTTTAATTTAAAGAGGACTTAAATACCTAGATGATTGCAAAAAGAGCTGCACAGTTGTTTTAAATTGACGAATTATCTCTTGAGGATGAAATGATCAATATGCAATGCAACGTCTACTTAAAAGCTAGATCGTCAGAAAATAATTTTTGGTACTTGGTAAGCAAGGAAGAATTCCTCAATTTAAGACGATGTGCTGAGTCAATATATTTCTGCTTTGGATCGACATATCTATGTGAATCGGCCTTTTCGTATTTACTTCAAACCCAAAGTAAGTACCAATCGATCACGTTTGCCTGGTATGCATTCTGAAGATAGCTTGAGATTATCTTTGTTATCATTCACCCCAGAATTTGTAAAATTATTAAATCAAATACAAGCGCAAACATCTCATTGAATTATTAAATAAACATAATAATAGTAGTAATAATAAAAGTAGAATTATAGTTATAGTAGTAATAAGTTAAATATTATAAATTAATTAAATATAAATATATTAAAATAGGTGTTATGCTACATTGTGAAATTAAACGTTAATAGTACTTATTTATATTGTTAATAAAAAGTAATAAAAGAAGTTAAGTTACATATAATACATTTTTGGTTTATTTATTTATATACAACCTTTTTTTTTTTGCTCGATCCCGACAACCTAGAAAACTCAGAGGTCGATCATCAGTCTAATAAAGTTGGCCACCCCCGTAATATATCAATAATAGTGATGAGAATAATCAAATGATTAGTTAACGAAATCAAAATAATTGAATGATTAGTAAACGAAATCAAAATAATCGAATAATTCAAGATATAACTGCTTGAACTGGTTGTATAAATAATCAAATGATTATCTATAAGCGTGAAAGTATAATGGATTTTCAATCCAAATATTTATACTTCTTACACCAATTAGTGTGTCAATTACTGATACCGGGAATTATACCAACGATTAAAAATAAAAGGTACTTTTGTTATATACGGAGGCCATTTGTGTTATATTTATACCGTGCCGCCGCGCGATAACAATGTTTTTATGTGATCGTTGACTTTCGAAATTCAGTTGACTGTATTCCGTGCATGGTGATTGTCAATCATCGTAAAATAAATAATAATAATACACTACTAATGGACAGCCGACTTCTTAATTTACTCAATGGGAAATGAATAAAACGCGCATTTTTTTCGAATAATTCAATTAATTTGATTGATTGATTAATTAATTAATTAATTTGATGAATTTGTCTGGTACCTACCATTATTTGGATTATTAAAATCATTCGATTATTCCTATCACTAATCAATAACAATAATTCGATGTACAAATTGAACCGGAAACCGTCGAATGCGTCCCAGGTAAACGATTTTTTCCCTACTTTTCCTGTGTTCCAATTGCGTTCTATTGTATAATTGTATACTTGTTAAACGTTAAATACATCTAATATATTTGGCCCAAATGGTGTGCAAATATATTTAAACACAAATTGGTTTTTTACTTGATGAGTCACGAAAATTGTACCTCATGACCTGTACTCTTAATCGATTAATATCATTACAATCACGTAGTAATTTACAACTGTTAATATCACGATAACTGGTACGATAATTCTAAATATATGACCACAATATTCTTCAGAATTTAGTAGGTCAAATGAGTCGAGAAATACTTTAAAGTTTTTAGTGCGTTGATCGATTTCTATTGAGTTACTCGTTTTTTCAAGCACAATGGTACTTATATAGGTTTCAAAATTAAAAAACCCAACTCTTTTTAATTATATGTATTCGACCACCTGCATAATATGTATTTACTTACTCATTGATGAAGCCGTAAAAAAAGTTAAAAAAAATAAACCTATACTCGCCACACATTCAAAACATAACTGGACGGATGGTTTAGTGTTCGTCACGTAAAGTCAACTCCTGATTAGTACCTTAGACATCTGGTGGTGGTACTTGGTGAGGGCCATGGCAATTGGGAATTATTAGACCTACAGTTTATCGGGTACCGGTCCAACATAATATCGGCCCAATATCATGATATATATTGAGCGATATGATGGACGAATCGAGGAAGTTATTTTGCTTGTGAATGTAGGCATTCATAACATACGTCATACGATATAACGTTTCAATTATGTACTAAATTAATGAAATAATAAAACTGATTTTTGTAAACTACTGAAAAAAAAAATTAAATATCAATCGCATAACGTGAAAATGCGAAATAAATGAGTTTTGGATAACATTTTGAATGTACCTACTTATGGTACACAAAATTTTAACATTAATTCAATACTAAAAACAGTTCTTTTTTTTTTTTCAGTTTTCAACTGAACGTTTTTATATGTTCGATTGCTTAAAATTATTTCAAAGTTGTGCAGCTTAAGGAATAACAGTATACATTGAATTATAATTAATTTTTCTTCTTCTCTTTCTCGTCTTTTTTCCAAATATTTCGTGTTGGCCAACCATGTCTTGAACCACCACTAGGCTCGATTTCTACATTTCCTACGCACACACCAACGGCCCTCATATCATTCACAATCGTATCTAACAATCTCTGTTTTAGTCCAGAGCATTTTTTCTTCTTTTAACTATAATTAATTTTTCAAAAAAAAAAAATATGACTAAAATCAAATATATATTTACATAAAGCGGCACAACCAAGATTTACTTTCTGAAGGCTAAAATGTACTAACTAAAATCGTCCGTATGATTGGGGAAGAGAATATGAGCAGTTAACATTATATGATGTATGAATTTGAAAATTCTTAAAGATTGGTATTACTTCAAAGAAGTCATTTCCAACGTCTTAGGCACAAAACAAATTTAGCTAAATTGTGCAACATTTTCCTCAACAAATTATACATACTGCTACATATTCTATATTAAGTATTAACAGTTGATTATAATTATCAATACATTTTTATATAATATCATAAATTAAGATGGTACCATATCAAGCATTTAAGTGTATACATCTTTCAAATAAATATATTATCATAAAAATATTTAGACAAAAATATACTAGTTAAATGTTTATTCATGTATGTTATAAGGAATACATTATGGTTAGTAAAAAGCATTCTCATTATGAATACAGTATATATGAAGGTATAATAAATTATATATACGATTAGGTAGGGCATCTTTAAAATCAGCAAGACATAAAATGCGTCAAATGCAATTTGATTTTGGATTAGAGATGAGTTGAAAAATATGTAATATTGTTGATAAGTGTATCAACGATATTTTTCTAAGATTTGTGTTTACATAAGAGATTATCAAAATAAAAATGACCGCTAAAATTTAAAATTTTTAATTTATATAACAAAAATGAATGAAAATTACATTGCAAGATTATAAATTTATTTACGTTGAATAATCAATGCATAACAATACATTTATATTAAATTTTGAATCATTAAAATAATAAAAAATTAAACCGATTTTTGAAAAAAATTATATGAATAATGGTAATTGGTTATTTTAGTTAATGATAACATTTGAAAAATGAAAATTATTTTCATTAAAGAGAAATTTATATCTATCTATTATTGTTAAAAAAGAAATTAATACAATTATATAGTTGAAACAATATTAATCTACATTTTGTAGAATTTGGAAGATTCGCACATATAAAATTAATCGTATTTAAATAATTAAAACTATATAAGTAGAACATAAGATATATTGACAAGTAATAAATACATTTTAAGGTAAAAAAAAATGTAGTTTTCTTAATTTATATTATAATTATAAATGATTATTTACTTTAAAAATGTATAATTATAATTTTGTTACGTTTCTATTACAATAAAACACAAGTTTAACAAATTTTAATAAAAATCAGCCTAGCTTTAAGTACAATTAAATCATATGTTTGTTGAAAATATACTTAAACAATAAAAATACAATTAGTATGAAATTATAAAAACCATTTTTTTTCTTCTTTGTTTTTAATAAAAAAGAAGTAATGAAGTAATTATTTAAATATGATTAAAAACTAATTTTTGGTGAAATGCACCTTTTACATAATAATGTAAAATTTGCTACTGAAACTAAACACTTTTAAGGAATGTAGAAACTGATACTTAAATAAACTTATTCTTACTGAATACTAGGTAAACTTATATTTATTTTAATACGTATACAATTAATAATTTAATTTTTTTTTTTAATTACATAATGTTCTTAAATGTAAGTTATGCATAAGTATTTAATTTCATATCATATATAATAATAAAAATAAAAATAAAAAAAATGAATAAATTAATTTTTTTTTATTTAAGTTACAAAAAATAATCTCACTGCATTGAGATATTATTTGTAAACTCATTGATTGAGAAATTGTAATTATCATTTAATATCTTAATATATAAAAGCCAAATACATCAAACTAACTAATTGCATATTTAAACTTAATAAATATTTACAGTCCAACATACAAATGTTTTAACTTCAAACAATCATACATAACATTATTATCCATGAGTTGAATCATCTTCAACAAAATCATAAGCAACATCTCTTGTAACACATTCCACATGACTCACCTAAACATATTAAGAATTATTTAATTTTAGTTATATCTGCAATGTTTAAGCAAATTATAATAATATACCTTATTACGAAATTTAACTCCATAAAATTTATGCGCATGGAATAATAATTCGGGTCTGAATGTTGTAGTAATAAATTGGGCATGATCTGACATTTCGTGTATCATGTCTGCCACAGCCTTCCTATGTTGAGGATCTAATGCCTAAAATAAATCATAAATTCAATAAGTACACGTCAATACAATGTTCTAAATATTTTTTTATTTTATTTTTTGTTTTTGATGTTCGTGTATATTACAATGATAATTTACCTGATCAATCTCGTCAAAAAGATAAAATGGAGCAGGATCACATTTTTGAATAGCAAATATCAATCCAAGTGCAACTAATGATTTTTGACCACCAGATAATTGATTCATTTCACGCATTTCACTTCCTTGGCCAGCAAATGACACCTTTATCATCACTCCAGAATAGTTATCAATATTATCTTCCTGAATTTAGAAACAAATTATGATTTATTAAGATAATATATTTTCTAAAACAAATCAAATAAATTATTAATAATATATCTCATATTCTTACATCTCCAACACACGGAGTAGCAGATTCTTCACCACCAGCTGATTTCATTACTAATTGAGCAAATCCACCAGGGACAAGTTTGCTAAATACTTGTGTAAAATACATTGATACTTGTTTAAATGTAAATAAGATAGCATCACATTTTCTTTGTTCCAAAACATTCATGAGCTCTTCAATTTTTTGATGTCTGATTAAAAATAATTAAATGAATAAATATATGTATAGTTGAAGTATCAATAATTTAAATTACCCTCGATCAAGTTCTTGTTTCCTGGATACTAATTTCTCTTTTTGTTCTGAAAAACTAATAAATTGGTCTAAAGCTTTCTTGTTAACATGACCATAACGTTTAATATTGCTGTTAGCTTTTTCGAGTTCTTTAAACAGCTAAAAATTACATAATATAAAGGGCTTGTAAGATTTTAACTAACAAAGGTTATAAATTTGTAAAATGTCTAACACAATTTATATATAAACTCACATTTTTAGATGAATAAGACATGAATTTAGTAATGAGTTCAGTATTGGGAAGAGCTCCAAGATCACTTATTTTGGTTTGACATTCATCCAATTTTTGTCTTAGCATGTTTTGTTTTGTAGATACTTTAGTTAAATCTTTAGACTCATTGTCTAATTTTTCTTGAGCTTCTTTTTCTAACATTTTCCACTTCTCTAACTCTTCTTGGCATATTTTTTGCTAAATAACAATAAATAAATAAATTAGAAAAATAAGTCGAAATTCTATAGTTATTAGGATACATTATTTAAAATATTTTCAATTCAATAAATTTTCTAATTTTATTTAAAAAATAATCAAATGAATGTACAATTTCTTCAAGTTACAATACAGTGGTCGCCGCTTATTATAATTACGGTTAATATTATCAAACGTTCATTGTTATCGAAAAGTATAGTTACGGGCCGGATGTATACTTATATGTGTAAATTATGTCGGCTATTGTAATCAATACGCCGCATAATATTATCAGTTTGAGGTCAAAAATTATCATTATGTAGTTATTAGATAAAGAAAATAATGTCTAAGTTTTCGTCGAATAGCTCATAATTAAGATAAAAATGTCTATGCACATTGATATCATTTTTGTTCTTACACCATTCAGACAGTACCGTCGCTGCCCATCGACCATTATCGCATTTGTATACATCCGTGTCGCGTGTGCGTAAAAATGAGTGAAAAAAGAAAAAGAAATGACCTAACAATTTATGATAAATTGTCAATACTACAAAGTTACGACAATTTACCAAAAATGGGACAGCGAGAAGCAGCTATAAAGCTAAAAATTTCCCAACTGTTATTGTGTAAATTATTAAAAAATGAGTTGAAATAGAAAATTCAGCAACACTTAATAAAAATCCAAACATAAAGAGGATACGCAGTGGGAAAGAAGAACAGGTTGAATCAGCATTTTTATGATGGTTTATTAATGTTAGAAAAAAATGATGAACGCATTAATGGTCCAATATTGCGTCAAATAGCTGAAGAACTTGCAAAAAAATGGGTATAGAAAATTTAATTGCCTCAGAAGGATGGTTTCATCGCTGGAAGAAACGAGAAAATATTGTTTACAAACGAACGTACGGAGAACAAAAAGACGCGGATTTCTCGGCAGCAGAAAATTGGTTAAAAACTGAATGGCCAAAATTTACTTCAGAATATACGCCCAACAATGTTTATAATGCTGATGAAACTGGGTTATTTTATCGTGCCTTGCCTGAGCATTCTTACTTATTCAAAAATGAAAACGCAAAAGGCTGTAAGATATCAAAAGAGCGCATCACTGTCCTATGTTGTGCGAGTATGTCAGGTAAAAAACAAAAACTTTTGGTTATAGGGAAAAGTAAAAATCCTCGTTGTTTTAAATCTGTAAAATGTTTACCAGTTGATTATTACGCCAACACAAATACTTGGATGACATCAGTTATTTTTAACGAATGGTTAATAAAGTGGGATAAACAATTAAATAATAAAACCGTTTTACTTATTGACAACTGTCCTGCACACGTGGTTAGTGTGTATCTTTAAAACACATTAGAATCATATTTTTGCCAGCAAATACATCATTAATACAACCATGTGACCAAGGAATAATAAAAACCTTAAAATCATATTATCGCAAACAAATGCGGACAAGAATAATAGACAATATAGAAAATACAAATGATCAAGAAAAATTGTCTGCTAATGAATTAGCAAAACAAACTAACCTCTTAGATGCATTACATCTTATAACAATAGCTTGGGACCAAGTGACAGATAAAACAATACGAAATTGTTTTAAACATGGAGGTTTTGCAGAAGGTGTCGAGGAGGAAGAAGAATATGAAGAAGTAGAATTAGATTTTGAAAATTGGTTGAAAATCGATGAAAATATACCTACTACAACAGATTTTACTGAAGAAGATATTGTACATGCTTTATTACAAACAAATGAACCGGGAGAAATTGAAAATGAAGAAACAGATACTGAAAAACCTCCGAGTTCTTCGGAAATGAGAGAGGCTCTACGAGTATTACGAAGGGGAGTGCAACAACAATCATCAAATTTTGAATTACAATACAAATATGAACATTTTATCAATGATCTTTTAACGGTAAAAAAAAACAGACATCGATAAAAAAATATTGTTCAAGTTAATGGTAGTACCTACATATATTTATTTACATTTTTTTTTTTTAATTTTAAATTACCAATTTATACCTACATATATACTTTAATTAGAAATAAATAATAATAAATAAAATACATAATTATACGTTTTTTAATTTTTTCGTTTAATGTTATCAATCGGATTATGTTATCAGTTATGTCCCGTACCAAAGTGATTACATTAAGCGGCGACCACTGTACTTAAAATAAAATACAAATATGATATAACCATAATTACATAAACACAATAATGAATACCTTTTTAACAGCTTCTTGTACTCTTTTATCATCAATTTTGACTTCAGCATTTAATGCTTCTAATTTCTTCTTTACTAACTGTACTTCCAATCTGTTATTTTCTAATGTTCGTTTTCGCTCTTCAACAGATATTTCTTGTAATGCCTATATATATATATAAATATTTATTATTATAAGTACAATTTTATAAAAATAATACAATTCTTTATTTTAACAAACCTGCATAAGTTCATCTCTACGACGAATTAAATTGTTGGTTAACAAATTTTCAAGTTTATTTTTGTCTGCTTCTAATTTCATACGAGTAGAGAAAGCAGTCTTATTTTCTAGAGTCAAAGATCGAATATCATCGTTTAGTTTATCCATTTCTCTTTGGTCAGTAACAGAAAGTTGAGCCATAAGTTCCTGAGAAATAAGATTATTAAGAAAATAATTAAAAAGTTGTTTTAAATGTATAATGTACGAGGTTATGAACTTTATTGAATAATTTCTATTTATAACTAATGGTTTCAATTAATAAAATCTTATATAATTAATAAAAATATAATATTATAATAATTATTATAAACTAAATTTAATTTAAAAAATTAATACCTGGTGAAGTTCTGATTCTAATCCACTTCGAGTAGTCTGCATAGCTTCTAAATTTGATGCAGCTTGTATTAATAATCTTTCTTTGGTAGCTCGATATCTTTCAATCCCAGCAAGTTCTTCTTTCATAAGTCTTATATCTCCTTTTAGTTTATCGAAATTACCCCTAAAAATAAATATTAATTAGAAAAATATTGATTAAGTAAGTTAAATTTAGTTCTTACTTAGATTTACTATTTTTTGTTTCAGTCTTTTGCATGTCAGACACTACTACATTAACATTGACCTCCACTTCATTCAACTGAGTTTTTAAAATAGAATGTTCTTTTTCTGATTCTTTTATTTGATTTATTAAATCATTACGCTGTTTTTGTATTTCCAATTTTGAACGCATATTTTTAAAATAACCTCCTGTTAATGTTCCACTGGAAGAAACCTATATAATACAAACATAAAAATGTAAGATCATTTTATATAAATAATTAGTAATATTAGTCATAAAAGTTATATATACCTGATCACCATCTATTGTAATACAATCGAGCATACTTTGTTTAGATATTGTAGTAGCAATTTCAAGATTACGACAAATTAATGTCTTGCCAAATATAAAACGCATTGCTTTATCCAAGTGAGGTTCATATTTGAGCTTACTGACCATTGGGATAGCATCCTAGAAAACAATTTTGTCATTTACACACAAAAAGTTTTATAATTTCATTTAATTTTAAAATGTTCACAAACCCTTGACTGTGGATATCTTATATCCCTCACAGTTAATCTGTTTAAAGGCATGAATGTTACTTCACCAGGTAAATTTTGATTATTTATTTCTTTTAAAATCTGAGTACCAATTCTATCAGATTCCACAATGTGGAAAAACATTCTGAAAAATATAAAATATAAATATAATATATATTATATATATTATATATAATATAAATATAATCATACATCATTCAATTGGGGAAACATAAAAACAAATGCTCGTTTTTAAATTTTATTGAATCTCTTCATGACAAAAACAAAATTTGTACTAATTACTAATATTTTTGGTTACAAATACACATAGTATATTATAAACGGTACTAATTCAAGCATGTTACTTAGTAAAAGAAACTATAATATCCTAATTGTCAACACTACATCAGAATGTTTTATAATTCATTTAATCTAAAATGTATAATTAAAGAATATTGCAACATAAATATGACATAATATATAAAATGATACATCAAAATAGCTAAATCATATTGAATACAAAAAATCATGATAATATAAAGATAAATTTTAATGGGCTTACCAATTATTTAATATAATTTAAGAAATGTATCTAGTATACTCAAATTATTTTATGTAAATAGTTGTCAGGATATTGTAAGTAAACTTCCATTACAATTTTACAGAACACATTTTCGTTTTTGTTTATACCATAGAATATGTATGATTTATTAAAATTTAAAAAACAAAAATTATACAGAAATTTTAAATAATTTTAAATTGTATTTCATCATTCGGCATAAGTTTATTCTAGTTTCTAAAAACCAATTTAAATATATATAATATATAGACATACCCTAAACATTCTTCAAATATAACAAATATTTATCTAATAAGTAATTGTACTGTGAAACCTCTTTGAAGTGGACTCTTTAAATTCCATGGTATAAAAAAAAATTGGAAATAATAGAAGATCTTTTTTCTCAATTATAGACATTTTTTTATTTTTCATTAGAGCCCTATTAGGAGGTTTCTCCATATCACTAAATGAAATACTTAAAATGTAAATTAACCAAGATATAACTGGTATGTATATTTGATACTGAATAATGACTAATATAAAATTATGGATATTTTTAAATTACCTTCCACCAGCTGTAACTTCTACAGCTGTTTGGATACTCTGGTCACATTCAAAATTTTCAATTACTTGACCATAATATTGAGATGTAAGATCAAGATGAGCCCCACCTCTTTGTTTAAATACTTCTAAAACTTTACGTACGCTATCTCTTCCATTTAAAATTGCCTACAAAATTAAAGAATGATAATTTATACAAAACATACATAAATAAACATAATCGTAATAATTTCAAGTGATTAAAAATAATAAATAATAAACAATTTACTTTTCCAGCCATGCTACGGAGTGCTTGATCAGATTTTGCTAATTCTTCTTTGAGTGATGACAAACCATGCTGAACAGTATTTTCTTTGCGCCACAAGTCACTAAAAAAAGAATATATACTCTATTAACGTGTACAAGGACAACTATTTAAAATTATATATAGTATGGCATGGGTTGTATAAGTTAGAACTAAAAATAATTTTACAAAGAGGCTATAATACATGAGTAATTGAAGCATAAAATTATGTTGTAAATGGGACAGTCATTCAGTGTAAATTCATAGTAAAGGCTAAATTTTATTTTGTTTAAGAACATCATCTGTAATGTAGCTTTTTTTTATTATATAAAAGATCACTGGGGAGAGTGTAAATGGCTTTGATCAAAGTATGTATATCTACAACAGCCTATGAAATACATTAATTTTATGTTTGTTATTTAATTTAAAAGTTCAGTTCAAGTGAAATAATAGGAGGTAAATCTACCAATGACGGTTGTTCAGATACTACTATATAATACTATATATACAGATTACTATATAATATTACTATCTACTAGATTGTACTAATTGTGTAAAACTTATTTGTTAAGACCACCTAATAGAAATATGGCTGAAGTGTTTTGACATAATGTAAAGAAATTTCCTTATTTAAAATTGTATTTAAAAATATATTAAATCACATAACACTTTAGATACAATAATAAATATGTATAATAATAACTATGTACCTATATACAAATTTGTTTTTTTTTCTTGGAATTATGTATAAGAAATTAGTAAAATTAATAAAATAAAATATTTATATTGTTTAAAAAATGATTGTTCGATTATTAAGTATAGAACACATAACAATTATGTTGGGATAAAAATATACCTCACACGCGCGATACTTAAGAATAAATCCACGCGCGTGGTGAAGGTTTAAAGAAATAAAAATGTATATTATAATTAATTTAACATGCATATAATTCATACTCTTTAAAGGTATGAAAATGTAATACTTACTTTCTCTGACTTTGATGTTGATCTTTTGCTTTCTTCAATTCATAATAACGCTTATTATATTCATCAATAGCAACTCTTTGTTTTTCTAATTCAATTGAATTCATCTAAATTGTAGAATTATATTTTTAGAACAAAAATGTACATATGAAAAAAACTATTGTGTTATAAATTAAGTAATTAATACATCTTCAATAGTTATAACCAGGGCTCGGGACATATAGCACTTAAAATCATTAAAATAAGCGCTTAAAAACATCATTATAAGCACTAAAATAAGCATTTAAAAAATTTCAAATTAAGCAAAAATATTTATTCAAAAAAAAAACCTATAAAATTCTAAGTAAAAAAATCAAACAAAATAAAAATAAATCTTCACTTTCAAGACTTTAACCCGTCGTACGGCGCACGGGATAAATAATTACCCCAGACATATTTATATTGTGTATTGATAATAAAATAAAGTATTTAGGTGTTTGTTCTCATCAGTAGCCTTAAATAATACACCTATAAATATACTGTTTGTTGTTTCATGTTATTTTTGTAAATTTTGTTTTATCTATAACGTATTTAAGTCGTATACAGTGATATATGGAAATTATTTACCCCGTGTTTTTGTTTTTTAAAATCATAATATTTTTTAATCACTCTGTATACAATAGAATCTCTGTATATCTCTAAAGGTAGGTATCAACTACGTGCGGCAGCCACGACAAATGGATACCGCGTTGCCGCGCGAGCCAACTCAAAAGTTACCGCGTTCGAACACGCCGCGTGCCAAGCCAAATTGCGTCGGTATTTAGACATGTGGCAAAGGAGTTTCAGCTGATTGCTCGCGAACAGTTGGGACGGTTTTGTCGTTAAAATTCGTTCGCGGCATGATGGATAATGAAAAGTGTCTTGATTCAAATCAGATCGCTCGGGCGAACAGCTGGATCGCTTGCCGCGCGAGACTGCCACACTCTAATAAAAGTTGATACTTAAATATGGCTCTCGCGGCAAATGTCTGGTTTGCTCAGTGTTGCCAGGTTTCGAAAGAGTGGTAATCATATAGACTATTCAAAATTATTGTATTTGACAAGAAATTATCGTAAAAAAAAAATCAAATAGACGCGGAACTCATCCTTACTTATACAGAAATGTAGGCTAGGTTCACATGAAGAGCGTTAAACGCGCGTTTACAATTATGAATGCAGTTGTATTATAACACGCGTTTACAGCTTTCCGGCGCGTTGCAACGCGTTAACGCGCATTGTCATTCATCCTGTGTAAATTGTCTAAACGCACGTTTGACAGCTCTCATGTGAACTAGCCCTTAATCTATTCTATGCTTATAGCGTTTTCGATTTGACAATAATAGTATTATAATCACGGACCGTATCATAATCATTAGTCCGTAATCATAATACTGATAGTAGTGTAAACTGAAATTCAACTTCTATGTAAAACACTACACCAGTTCACTGGGTTTTGGTAAGATCGAATACGTTTTTTGCACTCACTCCGTTCGGTTATCAATATTATATATGGCAATAGAAAATGATAACTGATAAGTTAAAATTTTATTAAGTGAATACTGTTTTGCCATTAATTCAACAGTTAATAATTTTAAATTGAAACAGAATTTATACACGCTAGGTACTACACTAGACTAACAACACTACGATATACTAATACTAGACAATGGAAATATGAGTATCACGAATGCTGATTGAAGAATGGGTGGATATTAACTAATGAGCAATGAGTAATGACTATTGACTTCGGGTAACGTCGTAATGGTCTTACTATTAAAGGTTGATATTTGATAGTATTATATTATAATATGAATAATAATATATAGTAATATATATATTATAATTTCTATGGTATCTATCTTGGGAATTAATTTTATTTGTTCGTGTCACAGACATATAGAATAAATTCTTATATATCTGTGGTTCGTCTAATATTTCTAAGAACTTATAAGATAAGAAAATGTGATTTTGGTTATAAATTTAGAAAATATTGTTTTTTTTTCATTAATATCGATAATAATCAACTGTATAAATGTATAGTATAGAAGAGTAAATTTCAAAATTATCGTATTGAGTACGATCGTTATCCTTCACATCGGTGAGGGATCGAACAGGGAGCAATATTATCGTATTTCCCCACCAGGATCGTACCATCTGGCAACACTGGGTTTGCTACGGACGAACATGGCGTGCGTGTAGTCGATACCCACCTTCACAAGTGCCTATTTTTACACATATTACTTAGAAATGTTCAATGATATTTAGTCATAATACGGTGTTACCAAAAGCGAATATACTTGTAGTATATTGGTGTCGAGGCCATATTCACTACAGGAAAATACTATTATCTTTTTTAAAAATAGACTAAAATTAAATCCTATCGAATTATTTGATTCTTAAAATAAATATGAATAGCAAACAAGAAAAATAGATCAATGAAGTTCAAATTATAATATACTATAGTGAATAATAACCTTAGGGTAAAAAATTACCCCAGGCGCGTAAATGACATCCAAATGTGTGCGCCGTACGACGAGTTAAGGATTATATAGATTTTCCAAGTGATTTTTCTGAAAAATAAAATGTAAACTGTTCTTTCTGTTTTTGATCATTCTGACGTTTGACACTCAGTTCTATTTTCAGCGTTGGAATATCTTTGTTAACCCTACAACAATGCTTCGGGCGGCGGCAAACTATGCGACAACGTAGATAAGAAGAATTAATTTTATTTTTAATTCTATCAAAAACGACTTTGCAGGAGAAAACTATGAAAACGTAAAAATAAAAAACTGGTCAAATAATCAAGAATAATCAGAAAAACAAGAAATAAGCATTTTTTTTTTAAAAATTTCTGAAAAAAGCAAAAAAAGGCACTTTCAAATTTCATAATTGTACGTGTTATAACTTGACATACACTTCTATAGCACTCTGCTACATTTTAAGTCAATCCATAAAAATAAGCAAATGCTTTAACTCCCGAGCACTGGTTGTAACAAAACATTAAATATCTTATATTAAATTATTTCATATAGTATGAAAATTAAGACTTAGATTAATTAGAACAAGATTAGGTATAAAACAAATACTTGTATTTGTTGTTCTAATTCGCGTTGTCGTTCTGCATCACGTTTTAAATCATCCGTCAATTTTTCTTTATGATCATTCTTATCTTTGATTTGTTTATTCAAAGACCTAAGAACACAATGAAATCAAAATAATATACTAATAATTTAATATTATTAATAATACAAGCAATAAAACTTATAATTTAATTTAATAAGTTACTTTAGTTCTTTTTGAATCCATTTATCGCGGTCTTCTTTGGATGTAAATTGACTTCCTCTACCTTGTTTAGCATAAAGTTCTTTTCTTTTCTGTTCTTTTAAAGCAAGCCTATAATAATCACATAATTTATTGATTAAATTTAAACATACAAGCAAATAATAAATAATCATTATCTTACTCTCTTGTACAATCTTCTTCTTTCTTTTTTTGGGCTTCGTATTTGGGTTTTAAATCTTGAAGCTCCTCTTCTTTGGTTTTTATAGTATCTTGAAGTTTTTTTAATTCTTTTTCTGCTCTTTCCTAAAATATAAATTATTTAGGTTAATACAAAATATTAATATATTTACCCAGGTCTGATTTATTTTAAGAACTTACTTTTGAATTATTATCCCCTTCTACTTCATCAGATAAATCTTTAATACTGAAATCTAATTTAGTTTTTTGTTTGATCAATTCTTGTTGCTCTAGACTTAGAGTTTCTTTTTCTTCTTTAGCAGCTTGTACTTCTCGTTTAGCATCCCGCAAATGCTTAGCCGCTTTTTTGGCTTGATCAGAAGCATCTTTAACTTTAGAAGCAAGTCGTTTTTGTTCTTCATCAAAATTATTTATTTTACCATCCAACTAAATTTTTTTTATCATTTAGTATTATAATAAAATCAAAATATTTATTAAATAAACAAATTAAGTATATAATTACTTCTTCTAGCTTTCTTTTAGTTTCTTTTAACTCACGATCATGAATACAAAATTCCAATGTTCTTCTCTTTTTATCCCATACTTGATATTCTTTTAATTCTTCTTTTTCTTCTTCGAGAGTTTGTAATCGTTCTTCAATTGTTTTAATAAACTCAACAATTTTTTCCAATTTAGTTTGAGTATCTTTAAGTATAATTTAACATATTATAAATTAATCAAAATTATTAATAAATAAACAATTTAATTTGTCATGGCATGGTCTATGAGTAAATTTAAAGAAATAATTATACCTTTAAGTATATCAATTGATTCTTCTTTTCGTTCATCATAAACTCGAGTACCAGCTACTTCTCTTAAGAGTTTAAGTCTGTGAGAATCTGGAGCAGTAGCCATTTGGTTGATCTGTATAAAAATTAAAAATTATTCAATTTGATTTAAGCATAAAAGTTACAATCATTTTTATACCTTTCCTTGTTTAACTATATAATAGGGATTTGAATGAGAAAATCCAGCAGATTCTAATAAGTTAGTAACATCTGACCTTGGTACCATTTTTTTATTTAGAAAGTATTGATCTTTTTTAGCTCCAATTACACGTCTTAATACAACTTCTTCTTTTTCGATCTATAAATAAATGAATATAATCAAAAGCATTTAGATATAATTTAATAATAATATTTAAATTAAAATTTACTGGTAAACGATTATCTGTATTGTCGAAAATAATTTCTACATATGCAGTAACAACTCTAGGTCCGGTGCCTTCATGAAGTAATGCTTGTCTTTGCTCAGGGCGAAGATGAGAGAACTCATCACTAAGAACAAACTGTATAGCTAAAATAAACAAAATATATTTAACAACAATGTTATTATTATAGTTATAATATCTGTGAAGAATTTGAAAATATATTATAAATAATAATTTTATATTTACCATAAAAGAAGTTGCTTTTTCCTGATCCATTACGACCAACTAAAAATAATGAAAGAAATATAGTTATATTTAATTTCATAGTGAATTAATCGTAACTTATAATTTAATATATATTTTTTTTTTATGACATATTATTAAAATACTAAAAACATTTAACATTTTATAATGAGATAGAAATTTAATATAAAATTAAAAAAAATATTTTGTATACATACCAACAACATTATGTCTTTTATCAAATGGTTCAACAACAGTTTGCTCCCTATAGCTTTTGAAACCATGTATTATAACCTATAAATTACAAACAATAATGCATAGTATAATTTATACTAATCGTTATAAAATAATAAATTTTTTTAAATTTTAATTAATTTCGAAATAAAACAGTTTTTATAAAATATAAACAAAAATAAAATCATTAGAACATTAAAAATGTTTGATCAACATAAATGTACAATAAAGTAAGTAAAAAGAGTAAAAAGTTAGTTTCAGAAAATAATTATATTATATTATGTACTTCTAATAACTAAAATATTTTAAAATAATTATAATACTAAATAGAATTTAACAAGCAATTTAATATAAGTAATAAACTTAATTTAATAAAAATTCTTGATGTGAATTATCTTATGGCATAGTACTGACTATTACAAAGTTCAACTACTGCCGCATAGCTTATGGCTTGTCGGCTCAATCTGCCTCAGCACAGTGTTTTACTTCTTTACTCACACACTCAACCGTCAGTACGGTGATCCTCCTCTTCCTCGTGTGCTTTAAGCTATGTTTTCAGCACAGGGCAGCAAATGTTTTAAATGTATTAGGCAAAACTCATTCGACTAATACATTGTTAAAAATTAATTCTAACTAAAAATTAAATGGTCAACAGTTCTAACACCAAAAGAGTTAATATGTTGCCTTAATTGACACATTCAATGCCGCCCATGATTTCGGAGGTTACACCGTCACACCCCATTGATGGAATTAAAAGCTTTAATGATTTATAAGTTATTACATTTTTTTATTATTTTTTACAGTTTTTTTAAATTCTTGGTAGTCTTTATCTACATTAAATACTTGTAATAAATACTACTTATTAGATATTGGTACTTATGAAATAAATATTATTATCATCGACCATTTTGTGTACAATGCAAAATAAAATGAATTGTCCAATCCAGTATAATAGTAGTAATTTACATGATATAATATGTTAAAAATAGATCTTTTATACATTTGTAAATTTAAAGTACTAGTGTTACAAAAACTAAGACCAAAGATTAAATTAATTATAAAGTTTAATGTTTATGACCTATATGAGTTTATTAAAATAAAAATGACTGAATTATAACAGATTCAAAGGTATACGTTTCTGACTAGTAATTTTTATTTTTAATTTTGACATTAATTGAATATACATTTTGTAAACCAAAAATATTTTTTTCTAAAAATATATTTAAATATTTTATTTTTATTTATGTTATATTTATTTCCTTTAATAAATTATCCTTTCATGCATATTTTCTATATAAAATAGTTATAGTTAGCTCATTTTTTTTTTTTTATATTATAAGAATAATATTAAATTAAAATAAGAAATATTAAATTAATATAGTAAAGTAAAATATGTTAACAATCCAGTTTTCTGATTAGTTACCAATTGCTAGTTATTTACCACTGAACAAAACAATTAGAAAATTTCATAATTTCATAATTAAATGATAAGGATAAAATAATTATATAAAGAAATTAATCTATGCTATAATTTAAAAAAATCTTATTTTTCTTATTATGTAGCCTTACAACTTTGTAAGTTTTAGCTGCCACTGTCACCAATAAAAACAACTAATGTATTATAATATGTATTTCACATTATACAATTTAACGAATCATTAAAAAAAACATCAAAAATAAAGAACAATATTGAAATGCCAGCATTAATAAAATTATAGATAGTTATGATTATGTATATATTTTTAAATCATAAGTAGTATAGAAATATCATCCTTTGTAATCTAGTACGATATGGTTTTTACTTAACAATATAATAAGACAGACAATATTTATTCATTTAATAGCAAAGTCTGTAAGAAAAGTAAGAAAACAATTAGATAATAGTGAAAAACCAGAATAACTATAATGCTTTGATAACCTTTAGAAACAATTCAATAAGTAATTTGAAATAAATATACTCTTCAGATTGCTTTAAGACTAGAACGAACAATGTACATAAAATTATGAAAAGTAATGTTGTATTCAATACATTAACGTCGATGTGTTGAGGTGCACTAAAGACTTCATACGCAGAGGGAAATTTCATAAAAACGAACAGAACTCGACAAGAAAACCACAATAGGCAATGAGTATCATTGCAGCGATTACAAAACTTGTTTATACAGCACTGTGTGTGTGTGTGCCCGTGTGAAATATTGAAAAATCAACCAAACAACAAAAACCGTTTGCAATGATCAAATGATCTTACCTGTTTGATGTACATGGTGCAATATAAATGTTACGCTAAACGTGTTGATCTTTTTGACTAAATGAATTCGCGAAAAAACATAATTTGATTTGAGATTTGTTTCGTTCAAATAACAGGGTTAAAATTCGAGTAAACAAAATGGGATCCTCTGTGGTAGTTATTGGTGATAAAAAAGACGCGGCGGCGGTGCAAGAGAACGACGAGATCGGAAACGAACAGCAAACGACAATAGTCGTAAGCGTCACGTGTGCCACAGGCATTTTGCGCGCCCAGCAGTGGTGGGGTGGCACGGAACAATTATGGTAGAATGTAGAGTTCGTAGTTGTAGTGGTGGGCGAAATGTTCATCGGTCACAAAATAGTACCTGCATTTGCGACTCGCGTCGCGGTTTCAACGCGAAAAATGTGTTACTATTATTATTATTGTGTCTCATTGTGTTCGGTAGTACACTGTGTACTATTATGTTCATCCAATTTAAAAAAAAAAAAAATCGTATTTTGCATAGACATCAAGATGTAGTCGTCGCACTGCTGAAACCGGGAACAGACAAAAACTATGATTTTCTGTTCTTTCGTAGCTATAAAATCGATTGATTGATTGTTTTATAATGTACTTATATACAATATACATTGGACATAATGGTACACTTCAGCCCGTGTTCTGTATATATGCGATCCACCCCCATTGATCGTTTATAGTTTATAGATTGCACACGACAAACCTACGAGGTGATGCTGCGTTGAGGATGATCGTCGTTTTCAAAACAATCGGTTTAAGATATCGGGGATGATAGGTATTGTTTTTAAAAAATGTTTACACCGTTGCGCTATTCTGCGTTTTTTTAGAAATTGATTCAACATAATATTCGATTGTAACCTGAATAGGTAACTTAAAACTTCAATAGTTCTTATTTATTTTTTAATTTGTCAATCGCAGTGTTGTATTTAACTTAGAATATAGACACTGAACTATAATATAAATTATTACTTATATTACTTTGATAAAAAAACCAACTGACAAATTATGTTTAAAAACAGTAAGATAATGTTAGAGGAAGTTCGTCCTTTGTCCTTTCGGTTCTCGAATTGGATAATAGTAATGGGTGTGTTGAATTTTAAAGAAATTATCATAAATTTCTTTAATAAAATGATTTTGAGCAAAACCAATAATAAAAATACACCATTTATTATAGTTGCAATACATTTATAAGGCGAAACCAAACAATATTGAGTACTACACAGTGACAGCTCGTGGTTTGTACAATGAGACGATCGCACTACTAAAATTAATTAAATGAAGAAAATTAATTGTATTTGTATATTCTTAATTTTACATTTTTAAAGAAACAAATTTTAATAGTAAAATATTTAAATTATAATACATTAGTCGTGTGCGAACATTAATACATACACATAAGCGTGTGCAGACATAAGTGGCAGGGTAGTCAAACATAACACATTATCATTTAATATTAACAAAAAATTTGCATTCGTAACTTCATTTAACTTAATAACTATATTTCTCCAGTATTCTTACATTTTTTTAACGTTAACTAATGTTTCGAAGTGGTTGAAAATAATATGTTTATTTATTATTGTGATCATATTGAATATTTTGGTGAGGGTGGGAAGTTTCACTGAATAGTCAAGTACTTACCCTGACTACCCCGTGTGCACGCTTATGTACATACACGTACACACGTACACACGACCAGTGTTTGGACGACCGGCAACGTTGTCCGAGCAATATTTTGAATATGTACTTACCTATGTATAAGTGAGGCCTGGAATCATGTGCGTGCGGGTACGTTTAAGTTGTAATGTTATATTTGGGTTTGGACGACCGGCAGCATCGTCCATACTTTAAAATATTAATACTATACGGAGTAATCTATTTTTAAAATTAACAGCGTTGTCGATTGCTTATCGCGATTATTACTTTAATTTCTATTTTCTACTGCAACCTGCGACTAATACGACGTATATTGTTGTCATAGGCAGTGGCGTACATACGGTGGGGGGGTTAACCCCCCAGAGCCAAAAAAAAAAAATTATTTTATTATTGATGACATATAATATATTCGTAGTTTCATTATTACGCTTTGAACTTAAAATATACAACTATACAAATATTATGATAATTAAATAATTATATTGATAGGTGTTTGAAAAGTTTTGTTAACTATGCTGTTTTTATATTCCAATAGCTATTAATTTACTGTAATGTAAAAGTAAACTGTACATTGGTAAAAAAGTTATTTAAAATAATATCTATTTATAGCAGTTATTTATCTTATTTATCTGTGCAACGAAAAAAAAAATATAACGATTATTTTTGTTTCCCCCCCCCCCCCCCAGAGTAAGATTGAATGTCGCCACTGGTCATAGGTACGTCTTGTAAGTATAAAATATATTGTTTTTAATTTTAAATAGTTAAACATGTCAAATTCTGTTCATAATTTAATAAATATTTAATTTTCTTCACTATCGTTTGAAAAAAAATTAACCTTGAAAAATGATGGCAGACCTTTACTACAGTTAAAAGATTTAAAGACCAAATATAAAAAAAGGAAAAACTGAATATTTTCGGAATTATAATCCAGCATTATATATCAAAAATGAATGGTTATATGGATGTGAAATGAAACAAGCTCTTTTCTGTTTTTCTTGTTTACTTTTGGTGGTGAAACAGCTTGGACTAAAATATGAGTCACTGATTTGCAAAATATAAATGTAAAAATTGTTAAGCATGAAAATTCATTCAAACATATTCAAAATGCGACAAACTTGAATTTGTTAGGCAAAGTTGATATAAGACATCAAATTGATAATTGGTTTTAAAATAAGTATCCAACGCCATAACGAGTGGCGTTAGATTAGGTATATTCTAGATCTTATCGCTATGTTCTAGATAAAATTCTAAATTGTATTAAATTTTGTGATAAACACGAATTACCACTACGAGGTCATGATGAAAAAATATATCTTCAAAACATTCAGGACGTTTTTCGTGGAATTCTAGACCTTTATACTAATTTAGACTCAGTCATACGATGGTGCAGCGGTTATGAGTGACCAAAAATCTGGTGTTAATGTGAAGATAAAATAAAAGTACCCATTCGCATTTTTTATTCACTGTTATGCTTACCAATTGAATCTCATAATGATACAAGCAATTTAAAAAAATAAGCAAGTTCATATATTTTTTTCAAATTTATCTGAAAAACCAGTGTTTTTTTCTTATTCACCACATAAAGTATTAGTGTTAGATGAAGTAGTCGGTGTTCGTTTCCCAAGAGCAGTACAGACTCGATGGAACTTTAATAAAAGAACCGTTAATATTGTTTTTGAACACAAAGAAGACTTGATAATTTGTATGGATAAAATAATTGAAACGTCTTTACAAGCTAGGTAAAACAATTAATCAAGCCACTGGTATCAAAAGGCGTTTAGAAGATACTGATTTTATATTTTGGCTGAATATTTTACATAAAATTATGCCACATGTTGACTGTTTATATAGTTCTGTTCAAGCAAGAAAAACAGATCCCGTTCAAGTAAATAACTCAGTAAAATTATTTATAAATGAAATAAATAAAATTCGTGATAATATTTCATCAGTTTGTTCAACAGTTTTAAACCAAACAAACAAAATACATTCAAATAAAAAAAAAACTAGCGAAGACCCAAGTATTATGAAAATAATTATTGCTTTAGAAGTAAGTGATGATTTAATAACTCAAGCAAAAAGTAGTTTTAATTTTAACGAACATCTAACTACAGCGTTGCTTTTTCAAAATTAATATTACCCAAAATTTAACAAAAAATTCCCAATTGATTATTTACAAAAAACTATAAATTGCTATTTTTTCTTCACAAAAGAACGTTTAAGAACTGAACTTGAGGTTATTTATAGCCGTGATGATTTTCGTTTTTTAAAAGGAATTATTCCTACAATTGACTATATAATATCAAATAATATGAATGATTTATTTAAGGAAGTACTTAAATTACTTAAACTATTAATCGTCATTCCGATGATATCGTCGAAAATTGAACGCGGATTTTTAACGTTAAAAAGAATTAAAACCTGTTTGTGAAGTACCATGGGAGAAGACAGACTGAACGCTTTATCTATTTTTAGTATTGAAAGTGAAATGATTGCAGAAGATATAGAATTCAATAAAAAGGCCATCGAATAATTTTTTATTAACAAAAAACAGACGGACAGATTTTGTTCATAAAATAACACTATAAATTAATTATTTTCAAGTTATATAATCGTGCAATGCTATAATAATATATTAATATACTATGACAATTGTATGAATAAAATATTAAGTTTTAAAATAATAATATGTATATTGTGTTTCATTTTATTCTATTTAATTTGACACCTTGTTATACTTATAACTAGTGATATTAAATTTAAGGTCTTACCCCCTCCACCAGCACTCACAAGTCGCCACTGATAATATAATTTTTATATAACTTTTAATATATTGAGATGACTAGTGGTGTATACAAGGGGGTATGGACAGGTCCGTCCCTAGGGCAGGGCGAATGGGGCCCTCGCTCCGGGTCCCGCGCTCTCACCACAGTTAGGACAGGCCTTGTTTTCGTAGATTATAGATATAATAAAAAAAAGTTAAATTGATAAACAAAAAAAAATGTACATATCATTTTTTTCCATGTAAAATTATTATTATATAATTAATTAATTAATTAACTTATTCATATTGTTGTAAGTGCAATGTACTATATTTGTTAAGACTATTTGCGCACATTTGAGTTCCAATAGTGACATTTTCGATATTTAAGGTCCCGCCATTTTACTCTGCCCCGAACCCCGCAAATCATCAGGATGGTCCTGAATATAGAGATCTGATCCTCCCTAGGCCTTTTTTTAAATGTCATAAAATAATATTCTTAGTGTAAGGGCGTTAGTAACGTAAAAAAAAAAAAAAAAAATAACGATTTGTTTACAAATGATCCAAGTTTATGAACAAAAGTTATGTATACCTACGCCACTGAAGAAGACCATAAATGGCCGGCAATATAATATTTAAAAAAAATGTTGTAAAATAAAATATATTACATATTATATGTGTTGTTAATCGATTACGATTAAAAATATACTTTAAGATAAAATGGTCGAAATTAAAAATTAAATAATACTACATTTTCTCTAAACGTCTAAGCCGGTACATATGAACGTCCCGAAAATTTTTTCGGGACGTATGACAACCCTACCATTTATATATTTTACTATTTTTAGTCTGTAGATTCATTTTGGTTTTTTTTTCAATCTGTTTAAAATTTTCTTGTTTGACAAAAGATATTTTTTTAAACAAATATTCAAAACATATTCTGTTATCGTATACTCTGATCAAATTATACGTATAGATACAAACACACAACTTGTAAGATTTAAAATTACGCATTTGTTTTCCTTAGTAGTCGTCACATAATCACCACAAAAGACCTTTTATTTACGTGTCTTCTGTCATTTATAAATTCGTTTAATCTAACAATTATTGCTTACAAGCTCAATAACATTGTTGAATATTTAACAATAGTTTTTTTCATATTCTTAAATTTTATGTTAAACTATTTCCTAATGCAAAATTAATATAGTTTTATTAATTTTTCTTATACTTTCTGTGACCTGAATTTATTGTTATTAATATTACACTGTATCCGAAGTATAATTCTGATCTGACGGACCAATTATTTTTAAAAAAGATTTGAAGTTGAAAATGTATGTACAAATGGTTAATTTTGTAATAATTGTATACAAATTGAATTAACACTTATAAAAAAATGTATTGATTTTTATTATCATTAGGTAAATACTTGAATAAAGTGATTTTAAATTTTCAAGTTTTATTATCCAAAAATAAAAATATTACCACGTTTAAACTTTCAAAAAATGAGATATTTTCAAACTTACATGAATTTTTTGCTTAACTTGTTTTGAAAATGCTATCAAGTATAAAAAAGAAATGTCTTTGATGTACAATAAAAGTTTTAAGGTTCTAACCACATTATTTTTGTGAATCGTAACTAAATAACTAAAATCTAAAAAGTGAAAGTTTTGTTTACAGCGTGATTTTACCGTTTTAACTAATTTTTTCATCAGTTTTTCTCATGTTTTCTCATTTGTTGCTAGATGAAATTTTTGGATCAGAATTTCTATCCAAAAAAGTTTTTAAATAAAAAAATAATCACTGTAAAACCAAAACATTTTTCAATTCACTTAGAATCTAAAATAATTATTATAGGTAGATATTTATTTGTTATATGGTAGGAATTAAATAGGAAAAATAAAAACTTTATTTACATAATAATACTTAAGCCATCAATTAGGATTTTATTTTGCTCAACAATGAAATTTATTAGTTGTACAGAAAAACATATACATTTGAGAGCATTCAAAATAATTTAATAGTAATAATAAACAATATTAATAAATCATAATTCACTTTTTAATTAAAAATGCATCTTCATTTAAATACTAGATTTTAATAGATTTTTCCCATTTAGTATAAGATTATCTATAAACATATTAAATAAAATATTTGAGTTATTTAGACATATTTTCATACAGTAAGTATTATACAAAATCATCCTGTAATAAAATTAATTTAAAGTAAATAATTGAAATGGATCTTGGGAGATTAATTCATTTTTCATCTCTATCTACTTTTAAATAGAGACAAAATATTACATGAATTATGAGTGTGGTAAGTTGACGTATATTAGGTAATATACATATTTTTTAAATTTTAATCAAAAAAATGTATTGACATTGAAAAGAATATATACGAGTATATATATATTATATTTAATTTAATATATTTAATATTTAAATCCTTCAATTTATGTATTATATTTATGAAAATTATCTGAAGTTACTTCTTGAAATTTAAATTTAAAAGAATATTATTGTAAATCTTACCAAATATGTTAACTAACTCCGAGACAGCCACTCTATTTATGTTAAACATAATTGTTTCATTTCTGTAAAAAAAAAAAAAAAAATATTTAAGAAAATAGCAATAAAACAGGATGGTAGGTATGTGATTTATGTATCTCGCTTCACTCACTCTAAATCTGAATAATGAAGTATTATTATTGATTACAATAGTATATTATTTATAATCAATGATATTATTAACTTTAATTGGGGGTAAAAAAAACATAGTGAGTTTAATAGTCTACTTTTTTAATATTATCAATGAAGTAGCTTAGGATTAGTTCTGCATAAAATTTGTTATTTGAAAAAAAATACAAACGATTGCTCAACAAAATTTCATTTTCTGTTTTTTTTTCATTTTTTCCAAACATGTCAGAAAACCAATGAAAAGATAGAAATGTCATCTGCTAAAAGTATTACAGTACCTAATTATTATGTCAAATTTTTAATCAAAAATACTGTGATCAGTGCAAAAATTTTATTGCAAATTTTCTACTCTTAAGTTAAAACACAAAAAAATAAACCACATTGTAAAACTAAAAAAGCAAAATACAATCTATAAAAAACAGTACCTACTTACAAAAAATGATTAAACATTTGTAGTTGTAAATAATGTAACTGATAAGTAATAAATACCTAGTAAATATATATTGTACTTTACCTACTATTTTACATAATTTATTGCAGTATAATATATAAAAAATATATATACAATACAACTTAAAAATAAAACATTAAAATTAAGTGAAAGTAGAATAGAAAAAAATGTATATAAATTTAAAATGACTTACTTTTTAATTTTTTTAATTATTTCTATTTTACATAGAGCATCTAATGCAGATTTGATTAAGTCTTTAGTTAAACCATAAGGATGTATGTGTAATTCTTCAATTTTTAAGTAAATTGATTCATGAATATATTCTTCTGAAATTATATTTTGTTGTGTCTGGAAATGAAATATATGAATACATAATTCATCAATATTGAAAACATAACAATTGATCACAATAGTATAAATTACTTACATTTATCATACAATTATAGATGAGTCGGTAACATGATACATAAGGATTAATAATTAAACAACGAAGCAATTCTTTTTCTTTTTCTTGTATGTGTAGATAAATTAAAAGACTGTATTTAAAATCCTATAATAAAAATAGAATAAATTAATATTGTGATACACATTCTAGCACCTAAAAATTACACACTGATACAAACATCAATGAGTATCAATTGCAAATAATAAGAAGTTTTTTAAAAAAAATAGATGATTTTATTAAAACCTAAAAAAATATAAAACATAAGTCTCGATTTTTAAACATGCATTGCTGATACTGTTTTATGAACCAATTCAAATTTTCTTTAGATTGATGAATTATTTTTTTAAGCATACCTATTTCTAAGATGATGGATCTAGACTTTGTCTTCAAGATAAAAAAACTTCTAAAATAGACACTTTTAGGTAAAATTTTGTAGGTTTTTCTTATTTATATTATTAAAAAAAGTATTAGAGGTATTAGGTGATAAAATACAAAAAATATATACCTTTCATACCTTATATAATTTGCCTGTAACACTTTGTGGTATCAAATACTGTCTCAATTAGTGATGGATAGCTTACACTATACTTAGATGTTTCCAAAACTATTCATCTGATTTGCAAATTGAAATTTTTCGCGATAAATCATGGGATATATTATTTAAAAATTATAATAGACAATAATGCAAGATGATTAATTATTAATAAATAAATATTTTTTCAGAATAGAAATTGGAAAATGTATATTATATACTTAAACAAAATATTATTTATTAGGTAAATTTATAACCGGTAAGCTGAGGACAATATTAAATACAGAAAATGTTAAAGGATTATTGACCAAGGCAACTAAATATATGACGTGTTCTTAAATAATAAATTATAATAATTAGTACGAAATATTGTTAAGCGGTAAAAGATTTTAAATACTCAAGATACATCATAATATAATATGCTATATGTAATTACTATACATACTTGCTTTTCACAGCCATCGAAAAATACAAATTCAAACTCAAATAGTTTTCTTAATAAAATAAACTTTCTTTCTAAATCCAAGATTTCTAAAATTAAAATATTTTTAAAATTATTAATTAATTTTAATACAATTAAATTAATAAAATTATTAAATTATATTTAAATTAATAATACTCAATACAAATAGAACTCAACTATTTTTATTTTGTGAATATATAGGTTTATACATGTGAAATAAATGTTTATCCTTAAAAGATAACTAACAAGTATGCTAGTGCATCACATATTGTGGAATTTTATGGTTTATACTGTTCAGTACCAATGAATATAATCTAATGACTAAAAAATATTATATTTTTGAATAGCTGAACATAATTTAATAAAATGTCTAGTGAATTATGTTTACATATAGAGAGGTTTTCGAGCAATAGTTAAAATTATGCTAGAGTCTTATTAAATGCTAAGTATTTCTTCATTTCTTCATAATTAATACACCACTATTATAATTTTATTAAAAAGGGTAAAAAATAATAAAAATAGGTACCTAGATCTTTAAAATAAATATAACTTACCATTTTTCCAAATTATCTGACATTTTGATACTATAAGTATAAATCCAATATTTATAATAAAATGTAATGATGGATTAACATAAAGCTGATTTAAGATCAATGGAAAAGCATAATCAAACATTTCAGCTTTTAGATTTAAATTTCCTACAATTATAAAACAATTATTTCTAATTTATAATAATACTAATGTTAATTTTTTTTTATCTTTATGACAAAGATGTAGTAATATGCACTAATTTTAATGTTAAATATTTACTAATATATACATTATAAATACAAAATATATAATAATATTATATAAATTATTCATAAATATATAATATCTTTGATTATTCATACTATTTTTGTTTTTGATACAAGTCAGAAATACTAAAAGACAGTCTGATAATTACATCAATAATTTTTTTTCCCCATAGTTGTGCAGATAATAATTAAAAATAACTAAACAATATTAAAATTAAAAGCTTAAACTTAATGAAAAACTAACGAAATGAGTAAATTTTAATATAGCATTGACTCTAAACTTACAAATTAAATTCTTAACACAAGAATATAAGTGATGTATATTATCCCAAATATGAAATACTTATTTTTTTCTTGTGAATATACATTTTTCTCAAGTGAAAATTATAATGAGAATTACAATCCTCATGATAATGAGGAATAGTCAGTCAACGAGTAAGATAAAAAACACTAAATAAAAACCATCTTACATTTTCAAATAATTGAACATACATAGTGTACCTGGTAAATTTATCGGATAAATATTATTATTCATAGAATAGTTCTTCTTAAATGTTATTACATTATCCTTTAACATAACAAAGTTTTGATGAAGTTGAATGGTATCAATAATTCTACTTTTAATATCATACTCTGAAATATATAATGTTTTATTTTTTTTTAACCAAATTTTTCAATTATATTTTACTTTTTTTATTTTACAAATATTATCTCATTAGTACCAACAATAATAATATTTGTAATTAATAGTCAAAAAACAAGTATCTATGCATATTATACTTTAACAGATAGGAACTAATTATTAATATTATTGACAGTTACCTTTTGCTTCAATTTGAGCCCCACATTTTTTAAATAATAAACTTATCCAACTTATTTGATCAATTATTTTATCTAAGGGAATATCATTGGTGTTATTTTTAGATATGTTGTAAAGCAACGCAACAGCTAAAATATTAAAGTATGATAAAACCATACTATGTTGTTGCCTACAAATATGTATTTGATTATATTATGTCCGAACTATATTATAACTTGAATATCAATAATCACACTTGTAATTTACCTATAAATAATTTCATGAGCAATTGTTGATATTATACGAGTTTCATTATTGTCTTCATTAATATTTATATCATTTATGTATTTTTGAAGTGAAATAGGAGTAGCAAAGTTAATATAAATATTGCCATAATGATCGTCCATGCTTTTAATGCTATTTATCAATCCCTAAATAATAAATAGTAATTTGTTTTTAATTAAAAGATTAATTATTCACTAAAAGAATTTAAAAACAATCATTTAAATTTTCAAATATATACATGCTAACAGCCACTTGTTAAATTTGGATTAAAAAATCTTATTTTAAATAGGTATTAGACATTTTAAAATAAATTAAAATAATCCCTTGGTCTGATTTTAAATATTTATAAATATAAAAGTAAATAATATATATATAAATAAATTATATAAGGAATTAGACTAACCAAAGTAGTTTCTTTTGGTTTGGGAATTCCAAGAAGTTCATAACAAAATAATTTATCTTCAAGAAGGTGATCATAATTAATAGAAATTGGAATGATAATTATATCTTGAACTTCACTTTTTAATAACATATTTATAATACACTTAAGTATTCCTGAAAATTATTATAATAAAAATCACTTTAATCATTATCAAAATTAACCAATTTTATTTTTCTAACACATTAAAAATATTCTTTAAAATTTAAATAATATAGTAAGAAATTACCTAACTTTGGATGAATTGATTTATTAGATCGACTGCGTGTACCTTCAATAAAAAACTGTAACGGTGAACTTTCAGTAGTTACTAAATATTTGACATAAGTATATAATACTGATCGGTATATAACATCTTGAGCACTTTCTCCTCGATGTAAAAAAAAAGCACCACATTGTTTCAATAAATTTCCCATTACTTTCATATTTTTAAAATCTACAAAAATGTGTTTTTCAGAATTAGTTTTTAGATTACAATTAACTATTTAAGAGTTGCTTTGTTTTTAATTATGCAGGAGTAATCAATTAATCAAATCAATAACAGGAACAAGTTTTAATTATCTACAAAAAATAATATAACACAATGAGACAAACAAAAAAATGTAATAATAGTAATAACAACACAGTAATACAAGTTACTGGAGATTATAATGAATCATCTCTAAAATAAAACATTAAAATTGTTATTATTTTTTTATTTTAAATGTATTTAAAAATTATAAATCAAGTTTCAAAAGTCTCTAAAATAAAACATTAATATTCTAATTTTTTTGTTATTTAAAATATATTAAAAAATATGTATCATTTCAAAAAATAAGACACAGGTTAGCAGGTTTAGCAAAATATAATACAAAATCTTTGAATATCTAATATTGTATCAACTAATAAAATAACATAATTAAAAATAAAAATATATAATTAATAAAATTTAATAAAAAATAACACAATATTATAACAACCAACTGTTACTATTTTTTCTACTGCATCATGCATATATTAATAATTATAAAAGTACCCATTGCAGCTGCAACATATGGAATTTCAATGTTGTAATTGAAGCAAATGAATGCCATTAAAATAAAATCTTGGTAACTCCTGTGACTTGGAACAAATATCACTGGAGTATTGTTAAAATTAGATTTTATCTATTGTTTCAAAAACAGTAATTATATAAGTAGAAATAAAAGATGACTTTGATTAAAACTTGGTATTAGTCTCATTCATAAATAAAGAAGAAAATAAACTAAAAAAATGTTTACTGAATAAAATACATTTATACGGTATAACAAATTAGGGAAATAAATATTTTCAATACAAAAATGTATATACTTAGTAATTTACATATTTTGTTAATAAAAAGTTAAATAATATTTTGATAGTAAAGAAATATTTAATGACACCTAATTTAAATACATGAAATTCATATTTAGTAGAGTATATATGGTTATGGTTATAATGTATTTGTAGTAAATCTATCATATTACCATCATCAATGTTCGTTCATTTACATATAAGCCTTGAAGTTTTGATTTCAGAATTTTAATTAAAATGTATCCCATCATTCTAATGGTTATATTTTTTTTGATACTTTGAAGATCATTAAGTATTTCCAATGCTTTGTTTGTAGCAAAATCTAAATTAATACTGTTTGATGGTATTACCTGAAAATGAATAATCATAGTTAAATTATATGGTAGTAAATTAATTTTTTTTTTAATACTACATAAAGATTAGTCAAAATCAATGTAATGAAATGTATGAATAGATGATAGTGAGATATATAACTACAGAAATCCAACGACCTAATAAAATCTAGTTAATATACACAATTAATCAAAACTTTTTTTAAACAATTTATGAATATATATTAGTAAATATGTTTTTCTACATCAGGTGCAGAAATTCTTATAAAGAATTGAGTAAAATATTTCAGTAATTAAAATGTATAAATAATACTAATTTAGAAATTTAAAAATAAATGTTTAACGATCTTATTATTATCTAACAAAAACAAAATAAGAAATATGAAATTCTTAAATAATAAATTTTATGATAATTACCTCTTGAATTGTTAATTTTATGTTTTTTTCAAGTAATTTTCTTTTCTGATAATTCGATAAATATTTATATCCAGATGTAAAGGATAATTGTTCTGTATTCAAAGACTTCAATACCCATTTTATATCACTTGTAGTTTTTAAAGATGTTAAAATATTTACAAATAAATTTTGTTCCAAAGTCTTAATTGAATTGTCCCTATAGGCCACAATCAATTACAATAATAGGTTGAAAATATATTAGTAATAAATAGTAATAAGTTTCAATAGCTGCAAGGCTATAACGGTAGTAGCAAAGACTCTTGGAGGGTCATAAAGCCAAGAAGAATTATAAAAAGTTATAAAAGTCAAATATATATAGCTAATTTGATTATCAAGGCTTACTTAAAATAAAATTAAAAATAACAAAAATATGATTTTATATTATTTGTTCATCTTAATCGATTATTTATTTGTTTTAATTTAAAATAATCCAGGCCCAATTATTTGTACAATTTCGAACTGCGCACTTGATTTTACTGCTTTAAATGAAAATTTAGTTTCGCTACTGTCTTAGAAAAAGGAATATATTACATACATAATTTAAAATATTCAATAATACTCATATTTCCTAGTAGTTGGCTTATTATTTAATTTGTTTTGTAGACCGTAGTGCACACTTGTACATTCGTGGTGCACATAAAAATAGGTTAGGTTAGAAATAATCAGTTCATTTTTAGTTGAAATTTTATTATTTAGTAATTTATTTTTATTTTAACAAATTATAACCAAGCAAACAGAATCAAATAACATTTAAAATGTCATAATTTACATAATTAAATTATGTCTATTAATTTCTAAGTCAGTACAAACTTACATTTTAAATATAAATGTTATTAATATTCAAGAATAAAAATCTCCGAGGTATGATTCAAAAACGAAATGTTAATTAGAAAATAGTATATTGTCGTGTGTATGTACTGACTGGCATGTGTGTCGGAATAAGATGAATCATTTACTGATGAATATGAAAACGTGTAGAAGGGAAAAACAAATATGTTTAAAGCCGGCTCGATCAATACTCGGTGTTTTTATTTTTCTTCGTAATCATAATGATTAAAAACGGTGATAACATGTTATCGATGTGTCACGGATACAAAGCAAACGATATCTTGCGTCTGCGAACAATAATAATAATAACATTTTTATATTAATATTATGTTAATAATAATAATAATAATAATAATAATAATAATAACATAATATTCGTTTTAAGACTTTGCATTCACAAGTATTGATAGCCAGTGGCGCCGAACTCTAAAAAAAAGTTTTGTTGTCAAATATTTTTTATACAAGGTAGGTACTTCCATGTCCGGGGATTGGACTGACGAGCTACCGAGAAAATCTCGGTGGTCCGCTCAAATTATGGGACAGTCATGAAAGTTTGGGCAGATATTTTTTTTTGTATGATAATAAAAAATTAATACAAACATTAGTATAACATATAATTTTATTAAGTTATTTAACTTACCTACAGTTGGAATAGGTGTAGTTAAACGGTAGAATTCGAATACGGTTGTTTCCAAGGCGTTTTGTATAAGGGCATTTATTCACATTTCAAGTCGACAACCCGGATGAAATATTAGTTCTTTATTAATACGCTTGAAGCAATAATTGCGTAAAAATAAAAATAAAATAATATATGTAACATAGATATAGTTCAAACAGCTCATGTAGGTACCAATATCTTTAATTATTTGCGTCTAAAACTGCAGCTTCTTTGTACCGTCAAATCAAAAATATGCATGTTACACAAGCATTGAAAAAAAAATCAAAAGAATTTTAAAAAAAATATTCAGTCAACGAATAATTTTATACAATAATGTAATGCAAAGTTAAAAAAATTGTGTACAATACAATTAAAAAAAATTAATTCAAATTAAATACCTGGAAGTATTTCGAGTTAAATTATTATATACCTACCTACATAAATGGCCAACAATTAAGCAAATTACTGCAATACAACTATTCTATATTAATTATTTGTTCATAGTTGTATAACTAGTTTACTTAATATCGATATACCTATTTCTATAAGTTATTTGATGTGGTTTTTAAGTATATTGTATTTTTATGATAATCTAATACCTAATAGAAAATACTAAATTAATTATGTTATATTAATTGTTATTTAATTATTTTTTATGCACGAACAGTGTTATTAGTAGACAAGGCTTTAGATACGATCGACGCGTTCGACGGTACAGGACGCCAAAATCGGAAGGGCGCGTGAGAGGCCTTAACATCAGAATTAAATTTAATCAATCGTTGGCGACGCAAATTATCTACTATGGATAGAAAAAAAATTCATTAAGTGATTCAATATAGATTTGATTATTATTATAATTATCATTATTTATTATTCATCGACATGAAAGGATTGGTCACGCTTTTAGGTACAATTACAGTTCTATAAACTATTCTTACATTATTACAAGTATTATTATGTTTGTTCTCTGAATGATTTACAAATATGTGGCAAATATGCACGTTTGAACAATTATTTTGAGCATTTATGATTATCAGTGGTGTAACCAGAACTTTTAATGCCCGTGGCTAAATAATCTAACAGGCCACTAGTTTTACAAATTTGGAAAAAGGAGTTATAATGAATTGCCTACAAAAAATAACCACCTACAAAATTCTGCCCTTTAAAGTTACAAACGTTTAAAAATATGTTTAGTGTAATATTATTTTTATAATTTTAAATACTTTACATTGAAAACTAAAGTGCAAATAAAATTATAATTTTCAATTTGTTTTTTAATCCCTTCAGCTTCATTTCGTTCATCTAACTTCGAGCGGCAAAGCATACATTTTGTTAAAGCTTTTTGAGTTTCAGCAAATCTAATTTTAAATGCAAAAACTGCATCATAACGACCAACTATATATAAAACCAGTGCTCGGGACTTATAGCACTTAAACTCATTAAAATAAGCGCTTAAAAACATAATTATGAGCAATAAAATAAGCATTTAAAAATTTTAAAATCAAGCAAAAATATTTATTCAAAAAAAAAAAAAAACTATAAAATTCTAACTAAAAAATCAAATAAAATAAAAATAAATCTTCACTTTCAAGACTTTAAGGATTTCTTGGATTTTCTAAGTGATTTTTGTGAAAAATAAAATTTAAACTGTTCTTTCTGTTTTTGATCATTCTGACGTTTGACACTCAGTTCTATTTTCAGCGTTGGAATATCTTTGTTAACCCTACAACAATGCTTCGGACGGCGGCAAACTACGCGACAACGTAGATAAGAAGAATTATTTTTATTTTTAATTCTATCAAAAACGACTTTGCAGGAGAAAACTATGAAAACGTAAAAATAAAAAACTGGTCAAATAATCAAGAATAATCAGAAAAACAAGAAATAAGCATTTTTTTTTAAAAAATTCTGAAAAAAGCAAAAAAAGGCACTTTCAAATTTCATAATTGTACGTGTTATAACTTGACATACACTTCTATAGCACTCTGCTACATTTTAAGTCAATCCATAAAAATAAGCAAACGCTTTAATTCCCGAGCCCTGTATATAACTATAATGGTGATTTGTTTTTGAATTTGCTATAATTATTCTTGATGGGCCCTCTAGAGTCGTGGCCCGTGGCCCATTGCCCGCCTGCCACTTTATCGGTACGCCACTGATGATAATGCATGCTAAATATTAAGTTATAATATGTTTAATGAAGCCACTCCAGCTCCCAAAATTCTGACTGTTTAAGTTATATGTTTGTCGTTTAAGATGAAGAATTGCTAAAATAATTCTTTCACTGAGCGCTGAAAGACCTAAAGCCGACCCTGTTAGTAGATGGTAGGTACCTTTACATTAGTGGCATAATTAGGGGTCGCGAGGGGTCGCACTTGCGATCCCAAATATAATGTATGGGTTGCAAAAGTATTATTTTGCAACCCCTAAAAATTTCATATTTATGGTTTATCATTATATAATAAAAAATTTAAATAAGTAATTATTTAATTAAATAATTATGAAATAAAAAAAGTTGAAGAATGAGGAAATTGAGACGATAATAATATCGATAACAATACGACGACATGGAAGTTTTAATCTAAAAATAAATTATATAATATTAGATATAATTCCTATCGGTTGTCATTATATTATAATTATAAAAGATATGTGATTTAAAATTTAAATAAAAGTAATGTTTGTGCCTTTAATTATAAAAAGTTTTAATTTGTAGTTTAATTATATAGATTTATAATGTACTTCATATTAATAGAATATAATAATATGATTATATTAAAACATTGTTTTATAATGTTTGTGCATCCTGAGAAACTTTTACAACCCCTGATAATTATTCCGAATTATGCCACTGCTTTACATAACAAAGTGAAATATTTAATGAATATTTGTACAGTGAAACCTCTATGTAGTGGACAGCCATGGGAAATGAAGAATTATGCATTATAGGAAATTGACAAATATTGAGAAAACCTCTAAATCAGTGGTTCTCAATTTTTTTTGTTCACGGCACACCATTATACATCACAAGTTTTCGCGGCACACTCATGCATTTGACAATAAAATCTTTGGCTACGCGCTAAGATATCAAGTTGGGTTAAAACTGTACAGTTTACTTATATAGAGGGATGGCTAAAAGTCGCGCAACACAATATGTAATAGTAAAAAAAATCGTTTATTTCTTCAAATAAAAAAAATTGATATAAAAATTTTCATCATGCATCTCAAGGACGTGCGAGGAATTTCTAGCTGGAGTGAAACGCGTTTGGCTGATTGATTCGAGTTTTCGACGAACATTTGAGAAATTAATTACAAATTTTTTTATGTCATTAATGTTTTCGGTCGACCAGAACGTGGTTTATCGGCAACCGTTCCAAATTCTTCGAAACGTTTTACTAATTTCCAAATGGTAGTACGAATTGGAGCAGAAGAACCGGGCGATTCAATGGCGAACTATTCAAATATATCTTTAAAAGAACCTTCGTTTCTGTACCACAATTTTATTAACAGGGTTCGGATTTAATAGCACCGAAAATACTAAAATATGTTCTATAATATGACCAAAAAAACCTTAAAATATGTTCTATAAATATGCCCTAAAAACAACAAAAATAGAAAAAAAAATGTAAGTCAAAATGTTATTAAATGCATTATATTATTTTATGAAGTAATACATTAATAAAAAAAACTAAAATTACCATCTTCTGTTAACAATTTCAAAAAAACGAATATGAAACGAAATCAAACAATACAGAGAACTGACACTGAAAGCATGAAATACGTACAATAGACGACAATATAATGTAGAACAATAATAAAATTAAAATAAATAAAACAGATAAGAGAGTATAAATGTATAAATATATTTGATATCGCTAGGCTACTTAAAAATAGATTCTAGTAATATATTAAATAGTAAATACCATATTATTTATCAATTATCAATATGAAAAGAAAATGTAGGAATTTTTTAGATTTACATAAATAAATACTATTTTTCATTCAATATAAACGAGATTTTTGAAAAATACAAAATAAAGCATAAAATCATGTATATTAGCAAAAAATATCACTAAAACTTCAAAAATACCATTAAAAATCTAAAATACTTTAAATATGCAAAAAATAACAAAATAAAATTTCTAAATTGGAGTCCCTGGTTAATAACACAAATTAATAACTCACTCTGCATTCTTTATCTATATCTTATAATAAGTAGCAAATACAATAAAATCTGAACCATGTTTATTAACAAAGTGCGTTCAACAATTGAAAATTTTGGAGCAGGCATTTCGGCAGTGTTACGAACAAAAATAAACATGAAATTGCGTTTAAAAAGTGGGTTATTTTGTTAGGTTTGGTTGTAAACGCGATAACGTGACCAAAGTTGTAATATGACGTAACGGAGACGACGTGGAAGGGAGTATTTGCGCCGTAACGCGGTAGGCGTTGCACGACTTTTGGCCACCTCGGTATGTATCGTCTTATCTACACAATTAATTAACATTTAACTGTCATAGTTTCATCAATAGGTGTTTTCAAATATCAGACATTTTTTATGGCACACCTAGTCGATCTTGCGGCACACTGGTTGAGAACCACTAATCTACATAGTGGACATTTGCAAAAAATTACAAAATGTCCACCATAGGGAGGTATTATAGAGAATTGGTTATACATATACATATTATACACATTCAAAATGGTGTTATTCGTCACATAAATGTATTAATTATGATTTATAAAAATATATTAAAATTTACTATTTGTTATTTATTATTTATTAAGAAGTGAGTGTAAGAATGTTAAATGTTTATATACATCTAAAAATATCTGTTATCTTTTATTGTATAAACATTTTCTCTCTTTAAATTGGATTTGCAAATTCGTTACCATTGACAATCTGATCTCATTTTCTTTATTTTTAAAATATATTTTTACATTGTTTATTGTTTTCCAAACTTCTTTAAAAGTTGGGTTGTATAACAACTCATATTCTTCTTCTTCTTCTTCTTCTTCAGGTTGTTCGGTTTCTTCTGCACTTAAATTGTCCACATTAAAATTTAATTTATCTGATATTATTAATGTATTGTCTTCTGTAAGAAAATTGTCATCTATAGAAATTTAGTCCTCAGTTTTAACAGTACTCAGTACAAGTTATGAGAATATGTTAAAATATGCATAATTTTCATGTTCAATTACGTATTCTACAGTATCAAATGAAAAAAAATCCCGATTTTTTAAAAAAGTTTTTGGCTGTCTCTGGTTTAAAATTTTTTAATGCAGATTTTATCCAAATAATTGCATTTAAAATGTTTAGAGATAAGTTTTCTACATTTTTATAAAATCTAGATAAAATATGATGAAGAAATCATTGACGATAATGAACTTTAAAATTTTGAATTATTCCTTAATCAGGTGATTGGCAAGTTGTATTTGGTGGTAGGGAAATTAGCTTAATATTTTTTAAATTTAATGTATCAAGACATGTACATGTGTTGTGTCTATTTATGAGAAATCATTTTTAATTTTGATACCAGTTTTTAGTGTACACGTCCAGTATTAGGAGTGTCGACTATTAAGATATTAAACCCCGATTATGTACATACATTTTTGACAGGAAATTTAAAAGTATCCACTATTGATAGGTGTTCAATAAAAAAAGTTTCACTGTATAGCAGAACGGGCATAGGCGTAACTAGGGGGGCTAGGGAGGGGGCTTAGCCCCCCATAAATATTCCATGTCATACATGGCATACTGCACATAGCATACTTAACTCACAATAGTGTCACATACAAAAAAAGTCACATCTACAGGTTATAGCAAGTTTTGATAGGAGGGCTGTAGCCCTCCCCACAGATTTTTTACCCTAGTAGATTCTACGAGAAAAGGGTGTGCTCATAAATTAATAAACTCAATATCATTTTATTTCTACTCTATAGCTATGGTTTTATTTGATACTTAATAATAAAACGAAAAAAACTAATTAGTTTTATTTTATTACAATTATCTATTACGTTTACTTAAAAAATATTCAGACGTATTATTAAATGCATATGTTCTATACACGAATAATGATCGATAAACTAATGTGAGTAACGAATAAAATATAGAATTGTAAATATATTTATTAGTTTATAAGTATGTTATCGGTTTGACTTGAATCATCATTATCATTTTCTATCAACCATTCATTTAAAAATGCTCTAATTAGTGTACGAGCTTTCTTTAGCTGTGGGAGATCTGTACTTGCAGGTGGATACATATTTGCACAATGAGCAGTACCTAAAAAAAATTTAAAATAAATATATATAAGTGTATGTTTTTATTTTACTTTTAAGATATGAGATGTATTACACACTATACTATAGCATAATTAGAATTTTATTTCCCCAAGTATATATTTATTTATTGTTACGAATGAATACAACCTTTTTGTAGGTACCTTTTTTTTTCTATAACAAACATTCAAAATAACCATTTAAAATTAATACAATATTTACTTAATTTGTATAATTCAGTGAAAATCCCATTTCAATACAAAGTCATTGGATCGAAAATATTTAGTGGTACCTCTTAGCGTGAACTCACTGTATAGTTTTACTATTTTTGTATAACCATTAGTAATAATGTTAATAAATTAAACAAAAAGATTTCATAAATGTGAAGCAATTTAAAATGTACAGCTTATGAAGTACTTGTACTTCTGTAAAACTTCTTAAATACTCTACTGTTTATACAATATAAAAATTTACCTTGAATAAAAATTGCAACGTTGTCTTTAACTTTTGTATGAGTAATACCTAAAGCATGCCATGGATCAACGGATCCATGAACATAAATCACACGGCCTTCTCTAATGTTTAATTCTCCATACATCATATTAGTTCTATTAACTGCATTAGACAGCAGCTCTGATCCATACCTAAATAATAATATTGAAATGTAAATTAATTTACAGTAATTAAAGTAATTTTTAAAATTACTAATTGCCTATCATTGTTATAAAATCAATGTATATAAATTATTTGATATAATTACAAAATATGTTTTATAATTACTTATAAATAATACAAAATCGTTAACTAGGAATTTTATAAGTAATTCTCCTATTAATACATAATTATTAAAAATTATATTTATTAATTAATTATTTAATTTATTATATTATTTTATTTTTTCTATTTTACACCAAATAGTTAGAAAAAAGGTGAAGTTATTATCAGGGCTCATAACTTATAGTTCTAAAAAATGTTGTTATAATTGCTTAAATATGCTTTAAAAAGTATTCATATAAGCGCTTAAATATGCAAAAAAACGTTTGTATACAAAAATTATTATTTTATTATTATTATTTATTATATTATTTTATTATTTTAGCTTCTATTAATAAAAAAAAAAAAATTTAGATACTGAATTCACGAAACGAACTAGTATGCACACAGTACGAAAAATCGGAAACGACTGCAAATTGTTAATGAAAAATAATCTGCAAAATAATCTGAGAATGATGATATCGAAATGTCTAGGTAATGATATCGGAATACTCGAATACCTAGAAACTATAAAATAATATTACAGAACAAGCTACAATTATATACAATTATAATGGTTTCCTTTTCGATGGGATTACGAAGTTTTGAGCGTTCATTCTCGCTACGTCGCGCGTCGCCTAAACTAAATACTCTAATATATTTGTAGAACAAGGGAGTAGTTATAGCAATAAAAGTAAAAAAATGCAGAAAAATGAGAATTTGAAAGATAAAAATATAAATAAATATATAAACATTATAAAGTAGTACCTATATTATACTTATAAACATTATTAATCTGTCAGTGATAATATATATCTGTTTGTTTCAAAAATTCTAGTTTATAGATGAAATAAATTAATGTCTATAAGCTGATTCTATTACTGTATATATTATTCATATAAATCATATTTATAGTTCAAATTTTGAAAGAATTGACATTTTTAGCTATTTTTTTTTTTTGCATATGAGCTTTAGCTGTAAATTTGATTGATACATTTAGAATAAAATAATTGACAATTTATTTTGCTTTTTTATCTATTTTCTTTTAAAGGAGTTTTTTTAGGGTTTTAATTTTGAGTTGTTTTTTTTTTTGGTATTATTAATATATTTTTGTAAAATTTCTTCTAGGTGTACATATTTCAAACTTCGACAATTATTTTTTTTTATATGTTTTAATTGTTTAGCGTGGCTCATCCGGTTATTCAATAATAAGACAAAAAAATGTTGTTACTTTTTAAATTTTTTTTAAATAATGTAGGTAAGTATTTTATTTTAGAGGTTTATAAAGTTACAAAATTCTAAATCTAGTTGTATCATATGTTTCAAACCTAGATTAATGTATAAATCGCTATGAAAAATTATATATATTCAATACGAAGGTATCTTATCATTTAATTTGTCGATTAATCACATAATTTAGTTAATTTAAGTGATTTCCATCTGCGTGTAACAGGAGATTTAAAATTGTTTTACATTCATTTTCAAAGAAAACCGTGTTAATATCTTTATTAAAACATATATTGTCTGTATTATATTAAAGAGAGACTACAATAAATTATTAGGAGGTAATAAATAAGTGTAAAACAGATTAATGTGTATACATAATATTATAATGGAAAAGGTTACTCTCGATTTATTAAAGGTTAACGTATTCTATGCGATAACCGATAATGACTAATTAAATCCCAAATTTAAAACTAAAAACCTACATAAACTTCAATTCCAAAACTAATATTTTTTTAAAAAAATATATTATATAACTATTGATTCAACCAACAAAGAAATTATGTTATTTTAAACATCACAGATAAAAAAATGTAATCATATATAATTATGTCGAGAATATGAGGAATTTCAATAATATTCATAACAGTAATGTGTAAATTATTAAGTGTAGGCCTTTAATTTATATTATATAAATCATATTACTCATATTATTCTTTTAAGCCTACATAAATTAATTTAATTAATTTTAAATAAATTACTTTGATTAGTTCCGAGTATTGATTTATTACAAATTGATTATATAAAATATACTAAGGTTGTTAATTGAAGATTGAATAAAAATAGAAATAAAAGGACTGAATTTAAAAATAATTTATATTTAATTATTTTATTTTCCTTATAAAATCTACGAACATATTTAAATACACATATGGTTAAAGTAAGTGGGCACTGCAAATTTGATTATTTCTTGTAGTCTATTTACGGTTAAATCCAAAATTTGAGACTAAAATATCAAATATTATTAATTAATAATATTATTTTAATATAAATATAATTGAAAATTTAGATAATTTTAATAATAATAATGACTGTTATTACTTATTTTTTATCATTAGTTCATTTAGTGCTCTAAAAGAAAACTAATTGTACTAATGTATTCATTTTTTTTTCAATGCATTACTTATATATATATATTATATTTAAAAGTATCATTGAATTTTTAAAAAAATATATACGCTATCTTATTATTGAAATCAGTAGCATCTAGGTAGACGCAAGTAAGCAAACACTAGATATCAATGTAATCGTTGGTATTCAACTTGCCAAAATCATGTTTTTAATAATAGAAAATTTTCTATTCTGTTTCTATTATAAAAAAAAAAAATAAATAAATAAATACATATTTCCATCACATTGAATGAATATGATTACAGGGATATATAGTGACTGCGTCCATATTACCCGATACCAATTATAACAATATAATAACGCATCTGTATGTATACATACGTATACGTTTTATAAAACCTATAATATTACCTACATAAACATTTTATCAGCTTTAAAAAGTGTTTGATAATTTAAAATTGTAGTATCAATAATTATTAATTTGAATAGCTGCATAATTAAATTAGAAATAATGAAATACTTTAGTCATTGGTAGCAATATAATGTATATATATATGGTTCATATAAGTTTATTAATTATTATTTTTATAGTTAAAAAATTAATAATTATACAATTTGGATATTTTTGACATTTTTTTCATATTTTATTAAATGGTTAATAAAAATTTTTATGATTCGGGTTATTTTTTAAATAAATTATTATACATTTAAATATCTAATATTTTATCATGTAACTATTGAGAAAGTAAAATTATTTTTTACCTATATGGTATCAATTTTTTAAATTGTATTCATTTTATTTGGATTTAAATATGTTATATTTTTCAATTTCATATAATTGTTATGAAATATAATAATTATATGAAGTGGGTTACATAATCGTGTTGTCAAATTGTTCATGTACTATATTATTATAAATTATTTAAAACATTTCAATAAATAAACTTACAAGTCTCCAAAAATATCAGTGCACATATCAATGAAAAAATTTACGGGAAACTGATTGCCAAACGTATGATCATTTTGGCTGGATGTTTGATAAAATCCAAACTCTGTACACGTTTGGTACGTCCACTGTCGACCTGTAAGAATATTTTCTTAAACAAGGTTTCGTTATAATTTTGTATACCGTATGTATATTAATTGGAAAGTCAGTAGTTATTACTCCTAATGTAATGCAGATATTGAGTTTCCGTTTTTTTTTTAACATAATATGAAACTTATAGCCCATCTTTTACCTTGGTAAAAAAAAATCCAAAATTTAAAACTACCAAAAATTTCGAAAATAGCCACTTTGTAGAATTACTTTTAAGTTACTCAGAGAAAAAAAAACTGAAATCGGTTGAATTTTGAATGAATGAGAGCTCAAAAACAATCCACAAAAAACAAAAGTATTACAAAAAATATTTTTGAGTTGTGTATACTTCATTACCTAATATCATATTATTAGTTATCTATTTAAAAGTTTAAAAACCATACAATTTTACAATTTGCTGTGTTTTTTGATAATATAAAATGCTTTCATTCATTCAAAGTTCAACCGATTTTAATTTTTTTTCCGAGTAACTTATAAATTTTACAAAATGACTATTTTCGAAATTTTTCAAAAAAATTTTTGGCAGTTTTGAATTTTGACTGTGGTAAAAGATGGGCTATAATCACATATTATGTTTAAAAAAACGGAACTTCAATATCTGCATTATATTAGGAGTAATAACTATTGACTTTCCAATTTATTTACATACTGTAGTGTAACTACACGTTAACTGATTACTGTCGGTTATCTATAAAATAACTATATGTGCTCCTAAAATAGTAATAAATACAATGGGCATATGACAAATTTACAGCAAAATAATTTTTCTATTTTCTCAACATTTGTTAGGACTTTAAATATTAATGGTAATTCAGTATAATACCTTATACATTCGTGTTTTCATTGTTAAACTGCAACACATAATGTTTAAAATGCTATTACAGTTACATACATCGTTAAAAAACTTAATTGTTATACTAAAGGCCGGATTAAGCACCTATTGGGCCCCGGGACTGAAATTTTATATGGGCCCTTTTCACAAAACATGCTTTACAAAGCCGCTCGCTACGCTCGCAGACCGATACATTTTTTTTAACTATTTTAGAAATTGTCAATTGCATTATAAAATTAATAGGTATATATAATTTATGTCTATAAAACTACTAACCTCCAGCTGCTGCTTCACTATTCCAAGATGTATTTGAATAGGAATTAATTACACTGGAGTAGGTATGTTCTGTACAACTTAAATTATTGACAGATAATAATTTGTTGTTAACTAATGCATACCTATCTAACTAAAAAATACAATTATTTAATATTAATAATAGGTATACATTTTGATTATACAATCTTATATCTAATTATACTATACAAAATTTACACATATTTTTAACCATTACATTGGTATACTATAGCTAATTGTAATAGTTTGTAGGTACACAATTAAACAATAAAATGTTGATATTTGTTTATTAAAATATACACAGTTGTAATACTAATATGAACTAAGAAAAATCAATCTACAATTTTACATTTAAACTGAAGTTATGCAAGTACGTTATAATATGTTTAGTTAAAACAAATAAGAATTAATCACATATTTGATACAACAAGTCTTCTTGTTAGCAGAGTTAGCTAAAGTCAAGAGTATGCATGTTCTTATTTGAAAAGTAAATTTTTTAACATGCAGGCTCATTTGGTGTTTTTTTCTGTCAAGTTGTGGGTGAACAGATGGCTCTATGTGGTATTTTAAAACAAGATATTTAATTATATTTTATTAGAAGAGTGTTTATAACACTCTTAACTTTTTTTCAGACATTGGTAGTAAAATTTTATTATATTATATGCCTACATATTAAATTAATATTTTGTTATATAATTTAAAACATAGGCTTGCGGAACAATATATTAAATTAGTTTAATCTGAATTTATTTTGATAAAACATAGTAAAATTTAAATATAAAATTCAACGATTATAAATATAATATTAATATTAAAATAAATAAGTATCTAAATATTATGATATAGTTTAGTTTTATGTGTATCATATATAAAACCACTAACATAAAACATGTAAACACAAGGTAACAATTATAATCAAAATATTAAAATATCCATCGAATTTTTCCAACTTCTATAAAACTAATTTTTTATAAATAATTTAAATATCAAAGCTCTAAGTGTCAACCTTGAAGTTCCCGATCCTAATTATTATGATTATTAAGTTACAGATATTTTGTGATATTTACAGTGTAAAATAAATCGAAGTATCTATTATAAAATTGTTCTTAAATAAATAAAATACTTACTGAAGATGTAATCGAATTATCAACCATAATATCACATAAGGTTTCGAGTGTGATCGATGATCGTTCAGAATTTAAATAGAATCTGTTATCTTTATTGTACTGCACAATATCAGCAAAATTTCCAGCCAAAGTCTCAAACAAATTTGACACGTCTTTTTTATTATATTTGTCTAAAGGCTTGCATAATCTATAATATAGTTTTAACAGTAAAATAAAAACAGTATGGCAATAGCCGTGTTGAAAATAAAAATACATAAAAATGTGTTGCGTGTATTTAACATACGGACCCAAGATCCAGCTTATAATGGTGCCCATTAATAAATATTGAAAAAATATAGAAAGAAAGAAAATAAAACCATTTTGCTATCGGTAATAATTATTAATGGATATTGAATAATAGTTGATCAATTTTCTTTACATATTATTTTTTGTTACACATTATCGTACATCAACGTTTCTTTTGCTATCTGTATGTATGAAATAAAAAGTAGTTTGGTTACAACTGATTAAAGGCACGGTTCCCCTACAACGTCCAAATGCGGGAGAGGGCATTAATTTATAGAGCCTTAATTTTATTTACACACTGGTCCAAATTGGTGTAGTTACGGCACTACATTAAATAAGTTACGCTTATATCTAAAAAAAATTAATTCTATACAAGTCAATTAATCATTACTTAAATTTTTGTTCAATAATTTTTAATTTTTCGTCGCTTTGAAGAAAATCATTAATCATTTGGTTTGCTAGCTTTATTTGCGATACACATTCCGGCTTATATGTTGCTAAAGCATTTTCAACCACTTCAAAATATTCTAGGAAAATAAAAATCATCTTATTATAATTTATAACAATGAATATTGAATATAGCAAAATAAAATTATTGAAAAGTGTATTTTACTATTTTACAATATGTATTATTACATCAGTTTTTGTATAATAATAATTAGAAATTTCAAACTTTTTATGTATATTTTTAAAAATATAATAAATTTATTTTACGAGTATAATATAATATAACATTATATAATATAATATTATTATGTACCTATATACTATATACTATGCGCTATGCAAGCAAACTTGCCATCTATATTTTTTAATAATATACTATATAAGCCATAAAATATTTTTTCTTTTTCATGTTTTAAAATCAATATTAAATTAAAAGTTTAAATAATTTACCTAAAATAAGTATAGTCTTAAATAAATAATTTTTTTTAAGCTATGCATATTGTATAATATTGCATAATACAATATTTTGTAAATAAATAAATTAAGTACCTATAAAAAATTAATTTTTTCAATCCATATTCCCATTTTACACACCTTTAAAATCAATTTTGGCCAACAATGGACCACTTGAAGACACTGCCGCGTGCAAGAGATGTGGGTATTTCATTCTCAACCAGGCCGCCAAAGATCCTGGATAAGAACCTCCGAATGCAACCCATTTAGCTGAATTCGGAATTGAGTACGTATTTTTAATATTGACAATAAATTCTGCTAAGTCAGCTAGTGCTTGTTCACTGCTTAAGTACACTAAATTTTTAGTACTCATATCCCTAAAACGTTAATACGAATATAAAATAACATCAATTATTTTAATTAATAAATAAGTAACTGACAAAGTTATTAATTTAATTCGTAAATTATGTATTGGATACAGATCTAAATATTTTCTGTCGTAATAATCGCTGTCAATTGAATGTTTTTTATTTAATTTATTTAGTTATTTAAATTTCTTACTCAGTAGGATGACTTTTGCCATAATACCGGTGTTCCAATTGCAAACATAATGCATTCATTTCTTTAGCATATTCAATCCAAGCCCCACTGTACATCCATTTGGCTGACATTTCACCTTCTCCTCCTATCATTAAAAACACTGGGCCGTTCGCCTTATAATATTTAAAATTAACTTGATATCTCTAAAACAATAAATACAATTTATTCAATTATTTACTAAAAAATATACAATTTTTTTTAAAAAAAAATTGTATTAGCTTCTAATGTAACTATTATAACTCAAAAATTATTCAATATATATTGATAATAATATAAATAGAATACATTACAAAATAATAATAGTGAACATCATATTTTAGATAATATAAAATAGTGTTAGAGATAAATATGAATCGAAGATCCACGAAATGAACAAGTTACAGATAACATAATATACGGCGATTAAAAGTATTGTATTAATTTAGTTAATGAGGTATGAATAATGTTTGAACCAGGGTATCCGAACGGAATGTAAAAAAACGGATAAAGAATATTATTATTGTTCATAAACCAAAATATAATGGAGCGAAACCAATTATTTAATTTAGTTTATTGGTCTTTCATATGAAATAACAGTATAAACCAGTGCTTCCCAAACTTTTTCAACTCAAGACGTCCTTTTTGATCCAAGGTTTTTTCTGGGCGTCCTTCTCTAAGTCATAACATGACTAATCATAAGGAAAATGTTAGACCTAATAGTATTTCATGATGGCGCGGCGCCCTTATACATACATCGCGGCGCACACTTTGGGAACCTATGGTATAAACTTAAATTAAATTTACTGACCTTTTTCACGAAAAACGTTATAACTTATTAAGTTCTTTTAACAATTACACGAAGAACATAATAAGCTAAAACGTTATTCAAACTTTTAACTCATAGAACCAGGCCTGGATTTAGAAATTTAGAAATATTTAGGTACATAACTATTTACCAAATATTTTAGTAACTATTGAATTGTACGGTTTGCGGTTGTATATAACCATTAAGGAACAAGAAAAAGATAGAAGGGCTTCAGCATCCTCAGATTTTTCATTGAAATTGCGCCCTTGATTATAAATAACAAATAAAAAAAAAAAATTGAGGGGAAATTTGTAAAAAAAGTTTGTGTTAGAAAATGTAATTTTGATAATATTAGATATTTTAATGTTTCAACAAAATTCGTTGAACTATCCGAATATCAATAAAACTAGAATAGGTATTTTATTGTCTCAAAATATTAAAACTATAAAGACTTAAATATAAATTTATATAAACTTATATATTATATAAATATAATAAAGTTAAAAACTAATTTACAGTGCGCATATCACAACTATAATATAATATAGTATATTATATTGTTATATTATTCATTATTCATAGTTTTATATTGATATATTATTAAAAGTACGTATGTCCGTAGTATTAATTGAAATTTAAAATTTAAAAATATAATATTTATACATAATATAAAAGTATATTATGTATTTATTTATAATAATAATACTTTTATTTTGTACTTCCAATGAAGTAGTATTTACGGGAAAAAATAACATTAAAATTTGGGTCTACCATATTCAATTTCTCAGCAAAAGGATGTGATGGTGCATTACCTAACAAAAGAGTAACTTTTTATTTTCTTCCTTTACATTATTATTTACATTTGATTTCAGGTATGAATTCATTAGAGTATCACTCATAAAACAATTTAGAGTTTATCCATGCACTTGGTTGTGTCTTATGTATCACTGGAAGACGATTAACATTTTTAAATATTACTAATAATAGTAAGGTGTGATCTCCACTAGCATTTGCGCAAAACATCGCAGTAATCCTATATTTACTATTTTATTTTGGAACCTATTTAAATTCAAACGTGTAAACTGAATATTTGATCATGTTTATGAACCAACTCAATTTATGATTATGTATAAACATATTATCTACATTATAATGAACCGTTAACATATAATACAATAATCTCGCATTTCAAATTATGTACACGATAAAACGAACATAATGAATGATTAAATTAAATTAAACTAAAAATAAATTTGTTCAAACATTTTGTAGAGCGAATAGTTGACGAGCTACATAATTTACGTGCGGATAATCGACATTCTACTGTATTAACATTAGGTGCGTACATATTTGTATTATAATACTAATTTTAACTGTTAACATTAAATTCATTAAATCTAAATTCATATAAGTTATACTTTTACTTTTAAATTCTATATATTTTTTTCATAAAAATTGGTTAACTAGCTTATGATGAAACTATAAGGTATTTATAATTTTAATATATTAGGTATAGTAAATTATTTTTTGGTTAAGAATTAGAGACCGGTCACCCGTTTTCCTATGCTCATCATATATCTCGAAACCAATATGATACATAATATTATAATAACCTGTACGTTTACCCTTTTATGTTTTTTTTTTTTTTATATTCGTCTTCTCCTTACTTCTTTTTTTAATATTCATATTAGTATAATATTGTATTTTCTAGGTATATAAAGTTAACTATTATTGTAACATAAATAAAATACTTGTTTCCATGTTCTACCATCCGTTGGATTAAAGTGATCTAATTTCTGTATAAACCATTTGTCTTTGACATCATTGACATTTTTATTTTCTGGCGTATTTGGTTCACCTACACCCACGAGTATTTTTTTCAAACTATAAACGGGTGAACTCCACCAAACACAACACCAAAATACGCATACAATAATTTTCATTTTGAAAACGATAATTTATTATCTGAAAAAATTGAATTTTTGTTTATACATAAATAAATAATTTAAAAAAATTATAGATAGTGCTGATTTTGGAATTTGTATGTGACCTGATACAATTTTGTGTGGTTATTTTATGTATCTATCGTGAAGTCTCAATATTTCATTTCTAAGTCTTAACGGTCCCAAAAATGTTGCCACTAACAATAAGTCCAAAATTTGCCCTACAAGCAATTTATGTCATTCCAAACAGTAAATAATAGTAATATAGATAGTAATAGGTTAAATTTTAAAATCCCATTAAACTCATAAACTATGTAATAGCTTCTATTTTTATTTGAACAATTAGTTGTTATATAGTTATTTATTTTAAAGAAAACTAACAAGTTTTGAATAATGAACCAATAGTCGAAAAAAGTACCTATATTATTACAATCTTTTTTTTTTTTTTTTATCAAAGAAACCACTAGGTATTACACAACTGTGACAACTCAATACTTACAAAACCTAACCATGTTTTAATGACTATTCAGTATTAAATTACATATATGTTCAATCATTAGTTGTCATTTTTACTTTCTCTAATAAAATTATTGGCACATCATATGATATACGATCCGATTTGTTTCAAATATCTACTTGAAATAGTAGTTTATACGTATAGACTTATATCTATCTATTTATAGAACCACCGGAATCAGGCTACAAGTCGTTCAAAAAAGGTAGGTACAAGATTTATGTTTATACATTCATTTGTTTCAAACTATTTAACTTACTGACCTTACTAGAATCCACTGGTAAAATATACGTTCTTATCAAAATATTTATTGTTTAAATACATATTATTAAAAGATATAGAATTGCAATATATTCTGAACAGCTCAGTAGTAGGAATAAATAATTAATATAAAAAAAAAAAAGATTAAAAATTTCAACGAAAACTAGTTAGGTCAGAACCGTATGCGTTTTCAAGTAGGTAGGTACCTATCAACAATACGTACGTTAAAATTATATACGAAATAAAAAAAGATTACATTTCGAGAAGTTAATATTATTATTTTATACTCGAAAATAACCATTCAAAATATAGAAACAGAAATTTATATTTAAATATTTATGTGTAATAGTCGGTTCATTTAAAAATATATAATATAATATGTATTATATTTATGTGTAATATTACCTAAATAGGTAATATAAATTACCTATTTTCTTTTTTTTAATAAAAAAAATTTCTTTATTTGTATTTAGTTGTTTATTTATTTAGTTATCGTATTTAATTGCCTTGCTTTAGTGTGTTTTTTTTTTTTAATAAAAGCAAATTAAACCAAAAGAAAAATATACATGAATAAATTATGTATATAATTAAAAATATATAAAATATAAAAATAAATTTATTTGTTAAAAATAAAAATAACAGAATTATATTCTACAAAATGAATCAGATAATATATTCGTATTTTCACGTGTTACCTACCTAATTAATAGAACAATATAATTTAAATAATTAATAATTAAAATTAACTTACTTGTACGTAGGTATTTTATTAGACAAAAATATATTTAAACAACAATTAAACAAAGAATATTTACCACATTGTTATAAAATTTTATTTGGTTCACCTTTTAAACAACAAACACATGTGACAAATAAAACAGACTCGAGTGATAAGTATCAACTAACTATAATTAAGCAGTTGTAGCCTGAAATGGTAATAACAAAATAAAAACATCGAGCAATATCCCCCTCTCGTATAGGTCATACAAACAAATGTACCTATTAGATGTCGTTCTTTGTATATCGTTTTAGTTATCGCTTTGTATACTACAATCTAAAAATGTTTAATAATTTATAATATTTTAGAGATAAAATGTAAATATTAGATCTACGAGTATATTGTTTCAGGTATATATTGATTTACTTATAGAATAATTATGATTGTGATTTATATAAAATTCAAATAATTTTTAAAAATGTATAATGCATTAATTTAACTTTATAATTTTGATTTTTATGAAGCATAGGAAACCATCAATAATTGATGATAAAAAAAATATCTTGTTAGGTACCTACATAAAATGTGTAAATTAAATATTTATATATATAATAACTACTAATTAATTAGATTAATCATACCATATTACCAATTCCATCTTGTACATTTAAAAATAACTATTTCGTAGACAGATTGTAGTACATTTTCCAATTAAGGTGCAACGAATGTGTATTTCTTGATAATAGTAATTAACCTTTAGGTAATGATAATCACGAAAAATTAATTTTAAATCGTATTTATAATATATATATATATATATACATTATTTAAACTTCAGTCTTGTTTTTGTAAAAAGATTAAATTATTTTCTTGTGACTTATGAGTACCAAACCTGTTTAAAAACAATATATTTTAATATGGCTGGATAGAAAAAATGAATTCAATTCAATGAAAAAAAACCAATAATGAATAAGATATTTGGATTAATATGAGTAGTAGCTAGTTTTTATATTTTTCAACATTTGTTATTGATCTTATTTTATAAATGACTACAATTTATTTAATATGTAGAATATTTTTTTTTTAGACAAGTGTTCCTCAAAAATTACTGTTTTAATTTTATACAAAACTTGTATGATATACCAATATATTATAAATTAGAATATATTAAACATATATAAGCAATATTTATTCAAAACAAATAATTTCATTATACTTATTAATATTATTATTGGAAAAAAAATTTTAATTAATATAAACAACAATAGGTGTATATAATAAATAAACAGTTCTTAAAAGATCTTTAATTTTTTAATTAAAATAAAATGTAGCCACTTTTAATACAAGTGATAACATTTTTTATTCCCTCTTATAGTTGTAATAATGTTTATTATAAAAAAAATAATTTAATTTTAGTAAGAAAAATGTACCTGTCTAGCTAATTTAATGAATAAGTAGAAAGTAAGTAAATAATATAATATTTAATTATATTACATTAACATAAAAGTTATATGATTCAATATATGTCTACATATTTTTTATATATATTATATTCATTTTTTTGTACATTATTTTACTACTTATGTAATATTGTAGTATAAAATTGATACGGTAAGACCTATATAGTTGATATTTTTATATAAATATGTTTAATTTAAACTCATTTATATATTTTGTATCCAGTATTTTCTACCATATTTCAAAACTTAGGTACATTTTCAAAAATATATTCAACAGATAATATAACTACTAACTATATTATATTACAGATGACCCTGTACTAGAGAAATTTGAAAATTTTCTGTAGATTTTAGAAATTTTAGAAATTTCCAAATATTGGATTTTATGAACAACTGTAAAAGCTTATATGAAATCAATTACATGATATGTGTATGTAATTTGTTATATTAGTGATATTTATTAAAACAAAAATATTTATTTGGAAACAGTAAGAATAATTTTGATCAATTGTTGATATTAAGTATAAGTGTTGAATATATCCATGTATAAAAAAAATACTGAGTAAAATTATTCAATTAATTAATATAGTATACTTTGTAAACTTAGAAAAAGAAGTGAAAACAACTCTAGTAGAACAAAATTATACATAATTTAAATTTTTTTAGTTTTCCTTATGTACTTATTTTAAGGCAGCTAACATTTTTTTTTAGACTGCTAACCCTAGAGTCGATCCTTGAATATTTTTTTTGTTTATTTATATATGAATGTAAAATATAATTTAAACAATATAACAATACAACTACTAAATCAAATTTATTGAATATATCATAAACATAATATTATTATAATTAAGCTGCTAAATAAATCACAAAACATATAATAAAATAATTATTTTACATTGAGCATAAAAGTGAATTGTTGTAAACTTCACAAATTTAACTCCACCAAATTTATTATTATTTTCTATTAAGTTGAAAGTGCTTACATAAGTAAGAAACACATTAACAATTTTTCATTTGAATAATATCTAATATTAAAAGCCTTCAAACACCTCGTACGTTTTTTAGGGAATTAATAAAATATAGATGGTCACGGGCAGTAGCAAGTATTCCTCCAACATGTATCATACTTGTATATTTTTCATATGTAATATCTTTGTTTTCTAGGGATGTAATATCACCTCCTATACTCTTTAATAATGCATGTCCAGCACATATATCCCATTTTTTAATGTTGGTTGTGTGTATATAAGCAGATGAATTCCCAAATAAAACTTGTAAAACTTTGAACCCTGCACCTCCAGCAGTAACAACTGGTATACCATATAAACGTCGATCCAATAAACTCATTATGTCTCCTTTATGTGATCTTGATACTATAATTGATCTTTTTTTCGAAATCTAATAAAATAAAAATGTTGTTCTTAAATATACACAATACATTTAAATCTGAAATAACAGAGTAAAAAATATTTACATTTTATAATTATAAAATCTACGTTAAATAATGTGCCAATGTTGAATTTATACAAACAAAACATTATAAAAATAGGTACTATGTAATATCAATGTATGATTTACCACATAATTTAAAATGTTATGTACAATCTACATGACACAACCAAATTGTAATTTTAATTGCTGGTATTTTTCTAAATTGTTCTAAATTTTATATGATGTAATACCAGAACAAAAAAAAAAAAAAATATTTTACTAATAATACTTTATTCAGTGTATTGAAATTTCTTATTAACTAAATAAATAATGTTTATTAAACTTTTCATTAATAAATACTCAGCCAATTGAATGTTTTTGTCAATTTTAGAAACGAAAATGCCAAAGAAAATTAATGAGACAACTCATCATATCTTAAATGGTAATTTAACTGAAGCCTTTTATACAGATCAATACATAACTTTGAAGATATCTTCATCAATATCATGAAGGATATTCAGAAAACGTAACAAAATTATACCTGTTTATTAAGTTATACTGCTTTAATAATGCAACTTAATAAAAATTTGCATTTATATTATGTAATAACCATTTAATATTTTACAACTAAATTTTAATTATTTATTAAAATATTAGTTTGTAAAATATATATAACATACAGTAGAACATAAGATATGTATGGTAGATATTTGTTGCAGTAAATCACAGAATGCCGAAAAAACTAAATAATAAACTATTTTAGAATAATAACTGTATCTGTTTTTTAAAATATTATTCAATTAATATTTGAAATATTATATTATGACATTTCAATCAGTTCAAATTAATATCAACATTTTAAAACGTGTATTTTAAAATTTTAAAAAATCAACAACAATTTTTATTCTGTTATTTTATATTATATTTAAAATGTTTATGTTTTTATGACCCAATTTAAACCAATAAATAGTATTTAAAAATAATAATATTTATAGTAAATATTATTAATAATAAAAATATTTATTTATTTTTTTTATTTAAAGTTAATTTATTTACTTTGATATTGTTGAAATTATCTGATCTTGATTTGGAAGACCAAGCCCATGTTGTTTTAGATGTAAATGGTTCATGTATAACACCCATAATAGGTTTACCTTTGTACGCAACACAAACCATAGTAGTTACATACTGTGTCAAACTTTCTAAACATAAAATTGGACATATACATACTAACATAATATAAATAATACAATGAAAATGTATGAACATAATATTTAATAAACACATTTAAAATAATAAAGGAAATAATATCAAACTATATATTTATCAAAATGTCATTACCAGTGAATTCTTGTGTTGCATCTAGTGGATCTATCCATATAGTTAAATATTTCCTTTCAAATTCTTCTTCATTGTGTATTACAAGTTCATTTTTATAATCTTTTAATTCTCTAATATTTAACTTATTACAGTCTTTTTCAGATAATTCTTCTTCTGATATAACCTATTATAATATTTTATCTAAATTAATAGAAGTTGTTAAACATTTAAAAGTTTTCAAATCATACATTGGTACGATCCAAATAATATTTAATATTAATATAAAAATATAACTAAAAAAATAAAAAAAAAAAATATTTAAATTTATTTAATACAGGTATGTCCACGGAGCCCTTAAACTTCTTTTGTGGAATACAGTTTGAGAACCATTGTTCTAAAGTATAAACTCAACTACACTTAAGTTGATTATTTAAATTATGAATATATTTGTAATGTAAAATTCTTATAAGCAAGTGTTAAAGAAATATTTCTTCTTTACTTAAATTGTAATTGAATAATATTAATATTTTTAAGGTATTTACTATACATACTTTTACATTTGGTAAATTTTTTTTCAGCGAATAATACATAGCACAATGAGAGGTGTAATCAGCATTAGTAACCGGATCATTTGCACCTTCAGCGGTTTTTCCTTTGGATTTGGCACTAACCAGATGTTCATTATGAATAGAAGCTACTTGAACACCACCCAATCGAGCAGCTTCGATCGCTTGTTGTAACAGATCTTTACCTTTCACAAATTCATAACTATTGTTAACACTAAACTTACTAACATATAGAATTGTAATACAAAAAACTAATAAAAAAAATAATTTAATCAAAGTTTTATTTCGAATTATCATTTTCAAAAGATTATATTTATTAATATGCATTTCACAGAACTAGAAATTGGCATTTGCAATAAAAGTCCAATAATCATTTTCGTAAATGTAGTATTTCATTAAGAATTATATTATACTGTAAACTTATTATATTTGTAATTTATAATTATTTTTTTGAAAATAATCAGACGACAATAACCATCAATTAGGTGATAACCAGTAATATATCACATAAATATCTGATAATAGCTCTATTATTATATAATTTATTTTATTAATCTGTGGAAAGAAGTAGAAAAATAAAATAGTTGTCAATCACTTCGGTCTGTGTCAATGCTGACACAAATCATTGAATGGTCTATCAACTGGTCAACATATCACAGATTAGACATGATAATGATATGATAATAAATAACTTTGCAATTAGTTATGGGAATAATCGAATGATTAATAAACGATAGAAAAAATGGAATTACTAATATAATGCGTGAACTGGTTGTAATAATTATAATTAATCTAATGATAAACAATTAAATTTTATAAGCTAAAGGATAAGAAATGATTACGTTCAAATGATCACGGTTATCTATAGACTATACACTCGTTATCTCCTGTGTTTTTTCAGCACTATTTTTTATTGTCAATTAAATAATCGAAACGTAAACACTTAAACGATTTTGCTTTAGTGAACCAACGTTCCTAACTGAACTCGTAATATAACTCAATTTCAATGCATTGTATTTCTAAATTTAGTAGTCCGTTTACAATTTCATTTAGAACACAGTTAAAAAAAATGTCTTCGAACATAGCAAAGCCACTGGATGGCAAAGTAGCAATAATCACTGCATCTACTGACGGGTAAATATTATACTTGAATCTTTTTGTCCAAATCAGGGACGCCCATAGAAATGTATCTCAGGGAAAGCAAAAAAAAAAAATTATAAGTAAATATAATCTACGGGAAGATTTACCACGACTTCTTTCATATGCTCATATTTTGTAATATTATCATTAATAACATTCTAAAAACCTAAACTAATTTAAGTTAATTTAAAATTACACTCTTAGTTCAAATATTTATAAGAAAGAACATAATAAAGTTTAAAAAACAACTTTATTTGATCAAATTACATCATATTTAATTATTTTATTCAAAAAGTAATGATAATCTTCACTTTGTTGTTTGTTATTTAAAGCAAATAAATTGATTGAATCATCAATTTGTTGATTAAAAAATAATAAATAATACATATTATCATACCTTTTGCAATGTATATTAATTAACTTCAAGCTACTCAGTCGTTAATTTTCCCATCCTATTTCTAGTTCATGTCTTTAAATGGTGTAAGGTGCTGAAATATAATAAAAAAGTCATTGTAAAATATTATTACATATCTAACGAAAAGGGTGTCCGAGGCTAAACACCACTTTACTACCTACATATTATTATATAAAATTATTCATTTTCTAACATTATGTTAAATAAGCGAAAATTTAAAATTAAGATTAAAAAAAAAAAAAATGTATAGTAATAGCTATAACCAGCTGTTTTGTACTTATTTTAAAACAAGATATTTTAAATATCAGAGGGGGCACTGCTCCTCTTAATTTATTCTAGGGGCTATTGCCCCCTCTTGCCCCCCATTTTACACCTATGTACTGTATAAAATAGGTAAAAATGTTGTAACTGACAGGAAAAATCTTAGAAGGGGCGATAACCCCACAGCAGACCACCGTCTTCGGGCATCCCTGGTCCAAACATTATATTTATAAAAAAATGGATTTTCACATTCTTTAGAATTGGTTTTGCTACTGCTAAACAATTAGCTAGTCATGGAGCATCAGTCATGATTAGCAGTCGTAAACAAAATAATGTTGAACGTGCATTAGCAGAACTTCAAAAAGAATATGGTGTTACTAAAGTTCATGGAGTTGTATGTCATGTTTCAAAAAAAGATGATAGATTTAATTTAATCCAAGAGGTATAATACTTCATTTCAATTATATGTATACTATTTTTACTGGCTAGAGTTAATTCATATATTATATTATTTCTTTTTGTATTAGTGCATAAAATGTATTACAAACTATTTTTTTAGACCATTAAAATCTTTGGTGGAATTGATATTCTTGTATCAAATGCTGCAACAAATCCTACATCAGGTTCAGTACTAGATGTATGGTTTTAATCAACTGTTATTTAAATTGCTTATTTAATAATAAATTAATACTAATTATAATTTGAAATTTAGTGCGAAGAAGAAATATGGGATAAAATATTTGAAGTAAATGTTAAAAGTGCATTTTTAATTACAAAAGAAGTAGTTCCACATCTAATTTCTCGAGGAGGAGGTTCTATTGTTTATGTTTCTTCAATAACTGGTCTCAATCCTATGTCGGTAAATAAAAATATTCAATTTTAAAATTAATACGGTAAATCCTAAAATAATTAATTCGTTCGAATATAATTTAGAAAACTAAAGATTATACTGAATGTACTTATTATTTTAAATATATTTTATGATTTAGCATAAGATAATCTTTAAAATATTTTAAGTACAATTGTTTTATATTTGTTAAATAATTTTCATGATTTATAGCTATTGGGAGCATATTCTGTGAGTAAAACTGCTCTTCTTGGACTGACTAAAGTAGTAGCAAATGATTTGGCAGCAAATAATATAAGAGTTAATTGTGTAGCTCCTGGTGTCATAAAAACAAAATTTGCATCATCAGTAAGTTTTTAATTTTTAAATTATTTTTTTAAATTTAGATATTATTATTTATTTTTAAAATTGTTTGTGAATTGTTAGTTATTTAAATAGTATTATGTGACAATAATGACCTGTTATATAAAATAAATAATATTCAATTATTTTTATAATAATAGCACTTTCAATGAACTTATATCAATATATATTTTAAATTAATATTTTTAGCTTACTGAAAATGATGCTCTTAGTGAATATTTATTACAAATGAAGCCAATGAAACGGTAATGAATATTACTTGTTACAAATCAAAATAAATATATTTTATTAAAAATGTATTATTTTTAGATTTGGTGTCCCAAAAGAAGTTGCATCTGTTATATCGTTTCTTTGTTCGTCTTCTTCTTCCTTTATAACTGGTGAAACTATAGCAATTTCTGGTGGTATGCAATCAAGACTCTAAATACTTATCATAAACGTCTATACAATTTTATGGAAATGGTTATATCTATCTACATATTTTCAAATCATACTCTGAGGTGTTTGTATTAAAATATTAAATTTTTAAAACTACAGTTGTTATGAAAATAGAATAATTAAATATTTTTATATATTTTTGTTATGATTATGTAACAATTTATTTATATGACTGGGTATAAGTGTATAAATATATATGTATATAAGTATAAATATATATGGATGTAGGGTATACCATTAGTTATAATTTCAATGATTATTATGTTTGTTTTCAAATACTTATAAAAATATTATCAATATTATTGAGATATTGCATTGTCATGGCTAGTATTGTAATATTTATGAATTATATAATTATAAAAATGTTCATAATATATTACATGTAGTAGAAGTCTATAAAAATGTATTAGAATGGAAGCCACAAAATGGTGCATTTTATTTTAGCTTATTAGCATATTTTACTGAATTTATGATATAATAGTTAATTGTGTGAGTAAAGCCCAAAAATTGATGATCTAAAAATATATAAAAATGCACGAAAAAAATCCATAAAATAAAAAAAATGTTCAAAAAATGACATGAAAAATTATAAGAATTAAAAACGTATATTTTACTGTAAAAAATGTTAAATATTGTTTTGATTCAAATTATAATTATAAATTAATTAAATAAAACTACTTTATTATATACTCTAATTAAATTTTTTATGGGTTGTTTTTAAAGGTAAATTTCATCTAAATCTGATAATTTTGAAATATGTTTTTTAATTGATAACAGAGCCAAATTATTCAACCTACAACAAAATAAATTAAAAAAAATTATCATCACATAAGTAGTATTAAATTTTAATTAATTGAGATGCTTATAATTTATAAAAAAAAATTCCCAGCTTGATTGTTTTTCAAAGGGATATTTTTTGAATTTATGAATGAATTAGATAATTATATTATATATAATAACATTTTAAAAAGTATGGAATAAAATATATTTTGTAGAAGTGTATAATTATTTGAGCTTATTAGATATATTATTTTACATAGGTATTTAAATATTAATGTCTTACTATATTAACATTTTATTTGTCATAAGAGATTTCATATAATTTTTAAGCCTTCTTGAACAAGAAAATGTTTTCTCACACCCAGCACTTGGAACTGGAATAGTTGTAATGATTTATACGATTTTATGAGCTTCAATAAAAGCTAACTTGTATTTTTCTAACAGCTCCAATAATTTCATCATGTATGAAATCGTGCATGATGATAATTTCATCAATTCTAAGATATGTTTTCAGCCTTGTCAAAGTTGAAACAGATTTTTCAGGTATTATTGACACTGATAATGTATAAAATATTTGAATTAAAAAATGTTTATTAGGAAAATCAGTTTTTGGGCTACTTAAAAGCGCTTCTAATCCACTTTTGTTACTAATATTTTGACTGGTTATTTTCATTTTCCATATTTTTAATTAAAAAAAAAGCATTATCATTTTTAACTGGTAGTAAATTAAACTCAACCAAATTCTTAAATGATAACCTTTCTACATCTGTAAATGTATAACGAAATAACTATTCAAAATATATACAAAACATGATATTTAATAGGTACCGGTTTTTATTTTAACATAGATAAATCAAAAGCTATACCAACAAAAACGGATTTATGATTTAAGAATCGAGTTGATAGTTGGTTGATAAAATTGTCAATAAATGGCATAAAAACTGTTGCTTTATAATAATTTTCTACAGAAGACACTTGAGGATTCACTCTAATTGTTTTCTTGCTGTGCATTTTTTGGTTATTTCTATACCATTAACATATGCTCAATCCTATTAAAATATTAGATTTTATATCCAAACTTTATGTATTTTATTTTTTCTTATTTATAAACGAAAATACCTAATAAGAATTAATAAATTAAATAAATAATGGGTATTTATGGGGTCAACAGGAAGGGTCCAGACCCCATGGAACCTCACCATAAATACGCCACTGATTACGTCATAACAAAACTTATAGTACTAAACTTAATAATGTTGAATAAAATATTTTTTAGGTGATTTCTGGGTCACAATAGTAAACCTTTTATGAATACAAAATTCGAGTCAATTAAAAATTAATCTATTATTCTAGTCACAGCTATGGCAACTACAATAACTTCAGCTATGGTATTTAACATTATTAAATCATGCACTTTTTTTTTATTGATTAGAACTTAATATAACTTTATTTTATATTAATTTTATTTACTTTATATTAAATTTAATATTCTTAATATTAAGAAAAATGATTCTTAATATTTTTACATCTCAGAATCACTTTCAAATTTATTTTTAAGAAAGCACACATATTTAAAAGTAATATCTTATTGAGAAACACAGAAAATAAGATAACTTAATTACCTATAAAAAAAAGGTTAAGGGGATCTATCCCTCATACCCTCCGCATAGTAAATACGTCAATGATTGACAGTAAGTCAATCCAGAATGGTTTTGAGACGAAAATATCTATTATAAAAATTAAAGAGAACAGCATTTTTGAGGGTGCGACGAAGCCTTTTTTCGTTAATCCAAATACGACAATCAATAAGTCCTGTACGAGTAAATAATATTTTCAACATTTTTAAATGACTAACTTTTAGGGAATTTAATTTTAAACAAAACTTCATGAAGCCCTCCAAAATGTAGTTTTCTTTCATTTTTACAATGGGTGTTTTAAACCTAAAATCATTTTGGAATGACTTATCGTTAATCAAAATAAGCATGTCTTTATAACTGAAAAACTCCCGTACGATATCCTCTTAAAGGGCATATCCAATCAAATCAAAATTATTATTAGAAAAATGCTAATAGAAACATCCAGGTTAACTTTAGAAGCTGCTTTACGGATAGTTCCTAAATTCAATGGGTCCCCTGAATCAAATTAAACATCTTACGAAACTAAATACAATTTTATTTTTATTAATATTATTGAGGAAAATAAACCATTGTTATTGTAAGCAGTATTAATTGAAATTACAGGGAAAGCTCAACTCATTTTTAGACATCGTCAAAGTTACTACTTTTGAGGAAATTAAAATTCTTCTAAAATCTAATTATGGAAAATTCACTCTTGGTAACAAAAATTAAATACCAAACGACAGGAAAAAGGGGAAAGTATAATGTATTATTCGAATAAAATATTAATAACAATAATTATGCTAAATTGAAGTTCAATTAATATATATCAATAAACGAGGCAAAGCTGCGACGAAGTATTACACTAGTCGTCGTCCTCCACATTTTGGTATTAAAACAAAAAAAAAAAAAAGAAGCCCTAATATATATAGGCCTCCTTATGGCCCGCCCTAGGAAAAATTCCTGGCGCCGCCACTGAAGCATCATCACATTACAATCAAAATAATTAATCAAAACCCAACACATTGGGTTCAAATAGGTCATATATTACAAGAGCACAAGACGTTAAATTAATCGCGGCAATTACGAACGATCATATCACATGTACTTGACACCGTCAAGTAGGAAGCCAGTTTTCTTATCGACAGCGGTGCAGAGGTTAATCTTATTAAATGAAAAACATTAGCACCATTAACGGAAATCGATACCTCAAAACCTAAATTATTATAATAATTAGGTATAAATTTCACTCCGTAGAAACACTAGGAATTAGTGTTGGGAATAATCGAATCATTCGATTATTTTTTGATTATCAAAATAATCTTATATTTTAATAATCCAAATAATGGTATCAAACATATTTATCAAAAGCAAATTAATTGAATCATTCGAAAAAATTGCTTGTTTTACTCATTGCCCATCACGGGTGGGTTTAAGGGGGCGGCTAAAGGGCATTATCCCCCCCTTGGGACTAAGCTATATATTTTACAAAGCAAAGTATTATTATATATTAATAGTTATAATAAAATATCGTCAATGGTCATTGATGAATATGTTACCTATTTTATATATATTTTTTATAAATAAATAGCTCACTTTTGTTGTTAATTATACCTGTATGTATTTACCTATATTTTAAAATGGTTTCAGATTAAAATTAATACCAATAATGTAATTATTTAAACTTTGTCATTATTGTGAAAAAAATGACTTACTTATGAGGGACTCAAAAACATATTCTGTAATTTAAAATTTTATATAGATTTACAAAACCAACTAATTAAATTCTTAAACCTCCATTAGCCCCTCCCTTGGTTATTGATAAAACCCGCCTCTGTTGCCCCTAAGGTACTAAATTAAGAAGTCGACCGTTCATCGGTCATGTATTATTATTTATTTTAATTTTAATCATTGGTATAATTTCCGGTATCGGTAATCTGTATATTATAAATAATTTTTAAAGTACCTAAATTGTGTGTTTAGTACCTACTTCGGTGCTCACCAATGGCGATTTTTAACGAGGAGGGGGTATAGGGGGTGTTGACCCCCAGGTCACGCGTTTAGGTTGTGATATATTATATTTTATATACTTGATATTATTATATATTATATCTTATATTATAATATAAATTAAAATGCTAGACTATATTTTATTTATTACCTAACGTAAGATTTACATTTTAAGACTTTAAGTAATACAAATAATAGTGGGTCAAACATTTTTTGTCTTCATATATTATAAGATAATGTATAAGGACCCCTCCTCCCAGAAAAAATTCATAAAACCACCATTGATGTTCATAATTATCAAGTTAATTACTTGATTAGCGTTCAAATCTTTTTTCTTCCTGAGTAATGTTTTAAATTTGGGACTAATTTTATTAGTGTGTACTGTGTACTTGTGTAATGTTGTTCATTCATAATTATTTTATTATTTTTCATCATAGGAATGAGTTATATAATATGTGGTTGTGAAAAGAAGCGTGGAAATGTGAATTCCACAAAAATTGGAGTCGACATGAAGATGTGTAGGAAAAAAAACTCTTCGTAACTTTAGTTGCAGTATTAGTAATTATTTTAAGAAAACTAAAACTCAATCTGCTACAAACGCTGTAGCTATTATGGATATTTCCCCAGGTAGGTAGGTACATAATAAATTTATTAAATACTGTATATTAATTAATTATATTAAGTTAAAAAATTACAACTATAAATGTTCGAGTGTCTACGATTAATATTTATAAAATAAAAACCAAATATTAATTAAAGTAATTCAAATAATTCCAAGTGTTATTGAAGTTAAACATATAGATATATTTTCTATTAAAATGCTTATTTAAATTATTTAATGAAATATTTTATTTTTACTTATAATAATTTATAATTGTGTTCTAAATAAATCTATAGGTATTGATATTGAAATTGAATTTGTAAAAACTAGTGATAAAAATATTGTAAATTATTTACAAAGCTGCCCTACTGTCCAGTAAACATTATTACGTATAAAATATGTATAATATAATATATGTAACATTTTAAAGTCCAAATGATCTGAATTTTTCTGAAAGTAAATTTTTATTATTTTTGCTAAAGCGTATTTTAATCTTACGAGTATGTGAACTAGTTTAAATTTTAAATACAATTTATTTTAATTATATACAGTAGTCACTCGATAATTCGAAATTCAGGGGACTAAGCTAAAAATTCAATTTATTAAGGTTTTCGATTTACCAAGTGTTCAAGTAATCCAGGGAAAAAAATTAATTTGAATTAAAGAGAGGTGAAAAATTAAATGCATATATTACATTTATCAATAGAAATTTATTTATTATATTATTATATTTTACATAGTGCTTGGGCACTTACAAAAATACTATCTTCGAGAACGGACGTCGAGTAGAGTGAAAAATTTAACTTTAAGATATTATTATACTTTATGAAATAAAGGACTACATGTCCGAAATGGCATAATACGTATGGTATACGAGGAGACTAGTACTAGAGGTGTAATAGTAACTAGATGTTATACCATTTCGAACGTGTAGTCCTTTATTTCATAAAGTAAAATAAAATCTTAAAGTTAAATTTTATAATTATTTTATAATTTTATAATTAAATATTATAGATTTAATATTTCTATTACAGAATATTACTAACATATTAATACCACATCATTTTCTAAGAAAAAAAACCTTAATTAGTGTTTAATAACATGAATTACACACTCAAATAATTATTTAGTGTTTATAATATATTTTATCTGTATTAGGTAAGTACGTCGTAAATCGTTGCGTAAAAAACTAGTACGGAATGCCTGCATATGCAATAATATTGTTAATAAAATTAAAAAAATTCACTTTGATTATCAACAATACCTATTTATTTGTTATCACAAAAACCACATTCATCAATGAACTGAATTGTATAATAATATTATGAAATTCAGTTCATTGATTAATGTGTTTTTACTTATGTATTATGCTCGTAGAGTTCATTGACATTTATTTGATAATATCCTGTTTGATAAGTGATAACAGTTTTCAAATTATCTTTAATATGCCATCAATTAAATTTTGTGTTAATGTGAAAATGTAGTTGTTAGAAATCTTTAACTAATTAAAACTTAATTTTTTAAATAATTATGATATATTTAAGATGCTACTTTAAGTATTATTATGTATTATTATTAAGTATTTTTCTAGTTTTATGTTTGAATATTTATTTAGTATTCTTTTTTTTAAAAGAAGAAACAAGTATAGGAGTAAGTAAATGTTTGGAAACTTATTCAAAATAATTATTATTATTAGCGATAGAGGTTTTTATATTTTTAAATGTTATTTCCCTTGAAAATTTTAGTTCAAATATTTTTAGTAGTATTATTAAAATAAGCTGTTTTACATTAATTAATAAGTTTAACTATAATTATTTATGTACCAATTACATAGTTGTATTAACTTAATCATTATTTGATTTAGTAAATATTATTCAATTTATTTATAGTCTTCTATAAACAATATGATTTATATTTTAGAAATCAACTCTATTAAATTATAATGCATCATATTTTGCAACTCAGAATATTTTAAATTCATTAAGCAAACTCGACAAAGATTATGATTTGCCAATACCAACTGAAGAATCTAGTATTTTAAAAGAACTTGAAGTACTCTTAAGTAATTTAAAATTAAAATTTAATGGTGATATTGATTTGTTTAATGCTACTATAAATGTAAGTATTTAATTTTTCCCTTATTCAAAGTTTTTACTAATAATAAAATATTAAGTATATACATACCTATTTTATAGATAATGAATAAAGATGGACTTATGCCTCTTTATGGTACACCATATCTTGGATCAACTATAAATTTATTAAAAACATCAGAAATAATCAAGACTTATAATGCTCTTAAAGGAACTCAATTAAAATTACTACTTATGTTTAAAAATAACCAGGAAGTGTTATTTAAACCTAAATGGTAAGTACTTCATTTTTTGCATAAGACATACAGAAATTGAAATTGGAAAATGTAAATCATAAGTATTTTATTACCTACATTATTATGAGTTAGTTTATTAATATGGGCATTAAATATTTTGAATATAAATAATTAATAATAACTATGATGGTGAAAAATTCTTTAAATACATATTCAATAAATTATAGGTACTTATAAATAAAAATAATTTAATAACTTAGAATACAATATATAATTTGGGGTATACTAATAACAATTATTTAAAATTGAATTTTATGATAGTTTGGACTGCTTCAAATATTTTTTGTACCATACATAGATAAATTTAAAATTTAAAAAAATTGTATTGTTTTCATTATTTAATGTTTTATTTATTAATAATAATATACTTACTTACTTATTACTTTATGATATTAATAAGGAAAATTGGAAAATATGTGGATTAATTAATTGAATTTGTAATGAGAAATTCTATACTGTATTTGTGGTTTGCATAAAATATGTTTGTTATTAAAAAAATTAAATTTTGCCACTGCTAAATTGAGGCAGAGAAAAATTTAAAATTATATTAAGCTGATAACCTAATATATGAGTCAAAACATTTTTATTCTTTCTTTCTTATAGATTTATGTAATTAATATTAGTAATTTCTTTACACTAAACTTATTGTTGTGGTTAGAAATTATATTAAGCACTCATATTATTAATAATTGAATAGTTAAAAAAAATTGTATTCTTGGATTTTCTAATTTTGAAATAGGATTGTAGTGTTTTATTATCATTATTTTATAATTATTTTTTTTTAAATTGTTCAAGTATTGTATCTTCAAAAATCTATTAATGTATTTATTTTTATTTACAAATGTGTTTTCAGCTTCAATTCAATTTTGTGCATATCATAAATTCTTATAGATTATTTTCCTCATAAAAAATATAAAATATTGTTAATTATATACCTATAAGATTATTTAATATCAGAGTGATACATAAATTGGTTCTTTGTTTTCTATTTAAGGTATTCAGAGTCAAAAATAATATATGGAGATGTATACGCTGGCAAAGATCGCTATAATGGTGAAATAATGGCATTTTACATTTCACTTATTCTTGGATTTCCACGTGTACCCATTGTTGTGAAACGAATTTTAGATTCTACAGAAATACACAAAACAGCAAATATTGGATTAAAGAAAACAATGTATATTAATTGTGAGTTATATATTACTTAATTTTTTTTTAAAATAAACTACTATATTTTAAAAATATACACAAATTTAGTTCAGGTTATATTTAGTATAGTATATACGTATAAACACCAAATATACCTACATACATATAGTATATATTTATTGTAAGAGTTATTAGTAGAGTTAGAAATTTTGCCACGATGATAAAATAAAATAAAATAATTATTAATTAATTAATTAATAAATTTGATTTTCTGTACATATTTTATCATGGTAATCAGCAACAACCAAAGAAATGTGTCTATATGGAAAATGTTTTTATTGTAAACGTGAAGATCCAGTATGCACAAAAAGTGAACGACTTGAAGGTGCAGCTATTTTTCATCTTCCTCCATATATGAAGCTTAAACAACGTTTACATCCTTGGAGAAGAACTTACAATGAAAATAAGACAGCAAGGTTAACAATTTTGATTTGAACTATCTAATTATATGGGTAAACTCAATTGTTTATTTTAAATTAAAATAATCATGGATCATACCAACGTTTATCTAATTAAATTTCTTTAATCGGGAATTTAATATTATATTAATTATGTTTACTATACAATGCATTATATGCATAATGTTTAAAATAAAACAATTTTTTTCAGATGGGAAACTGATAATAATTTTTGTACTTATGTTAAAGCTACATTTGATTCTGAAAGAATTTTGGACTTTATCGATATCTGTATATTTGATTTTATTATTGGAAATGGGGATCGACATCGATATGAAGTTATAGAACAATTTAATAATACCATTATCTTAATTGATAATGGAAAAAGGTATGTATGTATATATATCACTTGAATATTGTAATTTGTGGTTATTCGTAAAACAAAATGGAATGAGATACATTGCATATCATATTTAATCTAGATAAATTATATGAGTTAATAAGTATCTATATAATATTTTGAGTTATTTTGGTTATAAATTATTATTGAAACTTAAGTTTGATTTATAATTAACTGAAAGCTTATATAATTAGTTCAATATGAATTACATTTAATAATTAACATATATGATTGAAAATGACTTAGATGTATATCTAAAATTCATATTTTACATTATTAAATTTATTAAAACTAACTTTAAAAATAATCTTTTAAATATTTAATTTAGAAACATTTTTTTCAATTTTGTTTTAAAATATATACTTAAAAGTAAAATAAAATTTATATGACTAATATTATGATAAATAATAATTTAGAAACTCCTTCCGTTACTTTAAATTTCCATATGATATTGGCAAAATACAGCAGCTGTTTTTCCATTACATGTAAAGCCTACAATTTTGATTAATTGCCAGTTGCACTATGTTTTATATTTTTCACGATAAGTACACAATCCAGAAAAATTAAAACTTTTAACTTGTAATTATTTAATTTAAATTGTTATATTAGACCAAGGAATTCATAAAATAGATTGTGTCTCTTGAGTAAACACGTAACTTCCATGTAACTATTTAATTTTTAACCATTACGAGTATTTAGTTAATTCATAATAACTAGTGATGGTAATAATCGAATGAAATAATCGAATCCTTCGATTATTTGAATTATCGAATCAATTCGATTATTTTAAAAATCATTTGAATGATAAAATAATCGATTGAATCATTCGAATAATAAAATAATCGAATGAATCATTTGAACGAATTTATCAAATGAAATAATTATTCGAATAAAATCATTCGAATGAAACATTCGTATGATACAAATAATTGAATGATTTTCTTATCTCAATTTTCTTACCCGTATGACGTAAACTAGAGAGCCTTGATATTAAATTGATATTAAGGCTCTCTAGCGTAAACTATATATTTATGGTATTCATTTTATATTATGATTATTTTAAATTTTATAATTAAATATTTGTTCCATTTTAAATTTTTAATTCTCTATCTAGATACATGAAATAGATAATTCCTGATGATATATTCGAAAAATTATAAAAAAATAGTCAATACTACTGAATGTACTGAATGTTACTTAATTTTATTATATTATTGGTATACACAATACACTATATCAATACTTATAAACTTATAAAACCAATGACTATAAAGTAGTCACTAGTCAGTAGTACAAGTAGTGGGATAAAAAATCTGGTCGAATATTTTATCATTAGAGTGAAAAATCCATTCGATTATTTTGATATCGACTACTAATCATTCGATTATTCGATTATTTTTTTTTCGATTGCTAATTATTCGATTATTCCCATCACTAATAATAACCATTGATAATATAAAAAAAAACTTTTTTAACAGTTTTGGGAACCCTTACAAAGACCATACTGATATATTGGCTCCGCTTTATCAGTGTTGCATGTAAGTAAAGTGCTATAATTATAAATATATAGTATTTTAAAATGAAAATGATGATTGTAATGTTTATATGTTATAATCAGAATTCGCCAGAAGACGTGGGAAAGACTCAAGTCTATAAAAGGAGGAACATTCACAAACGTATTGCAAAATATGTTGGTTATACACGAAACAATATCTCTAATTACTCTACCACATTACAATGCACTTGAGCGACGACTAAAATTAGTATACGCTACCGTTACTATGTGTCAAAACCAATCAAATGAATCGATATTCAAATGACCATTGACAAGTATTCATTTTAATGTTAAATTTAATATTTTGTCGAAGTGTATTGTTTAAATTCTAAGTTTGTTACTATTGTTTTTTGAGGACAATCGCAGTCATCGCGAAAATGAAACCTAAAATGTTAGCTCATTGTCCAATGCGGATCCTTACTAAGTCGATGCTACTACGAATACTATGAGTATAACTATTGATAATTAATAAGACAATAAACAATTGAATTAAAATTAAAAATTAGCAAATTTTTAATAGGTACCTACTCATAAATAAATAAATAAATGTATAGCCCAGAGCATTATTACATAATAATTATGATCGATTTTGAATTAAAAATTAATAAATTACCTCTTTGTTAAAACCGGCCGATTTGCTAAATGTATTTCTTCTTTTATTTTTTCATATCCAGTCGCGATTAGTGGCAAAGTTTCCTATGAGACAAAGAAACATTGTCTACACAGTTTTTAATTGTAAGTATATATCGCACATCCAGAAGAAGAACGACACAACTCAAATATAACAATTATACAGCACTGGTAAAAATCATAATGACTAAAAATTAAAATTAAAGTTTTCATTCTACACACTTGGTATTTACACCAATATATTCAGATTCATATACTTTATCAAAAATATATCCTAAACATTTAAAAAAGTTTTGGGGTCTAATATTAAAATTAGTTATGTCTATTTTACTTTTTATTTTTTTTATCATAACCTTTGACTTGGGTCTATTTGTAATAACTAAGGGGACATGTACTATTAATTTATATAATTGTTGCGTTCAATTTTATTTAACATTTCGTAAGCTTAAAAATATATCAATTTAAGTCATAAATCATAAGTAGAAATTAATTAGTTACAGTACTCTTAAAATAAAACTATAATATCTAAATAGAGAAAAAATGTGTCTATTGCGGCACGCACGGCAGGTACTTTTTTACAATACAAAAATCATAAAATGTCTTGTTTAAATACTTTTAAAATAATTACGATATAGTTAGGGTATTAAGTTTTGCTTATACAATTCTAGCAAATCAGATTTTTTCGCTGCAATTATTTCAGGTGGAAAGTCGTAAGCTTTTTTAAGTTCCATACTGTTGAAATTGCTATTGCGTGTTTCCCTCCTCACCTAATAAACAATAAAATTAAAAAAAATAAGTTCTTCGGATTATATTATATTAATAAATTTATTTTAAATTTAAATTATAATCACCTTTACTATTTAGTAATCCGTATTGTTAAATGATGTTCTTAGTTTCAATGTGCATGGATTTGATTTGTCGATATGAATTTCTTTAATGTCATTCCACAGATTTTTTTGCCATTTACATCCATGTTAAAATTTGTACCAATATCTTTGCTTAAATTTTTGAAATTTAAAAAGTCTTCAGTAGACATTTCTTTTACGTTGTAGGTTTTTTTTTTTTTGGTTTGCCAACTTAATAACTGATACCCATTGAGATGGTACACATATTAGCTTTCTGATTGGTCGTTTGGTTTTGCCACTCTTTTTAAAAACTGTTATCTAGTATTATGTGTTATTTAATATTATCAAATTGCAATGCATATTTATTACTATTTTTTTTTTTATAAAGTGTGATTATAAATAATCTTCAAAAGGGTTTTTAATTTTAACTTTTTGTAGGTAGGTTTTTAAGTAAAATATTATAAGTCAAAAAGTTTCTTAAAATATTTAAATTAGTAGAATTTGATAATAATTTATTTCGTTCCAATATGTTTTCACACACCAGCTTGTATTAGTATTTTTACTATGAATACTAATCCAGTTACACATATCTTGTCCGGAAAACATATTTGTTGAGTGGAATCGGTTTATAAGTAGATACAGACACGTTTAGGTTAAATTAATAAACAATATATTAATATCATGAATAATAAAATGATACACAACGCACTTCGTACAAAGGCAACTGGTTGCAAATCTCGACAGACTGCCTCCGTATAGCTATGTTATAATATTCGTATATATGACACACTCGACATAGAGAATGTGCCATCTCAACATTTATTGCTGACTATACTAATGTATATATATATATATATACTTAAAACTACAGTATGCATATAAACTAATATATACTAAATATACTGGGTGTATTATTTAATTTCAACACTTCCCCTTAACAATATACCCTTACAAAAATTTATATATCCTTAACATTTTTAATCCCTAACATAGTCCTTAATTCCTGGAACCTTGTGCGTGCTGTTAGCTTAGTCAAGATGTCAGCTAACTGCTCCTTGCTGGCCACGTACTCCAGTGAAAACATCCCTGTATTGAACTTCTCACGAATGTAATGATAACGAACATCGGTATGTTTAGTTTGCTTGTGATATTCTGGGTTCTTCACCAATTTGATTGCACTTTGGTTGTCCGCATACAAAACAGGTGTATCTTCCTGTGTCTCCAGAAGATCACTGATAAGTAGTGTCAACCAAGTCAGCTCCTGAACCGCTTGACTCATTGCTATGTATTCTGCCTCTGTAGTTGAAAGTGCTACTGATTTTTGCCTCTGTGAGCACCAAGCTATGATTCTATTCATCTTAAAAATGGATCCCGATGTTGATCGTCTCGTAGTTGTGTCACCGGCATAGCCTGCATCGCTATATCCACGCAAACTGAGTTTCACACTAGAATCATAAATTAAACCATAGTTAACAGTTCCCTTTAAATATTTAAAAATTCGTTTAACCGTATTCCAATGAACTGTCAAAGGTTTTTCTCAATACTGACTGACAAGATTTACAGAAAATGTTACGTCAGGCCTTGTAATTTGACTTAGATATAACAAGCTTCCAACTGCTTCTCTATATGGGACTTCCCCTGCTTGTAGTGATTCTGACAGATTTGGATCTAATGAGTGTTGTGGGTCTGCAGGAATATGCAAGATATTGGTTTCTCCCATATTGAACCTCTCCAAAATGCGCTTACAATATGATGACTGGTGTATGTAGATTGAGCCATCTGGTTTCTGAACGATTTCAATTCCAAGGAAGTTTACTTTCTTTTGTTTCAAAGTTGTTGCTCAGGTATCTCACCATCATGTCCCCCATGTCATCACTTGTTGCTGCTATGATCCCGTCATCTACAAAAATAGCTACAATCAGAAATTGTTTATTTTTATTACTCACAAATACACAAGGATTTGCTTTTATTTCGTCCAAGTCAAAATTTAATAGCATATTTTTGAACTTCTTATTCCAGAATCTGGGTGCTTGTTTCAGTCCATACAGACTCCGCTAGAGTTTGCAAACTCGAGTGCTTCCTTCTTCATATTCTATGGGCTGTTTCATGTATATTTCTTCATCTAGATCATCATAGAGAAATGCTGTCTTTATGTCGAATTGTCTAAGAACTAGTCTCTTTGCTGCTGCTATAGCTAATATCATACGAATCGAATCATACTTAACCACTGGACTAAATGTTTCTTGGTAGTCTATTCCAAAAACTTGTACACAGCCTTTTACAATTAGCCTAGCTTTAAATCGATCTATTTCTTCATTAGATTTGTACTTGGTTTTATATATCCACCCGTTATTTATTAATTTTTTATTTAACGGCAGATCTACTAACTTCCAAGTTTCATTTTTCTTTAATGATAACATTTCATCGTCCATTGCTGCCTTCCAATCGTCTGCATTATTTCCTGTCATAGCTTCATCACATGTAACTGGATCATTGCACACTGAAAAAATTCATCCGTATACCTTATAGGTTTATTGAGTTTTTTCTATCCCTGAGTATCATCTGTTTTTGCTCTTCTACTCCCACTGGTATCTGTTCATCATCGTCCAATTTTTCTTCTTCATCATTGCTGTCTTCCTCGCTTCCAGCTGCATTTTTTGAATTGATTTCTTCTTCTTTATGATTTTTACTTCTGTAGCTGTGATGTACTTCTGTAGGTGGGTGAGACTCTTCTTTGAATATTACATCTCTGCTTAATGAAATTTCTCTTCCATTAAAGCATATACGATATGCTTTTGTCTCTTCTGAGTATCCAACGAAAATACCTTTTCTACCCTTCTGATCCCATTTTCTTCGTTTTTCTTTTGGTGTATGTGCGTAGATTTCGGTACCAAATATTTTCAGATTATTTATATCTGGTAATTTATTGAATCATAATTCGTAAGTTTTTTTTCCTTCTTGGTCTGTGTTGCCCGTACAATTTATTGTATATACTGCTGTATTCACTGCTTCTGCCCAAAGTATCTTAGACAAATTTTTGCTGTAAACCATAGTTCTGGCCGCTTCTACAATTGTTCACATTGACCTTTCCGCTTTATCGTTTTGCTGAGGTGTGTATGGTACACTCGTCTCATGTTTTATTCCAAATTTATCCAATATGGCTTTGACTTCAGTATTTTTATATTCTAAACCACAATCACTTCTTAAAGTAATCACAGAAATATTTAACTGATTTTTGACTGTATTTACAAATAGTTCAAATTTATTTTTTACTTCTGACTTTTCTCATAAAATACACATATGTATAATTAGAAAAATCATCCTTAAATATAACAAAGTACCGTTTATCTCCATGGGTCCACATACATCACAGTGAATTAACTGACCTGGTTTTGTAGTTTTAGTATTTCTCAGTGTAAGTGGCTTACTGTGTTGTTTGCCATAAACGCAAGCTCAGAAAAATTTGTTTTTCGTTTCTGTAAATTGAATCCGCATATGTTTCAAGTAGCTTCGAACATGTTGGATATTCTGATGACTTAGCATTTCATGCCACTGTAGTAACGTGAGATTTTTAACTGCAATGTTTGCTTGTTCAGCATTTTGTAATGTTTTTGTTCTCAGAGCCATTGAAAACATTTTATTCTCACAAACTCCAATAGCAACTATACAATTGTCCTTTTTAAACGTACAGCCGTCACTGTCTGTTATCATTTTTATACCTTTGTCAAGGCACGCTCCACACGAAAACAAATTTACCTTAAGATCAGGTACATGTAAAACGTTTGACAAATGACTGTCAACCTATTTTTTACCGATTTTCGCTTGAACATTTATATTAGCTTTACCAATAGCCATGATATGTTTGCCATCACCGATACGGACTGGTAATTGAACTTCAAATGATTCATAAATACTGAACCATTCTTTTCGGCTGATCATGTGATTCCTTGCGCCTGAATCTACATACCATTTTTCTGACTCGCTGATTTCGATGACCTTTGATTGTACTCCAACCAATGCATTACCTATGTTTTACCAGTTCTTATTCTTTTCATTTTGTTATTTATGAAAATCCTACAATCACGTCTCCAATGCCCAAGTTTTTTGCAATTATTACACTTGCCTGGTTTTTTTATCATTATTTCATTGGTTTTCAGAATTTCCAGTTTTCATATTTTTTTCTTTATAAGATACAAACGTCTTCTTTGCAGAAAATGCACTACTACCTGCAATATCTCTCTGAGCTTCGTGCCCTTGAATTTGCCTAGTTTCTTTCACCATGAGTCGATATGACAAATTAGACAATGTTTTGTCTGTATCTGGTATCGAATCCCATGCACTGTAGAAGTGCTTGTAGTTTTCTGGCAAGGTCATCAAATTTTTTGTCTTAAGCATTGAGTCTGAAATTGGTTCTCCAAGTTGTTTTAATTTTCTGCTTAGTCCTTCCAATTTTGAAATATGACTTGCCATGTTGTCGTCTGGATTCATAACATAGCTGTAGAACTTTTGTTGAATTAGCGTTACACTCGAGTCTGACTTCTGTTCGCACACGCTAAGCGATTTGTCCCACATTACTTTAGCAGTGTCACAATTCATTATATATTGTAGGGGTTGCTCATCCACTGACGTGACTATATACTTTTGAGCCTTATTGTACGCCTTTTTGAATATTGAAAAATCAACGCTATAACTCCTTCTTGCATCGTCCTCAGTTTCTATACCAAATTTTGTAAAAACATGTTTCTTTGATTTACCAGGCACAACGTCAAACAAATCGGCTGCTTTCAATTTCACTGTCATTTGGAATTTCCGTATTTCCCAATTTTCATTGCCAGTCAATTTGTTAATTTTTTAAATTCGTTATTAATAATGACGAATTATCTGTACACTGTCTGTACACTATAAATGTAATAACAAAAAACGTTTTCTGCGTTTAACACGATCGACGCAATATTACTACGCGAACGCACTTCGACTATATTAAAAAAAAATATTATTAATTAAGAAAAACTATAACTTCTTACTGTCTGGCTACTGGGCCCATAACCTGTTAAGTGGAATCGGTTTATGAGTAGATACAGACACGTTTAGGTTAAATTAATAAACAATTTAATATCGTGAATAATAAAATGATACACAATGGCAATCGGTCGCATATCTCGACAGATTGTCTCCGTATAGCTGTGTTATAATATTCGTATATATGCCACACTCGACATAGAGAATGTGCCACCTCAGCATTAATTGCTGACTATACTAATGTATATATATGCTTAAAACTACAGTATGAATACAACGAATATAACGAAATTAATTATTATCAGATTCCACTAATTTAAACATTTTAAGATACTTTTTGACTTATAATATTTTACTTAAAAATCTATAACACAAAAATAAAATAACCATTTAATATCAATATCTATTTATAATTAGGTAAAACGTAGCCATACAAGGTACCTATTTATTTATTTATTTTTTACTATTTTATTTACTAAAAACATTACTAAATTGTATTTATTGGCATTAATAAGTATATAAATTGTTCAAATGATACTCATCGTCTACTCCTGTTATAATGGTATCATCCAAAAAATTCTTTACACCTTTAAAACCTTGTAGGACTTTTTCGATTACTTGCTGAAAAATTGAACAAGCCGGTTTTGTTCCAAAAGGCAATCTTTTTACTTTATATATACCTTTGTGTGTACTCCATGCTAATAACTTTTGAGTATCTTTACATATTTCCAATTGATTGTAAGCATTTATAAAATCTAACTTACTAAAAAATTTTCCTCCTTCCAAAGCTACAAACAGTTCTTCGATTTTCGGTAATGGGTAGTTATAATCTTTTGAATGCTTATTTATAGTTTTCTTATAATCTGTACATAACCTTACTGTCCCATTTGGCTTTATTACAGGCACTAGAGGTGTACCCCATTGGACATTTTCCACTTTCTCAATCACATTTTCTTTTTCCAAACGTTCAAGTTCACTTTCAACTTTTTCAATATACGCAGATGGAATAGACCTTGGTTTACAAAAAACTGGCATTACTTCTTATTTTATTTTTAAGGTAATTTTTTCTTGTTTATACTTTCCTAATTTATTTTTAAACAATCCCTCAAATTTTTTTAACCATTTTTTTACACCAAAATCTAAATTATTTACTGTAATATTTGACACATCCACCAACTGTATACCAAATAAACTCATTAAATCTCTTCCCGATAGAACTCTACATCCATTTTCTACTATTAGTAAATTACATTGCTCCTTCTTATTCTTATATTTCATATCAACCATAACTTCTCCAACTGGATTTATCATTTCTTGATGTTGACCTTAATTTGGTTTTGATATTTTTTAATTTTGAAAATGTTCTTTCACAAGTAACTTGTGTACATGGCAACGTTAATACAAATGTATATGCATAATATATATTGTTAAAACCACCAGAGTGTTAACTATATTATGTAACACATTGAAAGCACATATTAATTTTTTAAAAATTATACAACTATTCCTTTCTAAGCAGTTAGCTAATAACAAAAATAATATAAATATTCTTACTATCTAAACCCCATTTAATCTTGTTAGCTAAAAACCCGTCTCCAAATATAAAAATATGTTAGTAAATAGTTGTTTACGACCACGCTCAAGGAAATAAGTAATGGAAAGGACTATAAAATAGTTTTAACTAAGTCGTAGTGACCTCAGTTACTCCATATCTGACAGGCGCGGTGGTGTAGCATGTACAGTTATATAGAAATCAGCGCGTAATATTTATTTTTATTGATATTACTATTATTTTGTATCAACTGATGGGGGATGCGCGCCGCCGAACCAAAATCAGTCGCGCAAACGGTATGTTCTCTTTTGAAAAGAAGTATAGAATTAACATCAAATTAATAATAATAATAATAATATGTTACAGTGTTATCATTACAGTTGCTAATCGTTTTTAGTAATAAAAGCTTGATACTTCACCGTCTGGTGCAATCAATATATGTAAATCAAAACAAGCGGTAAACTGAAAACCATCGATTGCTTTTTGTTTATCATCTTCGTTTAGAAAACCATTTTCATTTCTTCTTTAACAGTTCGAATCATTCTATCTGAAATACTTAACGTATTAAAAAAAAAAAGTTTTACATATTTTCACTCATGTGGAATTAATATTAAAAAATAAAAAAACCATAGTTCAATGATCTTAAACTACCTGCTATGTTATGCTATATCTATGTTTTGGATTAATTTTGTCGATATACCTACTTACAAAGTCACGCTGTTTTGATAAATCTGCCAGATTCTAAAAATCTTCAAAAACACATTTTCTCTGCTCTTTAGTTATTTTACTCGTACATTTAACTATCCAATTTGTACTACATGGCCCTCGCATTGATTTAGCATCAATAAGTTGCTTTTTGTAAATTTTCGTACAGTAATCCTAAATTTTTATTTTAACGCATGATATTTTTCTTCCATTTTTTGGTTAAACGCTTACGTTTTCTAGTCGGTGTGTTAACTTTTTCCAAATCTGGAAACGACGAAGTGGTCAGAATAATATAAAAATTTGATTCTTGATTTTTTTCAATTGTTGGTACATTTCTTCATCGCTATCAAAAGCTAATATTAAATCATATTCAATCTCATTTAATGGGGTCCAGTCACTGCCACTATCTCCAAAAAAAATCATAACCTAACTTGCACTTTTCATTGTAATATTATTATAAATATTATTTAAAACAAAAACACACTTTTATAATATAAATTGACAATAACCCCTAGCGTACAAAAACATTTTACTTCTTTATTTTTTTAATTTTTAAACCGTCAATTAAATAAAATATATTTATATTTTTGGATGTACTGTGGTTTTTATCAACAATGGTAATACGCAGGGAATCAAAATTGTATAACATTGAATCTAATATATTATTATTTTTATACTTATGTACTCGTATAAGAGTACTGTCTATAATAATATTTTTAATAGAGATACGTTGGATTATTTTGTACCAGCTCGATGAATATTAATTATATGTGATACCATTGTGTAAATTCACAGTAGCTCAGTCCGCCGCTGATTATATAGCAAATAATTAATATGTAGCATTTAATTTTTAATACAGAGGTAAGTGGTACAGGTATAGGCTTATTGCAACAATAACCTTTAAATAATAAAATTGTTATTAAATGGTTCATACTTGTAAATTAATATATAAATAAATAAACGATTTGCGATTTTATTTAATTTTTTTATATTCAATCACAATTTTATTTACTTTGGGTATACCTGTAGATGAATTTTTATTTTGAAAATGGTTGTACTTTAAAATATTATAATACTTCAGGCTAAGCTTTTATTTATATATTAATAACTTTTAGTATTGAATTTGTATTATATATGTGTATGCATAAATAATTTTAAACTTTTTTGTATCAAATTTTGGCGAATTTTAATTAATTAAATTATAAAATTTCATAAAATAGAAAAGTTTACATATTGATAATTATTTTATCGTTAAACTAAGAATTTTTAATCAAACTCAATGACAAACCCAAGCTGATATTTCCTATTTTATCATCACTTCTCCCACTCTAAAGTAATTTTACATATATTTACACATTAATATTTATTAAAATTTAACTCTTACTGTTTTTGTGAATTTTATGTTTATAAAATATAATTCTTATTGATTTTCTTAATTTTGAGCTTTTACTTCACAATATTTGGTATATTTTCGAAATATTTTTATTATTTCTAACTTTATTTGCAATCATGATTTTGTTTTACCATTTTAGTAAATAAATAAATATTGAATACTTCAGCTACACTATAAATAATTACAATTTCATACAAAATTAAATTTTTAAATTTAATAAAATACAGCATAAAAAATACAACCATTGAATCCAATAATAAAATAATATAAAATTTAGACAACAATACATAAAAATATTTGTAAAAATAATACTGTTAAAAAATTGTAGGTTTACAATAAATATAAATTAAGTATATTAAAAAAGTTGCAGTCTTGTGTAAGTAGCATTGTTCTAGAATTCCCATGAATCAAGCCAACGTAATCCAAACATTGTACTGTTTTGTTCAGTCGATAATGGTCCTGACATACCGTAAGCAAGAGGAGAATATAAATAAAAACTGAAAAAAAATTTTAACTTAACTAAATACATTTGCTCATCTTTAAAAATGGTCACATGCATACATATGAATCAATGCTCGAATACAAAGTTTTTAGATGAATAAATGAAAAGTACATAAAATGTACATTAGTATTAAAATTAAATTAAATTAGTACAAAAATTGTATTTAAAATTACTTTAATATTATACAAAGACTGAATTTGTAAATTAATTCATATTTCACATTTTATTATGATGCTAAAATGTTAATTGAGCATATTAGAATAAAAAAATATAGATATAGAATATCAAAAAATATAAGATCCAGGATTCTAGGACTGAATATGTGTGCACTTAAATGAAATATGAAGTAATTAATTTAAATTACCTATAAACAACTGTTGAGTATATAATTCCCATAAGCACATCATAAATAGTTTTCCGTAAAAGGGTTGGTCTGGAAGTCTTAATAGTTTGTAATAAGTAGCTGATTGTAACGCCTTGAAATAATTTTAGTTAACAAAATTTTAGTTTATATTTTTGTAATATGTGATAGTTAAATATTCTCTATAAGCAAATCAAAAAGATTAAAATATTATTTTTTTTATTTTACACTAACCTGTTAACATTGAACTATACAAAAAGGCTGAAAAATAGTGATGAAAGTACAAGACTCTTCCCATAGCATAAAATGGTATATAGTGCAAACACCATCCAATAAATAACCAATTACTAGTGGTCAATAATATTTTATCAGAGTCCTCAACTGCAATTTTAAAAACATGTAGGTAATAATTTATATTATAACTATAAATAGTAACATTAATTATTCTTACCAGCAGTATTTTCACTATTCCTGCGTTTATTTACAATAGCTCTATAAATTGAAATACAATTAAATAGCACCATAAAAAATATATTTCCCCACCATATAACTGGATTTCCAAGCAAATAAATTTTATAATTGTTACCAGAAAAGAATTGTCCCTGCAAGTTAAAATTGTGTGTTATAACAACATTAAAATAATACTAAAAAACACTTTGAATTTATATTTAAACAAAACAAACCTTATAGTTAATAGGCCATTGCCATGGTTTAGATGTAACTTCTCCTTCTTTGGGTTTTAAACCAGCATTTCCTTGAAACATTACAGCATGAGATTCAATAAATCTGGCAAAGAAATTTGGAGAATATACTTCAAAACTGACATTTGGGACTAAAAATTGTAATAAATATATCATAACACTTTATTTTATTATTATTAGATCATTTGATAAAAATGTAATGATTTAAAGAAATTTTGAAATTTCATTAATAATAATTTTACATACGTTTTGGATTTATATTATCCTCAACATTCCAAAAAGAATTTGTGTCTCTCAGATTTGGACTACATGTAACCTCATGCTGTTCAAATGCCCTAAAAATAAAATAAATCAAGCACATAAAAATAAAAACAAAATATCTACCGATAAAAGTCGTGTTATAGTATAGAAATATTAAAGTACCATTTCGGTAATTGTTTATTGCTTGTAGTCAGTACACAATGCTGAAGAACATGAACTAATTTAATTTTACTAATTACAGCTGAAACCAAAGAACCATCTATACCACCATCAACAAACACTCTCCATACATCATTGTAATCACCAGTACCATTCTATGAACATAATATAATAATTGACTAATGAAATAATTTATATATTAAAATGATTTTTTTAAGCAAATAGTAAGCAATAATGGTAATCATTTAATGCTAATACCTCTCCATAACCAGTAACTTGATAATGTTTTTTTGTTATTGGAGCCGGTTCACGATGTGAATGCAAATTTCGTCTAGTTGGAACATGTTCTAGTCTAATCATATCTCCATGTTTTACAAATCTTACAGTATCATTTAACTGTTCATCATTATTGTAAAGTTTAACCAACCACCGATTGTTTTCATCTTTGTGTGCATAGGTAGTTATCTATATTCAAACAAAAAAATATTAATCCGATGTATTTTTATTGCTATAAATTGTAATATAATATTTTTACTAACTTGTTGTTGCCTGGCACCAACATTTTCTGGATAAAGATGCCAATGTGAATGTAAATATCCGCCACCAGTTCTATGATTTTTTAAAGTTACTATTGCTCCAAATGCTACATCTATACAATATATAAAAAATAGTTATTTTTGTGGTTTTTAAAAAAACTGTAGATGTATGAAAATTAAAATTATACGACCTTTTGGCATACTAGCGTTATGCAGGGAATTCCCTTGCAATTTTGATTGAAAAGCCGAACTATAGAATCCATCACCATTACCACTTTTATTGAGTATAACAAGGTGTACATAAAAAAATCCTACATACACTGTTATTGGTAAGATAATGAGACAAATAAATCTTGCAACAAAATGTTTCACTGTGTAGCTCTACATTAAAAGTAAAATAATAATATTATTTATAATAATATTAAACATTCAGAATGATTACAAATATTACAATAGGTTTTGAAAGTTTTCCAAGTATAAACCATATATCAGCTATTGTCATCAATCCAATAAAAGTTACTTGAAATAATCCAACAAATTTAACACTCACACAGCAGGCCATGGTTACACCAGTAAATATTAACCAAAACCACCAGTTAACACTGAAGTCACTAAAAAAATAAATCAATATTTTTAAATAAATAAGAACACAAACATAAAACTTTATAACTTACGATGCTGTTAGAGATCGAAACTTGCAAATTCCAACAAATGATGCCAACATGAAGAACAATAGTATAGGGTCCAGTAAAATATATTGAGTTAATGTTAATGTTCCAACATCTGAATTAATAACAGTCTAAAGTTATAATTATACAAATTAAGCTTGTAAATATTTACCGAATAAAACTAAAGTTGATGATAAAGTTGCAGCATTTAATGAATGTGTCATTTCCCAAATAGAAATAAAAGTAAATGGTATTAATGCTCCACCTAAAATTGAGCAAAACTGGAAAAAAGATATGTTTTTTTAAAAAAAAAAAAAACTTATAATTTTTATAACAGTTTTTTCAAAACCTCTCTCATTCCAACATAATTGACGCCTTCATATTTGTCACCAGGTTTTTCAAATGGAAAGCTACCATTATATCCTGTTAAAACTCCAGATAAAGCAATCAACATCTAAAAATGTAAGGAATTAAAATTATAGTGGATTGGTTTATATTATAAAACAAAATAAGTACTTACTTTACCCAGTGGAGGATGTACATCAAAAAAAAATGTTCTATTTATGTACCAACTACCCATTTTTCCAAAATGTGTTTCATCCCAACTAAACAATAAAAATAAAAATAAAAATAAATTACTTTTGGCATAATTCCGTTTCATTGCATGATCTAAAATTTAAAACAAAAATACTTACCAAACGTGATCTGGCTCTTTCACTTTATATAATCGGGTTCCAAATGAAATAATAGTTACTACTATAAGCAATATCCACCATGATGAATCTCTAAAAAAAAAATAAAACAAACATTTTTTAAATTTAGAATTAAAATGAGTATAAAATATTAAGATTTGATACTTCAAAATTGTTTGAACTATTTAATGATTTAAATTTTTATTTATAATTATGTACTATAAGATGCATAACATACTTAATCAGTAAGGAATAAGAAAAGTAAAAATAAGAAAAATTATAAATGCCTAGTAAACAATTTTTTTTCCAACTATGCTTTGACTTAATTTTCTTGATTATTTGAATTATTTATTTATTTATAAATATTTTCATCATAAAACAATTGAGAAAAAATAATAAAAGAATTTTATTTTTAAGAACAGAAAATATTTTTTTTTATAACGGTAAAAGCAAAAATTGATTCAGAAATAACTAATCAGTTTTTTTTTTAACTCATCTATAAAATCAATAAACAATTAGGTTTATACTCAGAGCCAATCCAAACTAAATTTTGCTGCTAAAAAACAATAATACAGTTGATTTGAGTTTGACAGAATTTAAAATTAAATAACTTTAAATGAGGAGTAAAAAATATAATTAGGTCAAAGGCTCATATTGGTATGTAATTTTACAATCAACCTGTAATGAAAACAATTATGTTGAGTATTAATTTAATCAATAATGTTTGTTTACAAATTACTGGATACATATACATATAAGTAGGGTTGTCAGTTTTTGTAATCTCTAAACTGAGACATATAATTAAATTACTTTTTTTATTTGTTTTCTGAAGTAATGCTCATATAGAAATAAAAATAAGTATACCCATTTTTGATTTAAATATTAATCACCTTATTCAAAGATTTATTATTATTGTATACAAGCAAGCTGATTAGATTTAATCATTTAGACAATATAAAACAATTATATCATAATTTGAGGATATAGTATACAATAATTTACTGTTTTATTGTTAAATGTTATTTTCTCTCAGCTTCTATTGGCTGGAACGAATGACAAGCCTAGGTAAATAAGAGTTATTGGTCGAAGAATCCGCTACGCATTGGAGTGTTGACGCATTGAACAGCATTGTCCATACTCAGATAGGTGAATTAATGAAAAACTAATGCGAAAAGGAAAAGTGCGTGGCGTATAAGTGGATGTATATCACCATCAAGGCGACCACCGAACAGCGCAGGGAAACGACGAAGACTATTTACCTTTTGGTCTTGTCCATTGTCGACGGAGGGACAGCGGTTTTTGCGGGTGATGACGCTCTTGCCATGGTTTGCGCACCTCGGCTAATCAACGTTGCTTGACGGTCGTCACGTGTAGGTATGAGTCGGCTACTAAGTAGGCTGTCGAATCCTACAAGACACGAACATTTCGGTAGACCCCGGACATTTCGTGGTGCTCGGATGGTTTTCAAATCGTCATCGATCGCGACATACTGATAACAGCATAACGGTACTCGGTGAAACGTCACAAGAGGATTGCGGGACCAACGCGAGATATTTTTCGGAGTTGGTTATCACGGATTTCTTATCATCTTAGGGTTTGCTACCATTAAAAATAATATTCATTATTGCAAATTGTAATACGCTATTTCATTTTCATTTCGTGAGGTCTCTTTTCAATACTCTAAATATATTTATTATATAATATTCCACTGCCCTCCGTGAGTTCATGCGCCCGTTCATCATTGGCAGACTTACCCGAAGACGTCTGTGTGGTCCTGAAGACTAGCCTGCACTTGATGCAAACATCCAAGCAGCGTCAAAAAGCGTCAGGAACGCTTTAGTGAACATGATATATGTCATCTTGTCCTCTAAGGAGGTGAAGAACGCGAAGCCGAAAGATACAGGGCATCCATGAACGCGACTTTCAGGCTGATGGGTTTTGGATACCGGGCCGTGAATAACTGGGCCACAACAGGAGTCTAGATCGTCTAGTTCTGGACACCGAGTCGAGAAAAAGCCATATTCAAAATTATAAATCGCCTTAAGCAATCTTGTAAATATATTGTGAGGCCATCGAGATCCCCACCGGATGCTCCTAGGCAACTAAGGTGTATTGGTTGGAATATAAATGGAACAATTGTAACGTGTAATTATCTTTATCAATAAACGATAGGGACTAAGTGTGCAATAATGTGATAAACGGCTCCCGATCGGTTCTCGGTTCAACCATGTAAAAAAATAAATGTATATTTATTATATGTACAAGGTAGTTAACAGTTGTTATGATTGTTGGTTTTCAATTTTAATATATTAGGTATTTATCGTGTACACTTCTAGACTATTTAATAGAGAGCTCTAGTTAGAGTGACTTGTTGCGTACCAAGTTGTTATATTCAACTCAACAATATTAATGCCGGATATAAAATAGAATTATAATACTAACTATTATTTACTTTAAACAAATGTTTTTAATATTTCACAATACTATATTCAACAATTAATCTTCAATAATACAAATAAACTGACGTCAAAGATGTATCTCTACTGCATAGCTGGATTGTCTTTGAATAGTGACTGCCCCAGTTAGGTTAGGTTAAGTTAGTTCAACCCCCTTATATATTGGTTGCAAAAATTTACAAAGTATTGGTATTTTTAAAGAAATTACCTATCAGTAGGAAAAATCAAATATTTTATTTATTATCTTTTTTAAGTTCACATTGAAGAATATCCAATTTCCTTTCTTGTATTTTAGATAAATTATTTGTAGGTGGGTACTTTTTGGAACTATTATTAATATACTTAAATCAAAACATATTTTTTGTCCCAACCTCAACAATCATTTTCCAGAATAACAATAATTATTATCAACAAAAATTTTATAAGTTCTGTATGCTTAAAAAAAAAAAAAAATGTTAGCTTCTAAGACTATTGGAATTATTTGTTTAACTCTTGAACATATATGTTCTGTTTAAAACTTAATTTCTTACCTAATTAAAATTATTTTTAATAAGCCTAGATTACATTGTTCTAACTAATTTTATTCTGAGTTTAAATTTTAACTTTTATTCAAAATTATGAACAGGTTTTATTATGTATGTATAAAGTTATTATTTAGTAAATTTTGGCTAACATATTGTATTAATTAAAATATTAAAAAAAAATTATAGTTTTATTATATTATTTAATCATTCTACATTTGGGCATATTCTAATAATAAAATTAATTTCTTTATTTATCTTTATTATAATATACTTATTTAGTTATAATCTATACTGTTTTAAGCTCTTAAAAATATTATACTCTTACTTTTTTTGTTAGATTTGTTAGATATATGTAATATTTTACAACCTATTATATCTGCATTTTTGATTCTGAGCCCTAAGGAAAATAATATAATGAAACCATAACAGAACATTAAAAAAAAAAAAAAATATATTCATCTCAATAAATTATAAATTATTAAAAAAAATTAAATTAAATTAAAAAAGTTTTAAATTGTATTTTTAAAACTGTATATTAATGATTTTTAAATTATGTTTTTATTTTCTTATAATTAAAATAATATAAGTATCTGGTATTTCTATCTTTTTTCATATTTCACTAGAAACAAATAGATATGATGACAACTGTTTTATAATTATATGGCAATACTTTATTTTTTAATAAATGAGTGTTTTAAAAGGTTGCATTTTATAAAACTTTTTTATTATTTTTTTACATAATTGACATAATTGCTAAGCTCAAAAGCCGAATAAAAATAATATTATTGTAATCGTTTTCTAATATTGTATTAAATTTAAAATAATAAAGAATAATTTAACTAACAATAAATTTATTTACATATATTGTAAGAGATGTGGTGTTGTATTAATTAATTTTATTTTTACTTTGAGATAGGATCCCCAGGTAAGTATTTTGTTTAAAACGATACCATGATATTTCATATTTTCAAATTATTTTAATAAAGTTTATGGTATTTATAAGCACTCAAAATCTTCCAAAAGTATTCTTTTTTTTTCCGGAAGGGATTAATACTTAGTTCAAAATTTCTTTTAAAAAAATTTGGTTTTACTATTATACAAATCATTTTTAAAAACATAAACTGATCTACTAGACCTTTTTCACATATTTTCTTGAGGTTTTTTCGAGATCAATGGTACTTTTCATGTAATATTAGATTGAAACAAGTTTAAAAAGTGAATGAACACTTAGAATTGGTTTTTCGATGGAAATCTTACAATAGTTTTATGTTTAAAAGAACAACAGAGAAATACTAGTCACCTATCCTTGCATCTTAACCGACCTAGAAGTCTCGCCTTTTTTTATATTTTTTTAAAAATCTTAGACCATTGAAAGCACAAGATATAAAGCATAACGAAGATTGATAATTTAAATTTACTTAAATACTAAGATTCTTACAATTTTTTTTTTACAATGGTTTAAGCTATTTGAGTCTATGTAGCATAATACAGGGTGGCGGAACAAAAACGACACATTTTGAGATAAGCGTAACTTTGAGAGGGGACATCGCACAATATTGCCGAACGTCTCATTGTGTAGTACGTGACAGGAAGTTTAGTTGCAATGCCGCAGTGGAATATTTAACATAATTAACGCAATTTAGTGTGCGCATGTTGGAAATTTTACAAGACCAATTTGCACTTTTCATGACATCGGACGAGGCTCATTTTCATTTAGATGGCTACGTTAATAAACAAAATTGCAGATATTGGGCACATGGTAATTCAATACAATTCCACCAACAGCCAATTTACAGTGAAAAAGTTACAGTTTGGTGTGCATTGTCAAAATTTGGAATAATTGGGCCTAATTTTTTTGAAAATGAAAGAGACCAGACAGTGACGGTGAATTCTGAGCGTTAGGTTGCTATGCTCCAAGATTATTTATTTCTTTACTTAGAGGAAAATGAAATAGACACTGAAAATATATGGTTTCAACAAGATGGTGCCACTGCACACACAGCGAGAATTTCCAAAGTTCTCATGCATACTAAATTTCCCGGACGTCTGGTCTCTCAAAACGGTGACGTTCCATGGCCAACTCGCTCCTTGCGACTTCTTCCTGTGGGGTTATTTGAAGTCAAAAGTTTATGTAAATAAGCCACGAACATTAGCTGTTTTACGAGATTCAATCAGAAGTGAGATCAATTACAATGGAAATGTTGGAGAAAGTGATGACAAACTTTGGTAAGCGCCTCCAAGAATGCGTCACCATGCACGGATGCCATTTATCAGACATTCTATTTCACACATAAGTTTTTTTCATTTTTAATAAAAACTTCCCGACATTTACTAAACTTGGGTTTTTTTTTCATCTCAATGACTCAAAAATTAAAAGTGTGGCGTTAATTTCAAATGTGGTCGTTTTTGCTCTGCCACTCTGTATAAAAATATGTTCAAGTAGAGAAATGAGAATATAATAAAATACATATATTGTAAATTTAAAGACAGTAATTATTTACAATATGACTGTCTATGGCAGTGGTTTTTAACCAGTGTACCGCGATAAATCTATAAATTGTTTTATACGAGTAAGTATGTATTTACTAATATTACTATTGATATTCAATGAAAACTGATCGAAGTAATCGTAGATACATATAATACTATTTATTGAAAGTATGCCCATCGCAGCCGTCTCAATCGATCGATTGTAATAATATATTTCACAATAATTAACCCTCTAATAGAGTAGATTATAAATATATAAAATATGGTTCCCATATTATATCGATTGGTGTGCCGCGAAAATTTTGTTGGAGATGAAGTTCGCTCATTGAGTAGCACTCCACGAGTGTGCCGCACCATCAAAAAGATTTAAAACCACTGATTTATGGCTTATTTTACTCAGCGAGGAAAGTTGGCTTTTGACCGATAAACTCCAACAATTCTAGTAGGTAATAGTTATAAATACACTAATTTGATTATCTCAATATAAACGATATTGTTATTATGTATTTGGCGGATTATTGAGTGGCATATTAGGGCAACACATTTTTATTAATTCATTTTTTTTTTTTTTTTTAGTTCATGCTATAGCATCAACAACTTAGGTTAAAGAAAAAAAACAGCTTAAAATATTAATAAAAAAAAAAAAAAAAAAAAAATAAAAACAAAAACTTCATAATATCGTCGAGATACCATGTATAATATTATATTGGCCCGTAATAAAAACAATTAATTACTCATATTAAAAAATATAAAAATTCACGCAGATACTATTCGTATGGTAGGTAACTAACCATATACTAACAACACAATAGTGGTTTTAATTATTTTGATTTTCAAATCAGTGTTAACGAAATTTAAAATATACTGAACATTGTTATTCAAGGCATTTTTTTCTCATCAAAATCGTGGTAAGATATAAAACCCTTACAACAATTGTTATTTTTGTTATTATTTATTCTTTCGAAAAGATAATAGGCCCCAATGAACAGGTTGTTGAACCCATAAGTTCATGATTTACAGTATTTTATAATTAAGTACCTATACGTTCATATCAATACAGTTTATATTTTAATTATCTTAGATTTATAAATATATAAAATATAGCTAATTGTAACTACAATTTAGGTAACAATTATTATTATAAAAAACTTACAGTTTAATAAAATATATTATGTAATAAATTAAATTAAAGATAGGTATAAAATATTTAAAATTTTATATTTTGTTCATGCTGCAGCCAATTACTATTTTTTTTAAACTAATTAAAGATATTTTGATTTCTACTGGTAGCATATTATATATTTTTAGTCTTATATATTGGCAAATAACCTAACTAAGAATTACCCAAAAATAACTCAAAAAACCCAAAAAAAATTATCAGCAATGTCGAGCAAAGAAAACTAAAAACGTTTCTAGATAAAGATAAATGATAAAATACTGTTTATCTGGATAAAAAAAAAAAAGATAAAATTGTTTTTATTTATTAATTAATCTACACTTTTTTTTTTATAAATTTATGCTTAAAAAATAATACTAAATTAAAATTAACTTAACTTTGATCTAATAGGTACCTCCAATATAAATAATGAACAAAAAATATTTATATTGTGTACGTTTTTGTAAGTACTTAGTTTAAAAAAAAAAAATTCTTTGTAGGTATATTATAATTTTATAAAACAGTTAATTAAAATTTTTATAGTACTTATTATGGAGTAATATTTATGGTTATAATATTTTAAAGTTAATTCAACCATTATCTGTATTATTTAATTATCTTTCTTAGGAATCAAATATTGTAAGAGTAGGTAACTAGAAAGTATAAATTGAATAGTATTTACTAAATATGTAAATAATTCTTAAAAATAATACTTATAAGCACACTTTAAATAATATATCTAAACATATACTGCAATAACACAACTTTTAAAATAATAGAAATTAATTATAAATTTAATAAATCAATAATATTAATAAAGTTTTCATTAATTTTAAATTTTTATTAGTTTTTAATTTTCAATTTGTTGAATTTTTTGATTAAATATACTCGTATTTATTTATCTGGATGAATTTCGTTATATTACTTAAGAATTCATCAAAGATAATTTATCAGATAATTAACTTTGCTTATTATCTTTATATGATAAACAATAATTATTATTTATCTAGATAATTTATTTAGATAATACTCAACACCGATCATCAGCGTAACAGACTAGTTTTCCATGTACCTTTAAGTCGTTTATTTGGTTAATTTGTATATTAAAATAGGATGAGAGAAAGATTGGTACTTCGAGATAATCCACATAAAGTTTGTTTTTCTAGACATAAAGAGTTATTTACTTGAACTTAATGTTTCTTATTTTTTAAATACGAGCTTAATAGATTAATAAATCTTAGGTTGGTCCTCTGATACCAAAATTGTGAAAATGATGTAATAATATACAATTTTTATAAGTGTCAAATGCTTTTGCTAAATCTATGTAGAAAGTTACATATTTTTTTTTTTTTTACTCAAATGCATTATATATATATATACTTTTTGATGAATCAACTATAGTTCTAAATTTAAAATTGACTGAATAAGAGTCACTTTAATATTAATAAATAATACATTTTTTTATTATTCTTAAAAATGCATAAAACTATTTATAATTTTTTATTATTAGTTACTTTTTGAATATTTGTACGTATTTTTTTTTTTTTATAAATGTTATAAACAAGACTAACATAATATGGATATTAAATTATTTATTAAAAATCGAGGAGGTATCTGCGTTTAGACTAGTGATGAACGTAAAATCACGTCGCCGTTACTTTGTCACCGTGACAACAGGGTTGTTGTTAGTCACTGCGACAGTTGCAAAAATTAATGGTTACTAGTGACTTTGGTGACTCTCCTGGTTACCTGGGATTACCATTAAAGTATTAAACAATAAACACTGATCAGTGGCACTGCTGGCGCTTGAGACTGGTTATCAGTTTTTCATTATCAATTTCTAAGCCAGAAATAAGTAACTTTAATAGAAAAAGCCTTGTATTGTATTGGGAAAATGAATTGTTACTATTACTTCCCTAACTAACGATCGGGGTTTGATACCCTCTCACTGAAAAAAGTTCTCGTTGTTTCCCTGTTGAGGTGAATTTACACTCGTTGTACCGGCTTGCGTACACTAAACAGTCAGTCCATATGTCTGTCCGGAGTACTTCGGGCAACTCACATAGCCGTTCGGCATCCATCTTTCGTTTTAGAAAGAATGACAGGAGGGAGGATACATCATCTTGATACATTAATTTTGTTTTACTTTTTAACAATTAGGTTGAAAATAAACTAATATAATATACTGTATTCTTGTAGTCTGTTTAGCAGTTACGTGATTTTATGAGCATCATTAAATTTATTATTGGTTACTGAGTAACTTAAATATATATTATGCAAAACAAGTAGTGACCTGTCATCAAAGCCAAAGCAAAAATAGTACACCAGACAAAATCAAATTTTGCCGCCTCTAAAAAAAAAAAAAAATTGAGCTCTTATTTTAACTTAGCCCCTCCCCTATTTTTTATGTGACATATTTACTTAAAAACTTTTTTTTATTTTATGGATAAAATTATATGTAAAAAGACTTAAAAATGATTTCTGTTACTATTACTCAAAACCCATCACTACCACGACTATCGGATTTGTGATTATTTATATTTTTTGAATAATTGAATATGCCCAGCGTAGGCCGTAATATAAAATAATATAATAACTTTAGACAATAATATTTTATTATATAGGTAAGTGGTTTTTTCGAATGAATTCATTTAAATATTTTTCTTATAAAACACCAATAGAACTAAAAAAATGTTTGGTCAATTTTGAAAATTGATTACTAAAGTGCCGCTCTAGGCAAGTGCCTAGCTCGCCTATACCTTGAGCCGGCCTTGCCTGTCACCATTAAAAGTCATTGTCACCCATGTCACAGTGACCAAATTTTGTCACTGTTAACCATCTATAGTTCGGACCGAGTGCTCTGTCTAGGGTGTTGGGAATATTGAGTTTGTAGAGTTCAGTGACGCAACCAGGGGGGGGTCCCCGGGTCCGGACCCCCACCTCCTTGAACCGTGTCATATCTTTCTAAAATGATAATGACTGGCAAAATTGAATAATTAATTCGAAGATTGATTTAAGAAATTCCACATCTGAAAGAAGATGCAATGGATTAGCTACTCTTAATGTCCACTACGAAGTTAGTGTAACACCTGAAGAAGTAATACAACATTTAAGCTATACAAAACATTGCTTAGATTTCAATTTATAATCTTGTACATACCATTTACCTTTTTTTTTACATAATACATTTAATTATCATTCAGTTTTACATTATAATTACAATATTTACATTAATCAAACTATAAAATAATAATTAAATTTGCTAGCTACTTTAAAATAATTATATTTTTAGAACCCTCCTTCCCCCCTTAAAAAAAATCCTGGTTGCGCCACTGGTTGAGTTCCTCTGTGTGCTGGAAGCGTTTTTTAAGGATATGGTTGACTGATAATTCGATACCGCAGGTAGTGCACATAGTTTTTTTCATATTTTGCCACGAGGTATCCATGTGTTAGTTAAGTGTGTCCAATGCGGAATCTGTTTAATATTAATTTTTCTCTTCTTTTTGTGAGGAAGTTAGGCCAACTGGAGATAGAGTTTTTAATTTTTCTGAATTTGGTATTTTGTATAAGCCAGTGTATTTGTTATTTGATTTTAATCAGTTCTTTAATTTGGGGATATCTGTGTATTTTATTGCTTTCTTAGTTTCTTAATCTGTCTTTTCGTTGTCTTTTTATAACTTGTTTATATAGATAGTTATATAAGTAGTTATAGTTTGTTTTTAAAACTTAATGAGTGATAATTATGTCCAGTTTTACACGTATAAAATTATATATTTTTATTTAATAGATGGAAAAAAATGATGAAGATAATATTTTAGATATTAATGGTGTAAATATATATCTGCACAAATTTTGGAAAAATTTGGATGAAGCGAAGTTGGATGATATAAAAAACCGATTTCAAATGTATAAAAAAGGGAGAGTGAACAAAAAAGAATTGCTTGATATATTAGAATCGTACATGATAATTTTGTCTGATGAAGACTTAAAACCATTGTTTGCGAAAATAGATAATAAAAAACAAGGCTCAATAAATTTTTTAGAATTCATTCAGTATTTGACATACGAGATAAAAACACATTATGAAAATAAAATATTTTTGAAAAAGAAAGAACCACTGTCAATGCCTAAATTATTAATTAAAGAAGCAATCGAATATGACAAGAATCTTCCGAATAATATCATCGGTATAGAGATCATACCGTTGACCAAACAACCATCGGAAACACTGTTCGACCACGATTTATACGTGCTTATTAATGAAAACGGAGGGTTGCAGTTTTACTCGCCAAACATGACTTTTATAAAGACTCATCAATTAAGTGAGGTAGTATAATGTTTTTTTTATGATTTACTGTTAAGAATTTAGGTTTAAGTGTTTTAGCAGAAAATAAGATACCAAGTATACTCAAATAACCGTAGTTGAAATAATTTTAAATAAGCTTATATCTTTATTAACATTGGTGACCACATAATCCAGAACCAACTCAAAGTCAAAGTCCTAGATATAAATTTTGACTCCAAAGCCTCATAAATCCCCCACATGTAACCTAAAAAACTCAACATGATAAAAATACTTATACATACCACATAAGGCACCCAGTCTCTTACCCTCTTGAAAATACATAAATAATTTATTCTCTCAAAATTTTACTACTGGACTCCAATATTTTTAACCGCCAAACCTTCCCATTTAAAAATATTGGAACCAATCTAAAATACGAGAATCCGACTTTCCATCGGTGAATTAATTCTAGCCCAATTCAAAGTATCCAAACAATAGCGGGCATTCCATTTCTAGCAGCTCAATGAGAAGAAAAAATGGCCATAGTAGCTTAAATTTCAAGACTTGGCCTGAACATTATATCTCATCCAAAATAAACACTAGATAATACACACAAAAAATATGGTTTCGATAACATCATTGCTACCGAAAAATCTTTATTTTTGTACACACTCCCCAAGAAACCAACATAACCTAACATATTTAAAATTTATTTAATGAAAAACTCTACCTTACACATATTTATTTATTTATTTATATATTTCACAATCCCTTACACAATGTATATGGACGCGTCTCTTATTGAAGGTCGTGTCGGAATGACTATCATTCACGAAGATAACCAAATCTAACGGAGACCCTCCGATAAATGTCCCATATATACAGCTGAAGTTTTAGCTATTCTCAAAGCTACGGAGTATACTATTTCAGAAATTAATTATCACAACATCACGACTCATAGTGATTCTTTATCGACCATCACAACATTTTCATAAACCTACCGAAATTGTTAGGATAATTCAGAACGTGCACTATAGAGCGCAATTATCCGTGCGCGCACACACAATTGCCAAACAAGCTCATTTATCCTCCGATACTCGTAACTCCCATATCTTCACCTACAGTGACATACACAATGTTATCAACATTGATTCACTATACTAATGGAGAAAAAATGGAATAAAGTTACTACTAAGCTCTATAAAATTAAAAAATCAATACTACCCTAATACTTCCTCGTTAACACTCCGAGAAAATATGATTCAGCAATCAACCGTTTCAAAATCAGACAAACACGACTCATTTACTTACATTTAATGATGAAAAATGACCCCAATATCTGTGTTTGCTGTTGGGTCCTCATTGCTTAACATATTCTCACTAAAAGTAGTCTATACAAACTATTGATGCCCTAGCTGAAACACATCAAGTCCAAAATTAGCCAACATCTTCAAACTCTGCCAATTTGTTTTGATAACTCACTTTATCGAGCTTGTGCAACAAACTACCATAAACCTTCCAACAATATGATTATATTTCAACCGTTATAAGCCTCGAAGTATACCACCATACATATATCTACACTTAATATATATTTATACACATATACTTTATTCTATCCGTAGATTATTAATTATTATACATTGTAAAAAAATAAAGAAATATATAAAACTATTCGTTCTATTCGTACGCGACAATTTCGTCAATCCATTTCGTTTTGCGAGCAAAATAAGTACGCGAACGCATATAAACGTGCACACCCGGTAATTATTGTCCTTATCGGTTATATAACAAAAAGGAGAATTTCTCGGTGAAAAGTATGATCGTGTTGCCCGACTACGACGTGATATGCGTGGCGTTGCTGTACCGGCTGAAGTTCTACGACCCGTCCAATTTCCAGCTGCGGATGACCGTGAACAACGTGCTGTTCACCTCGTGTCTGTCGTACGTGTACGAAAAGAAGAAGAGGTTAGGCCTGTCGCGGCTGGCCGTGGGCACGGACAAGGGCAACGTACTGGTGCTCGAGCTGTGGCCGCGCACCGCGGAGATGAATCCGTTTTACAAGGACGCGCACAAACTGTTCCAGCCGCCGCCGCCCGAGTACGAAGTCAGCGATATGCTCGACTACAACCCCATCGTCCGCGATAACTCCAACAACAGCCCGCCGTTTCGCGCCATCCAATACGCCGACCTGCACCCGGAGAAAGTACTCGGGGTGGCGTTCAGCGACGCGACCGGCCGGTGGTTCACGTCCGTGTCGGGGTCGCGACACCGGTCGATCGCGTACTGCCGTGTGGACCACAATGTCCATCACAGAACCGTGCAGTACGCGGCGACCACGCCGAACGGTGCGCTGTGCGTGTGCGTGGCGCATGTCGGCCACGCGGCCACCGGTGACCGAATGGGTCGGCTGACGCTGTGGAGAGTGCACGCGTTGGCCGTGCAGGCCATCGTCAGTTTGGATGGGCACCGGACGGCCATGCGTCGCGTGTTCTACGACCCGAAGGCGGCGCATCTGATCTCCGTGGCCAGCGACCTGACCGTGATCGTGTGGGATGCAGTCAAGCCGTCGCGGCTGGCCACGCTGGACGTTTGCGCCGGTCTCGTAGACCACCACGCGTACTCGGCCGCGCACTTCGACCGGACCATGCTCGCGTTAACTTTGGCCGTCGGCGACGCGCTCGTCGTCTACAATTGCGAAGAGAATTTCGGCGACCAGGAGCCCGAACCCGTGGCCAGCGGCCACTCACACGACGCGCCCGTCCTGAAGACCATGTACAACGCGCTGTTCCACGTGCTGGTGTCCGTGTCGGCCGCGGACTCGATGATCACCGTGTGGAACCCGAGCGCCGGGCGGCCGATCGTCCAGCGGCCCATGGCGCACACGCGCCGAAGCGAGTCCGACGGCTCCATAGTACCAGTCGAGATCACCGCGGCCGCGTTCGACCCGTCCCAGACGCTGCTGATCACGGGCGCCACGAACGGCACCTTAAAGTTGTGGAGCCCCAGCGATTTAAGGCAGCTCAACAAGTTCTCCATACCGTCCCGCAACCGTATATCGGACATAATCTGGACGCCTCATCAGGTATATATGCCCGGTGTGCACCAAATCTGTATGTCATATTGCACTTTATTCGTTCTGTAGACAATTCCTTAATAATTTGAAAAATATTAGCTAGGTATATTGTTAATACCAGTGGTTCCAAAACTTTTTTGGTTCGCGCATCCTAAAAACAAAAAAAAAATAAATAATCGTGCCTTCCATGAATAAATAAAACAACGGTTTTTTTTTTTATTATTTTAATAATAAGAACAAATTACTGTCAATCTAAAAGTAAATATATGATTGTGTAATAAACAATATAAATATTTGCCTTGCGCCTCCCTACAGAGGCGTATATCACAGCTTGGGAACCATTGGTATACACTCTACCTAATTATTACTCAAGAAAAATATAAACAAACTCAATTAGTTTCCAAAGTCGGGGTAAAGATGGTTTTCCATCGTTGAACTCGCTATTGAGTTCGTAATAAGTTTTAGTTTTTGTAAATCATTTGGAAGAAAAACTGGACGATATAATGAGAGAAATTGTGTTGCGATTGGAATGCACTAGCTGTTGATAATGGTCAGTAATCGGCGGGCGACGAAGATTCTAGTAACTTTCGAGTTGCGCCACGTGGTAACGTGGGACATGAAACGCGACGAGTACGTGTTGAGCATGTGCATGAACTCGCAGTCGAATTTGCTGGTGATGACGACAAGCGCAGGCTTAATAGTCTTTTTGTATTCGCTGAGTATCGAGAAAAGTTTGCGGAGAGAGCTAGGTAAAGGCGTCGGGGTAGCGGTCACGTCACGCTTCCTGCAGTCAAGACCCGAGGCCGTCGGAGTCGGTAAGCTGCTGTTAGCCACGTCTGACGGCGTGGTGCAGTTGTGGTGCACGCACGTAATGCCTGTGTACGTGGCGCAGTTCGTGGCCACGCACGAGCATGGCGACCACGTGACGTGCATGTCGTCGGACGTGCGCGACCGGTACCTGTTTACCGGATTCAACAGCGGCTACGTGAAGACGTGGCACGTGTCCGCCTTCGGGCATCCGCATCCCGCGGACACCGTGAGCGCTGATACGCTTCAGCTGCGCTTTCCGTTCCTGCAGAATTCGCCACGCATCGGACGCGCCGAGCGCGCGGCTGCTGTGAACGTGGCCGGGCCGCAGCTGGTCAACTCGTACCGCGCTCACACGCAGAGGGTGACGCATATCGAGTACGTGGACAAACTGGAACTGTTGGTGACCAGCAGCGTGGACCAGAGCATTCGCGTGTGGACGCTAGCCGGCCACTTCGTCGGCATGCTAGGTGAGTGCTGCGTCGCTGGGACATCCGTGGTGTGGTTGGTTGTGTGTGTGTGTGTGTGTGTGTGGAGGTAACTAGTTGTCGCTTGAGCATTGTCTGTTGCACAGTACAAATACGTCCATGTCACCGATCCCCTACCACGAAAACTTTAAAAAAATTTTATTCAAATATTTTGTACATGATTTATATGAATTTATACGATAGTTTTCAGAATTTGTACGACGTTGTTATTAGACATATATTAAAAATACTGAAGAGGGGCCAGAGACATATGTCTCCGGCCCTCCTAAGGTAAATAAATCAGTTTTCTTTTTTTGAATTTACTAAAACTCAATAACTCAATTTGTATGAATTTGTACGACCATTTCCGGAATTTTTACGCCACCCCCAATCCTGTAATATGCGAAAAACCTTTTTTCCATTGTTCCCGCCCATCTAAATTTGAAATCTAAACTTATTCTTTTCACAAACCATTTACTCATAATTTGTATAAATTTGTACGACCGTTTCCGGAATTTTTATGGCAACCCCTCTTCTGTAATACGTGAAAAAGAAGGTGACATACAAATTCTAGAAACCGTCGTACAAATGCATGTAAATCACATATTAAATATTGACGTAGAAAATTTTTGGAAAAAATTATTTTTCCGCGTAGGTGAGGCTGGAGAAACGTTTCCTCCTCACCGCTGATAGAAAATTGTTTTTTCCGGATAAACAGGTGCCGTACAAATTTCAGAAATGGTAATACAAATTATATGTAAAATATTTGAATACAATTTTTTTAAAGTTTTCATGGGGGAGGGGGTGATGTGGATATCAGTACAAATACAATAATAACTTTGATAGTTGTAACATCGATGCATCGATGGCAATAAATCGAAGGTCAATAAATGCCCCAATACTGTAATGCGTTACGAATGTGAAATTTTTGGGAAGCCATTCAAACTTTTTAAATTCACATTGGTTTTTTATAAATTTAATTTACATCTTAAATATTCTAACCATATGTATTGTTTTATCTATACTTACGATAAGATAATATTTTTTTAACACAATCCAAAAAAATATTGTATGTTTTTCTTCAAATAATTCTTGAATAGAAAAAGAATCATTTATTTATTTTGTTTATTTCTCAATATGGGCTTATCAGTTTTTTTTTTTTTTGGTCGTACAGTGATTACCGCTTATAGTGATCATATTCGTTCGAGAGAACTGTGATCATTATAACCGGAAATCACTATAAACGGTGACTCGAAAATACATATTTTTTACACTAATTGAAAGCGTGCCCTTACTTGTCATAATACAGTATACAACTACATACTATACAAACAGTACACTGAACGACGGAAGTAAACAAACTAAATATAAAGTGTAAAAATATCGGTGCTTGTGTGAACAAAAACGGTTCAAGCATGTACGAATGTACAATATGAAGTGTCGCTTATTACGTGGGTTACATTAGATAAAATTAGCTCGACTAAAGTTCACGATTAAGATAATTGTCATTCGTAATCGTTTTCTCCATACACAAAAAGAGGTGATATTATTGTAAATTATAGTTATATTTCATATTTCTGATCACAATAACCGAAAACCCGAACACTGTAAGTGACGAAAAATGCACTTATAACGGCTGTTTGTTCCGTTCCTGGCATTTTTGATCACTATAAGCGACTGATTCTTATAACCAGTGAATACTATAAGCGGGGACTACTGTATTAGTTAATAATGAACTCTAATTTAATCTAATTATTAGATTATTAATGTTATTGTTAAAACTTGTATTACCGGTCATATTGCGTGGTTAAAATAAATACCGATGTAAACCTCTATTTAATGACATGTCACAAATTTTTCGTGCATTTAAGAATATGATGAATTCACAAGATTCCATTTATGAATATATAAGGTGGTTCACATAATTTTGAACACTTTATATTTAACAGTTTTTGATACACGAAAAGACATAGATTTATTGATTGGACATATAAAATCAATTTTTATTTTAAATTAGACGAATCATATTTTACCTTAAAGCCATTGATATCGATACATAATTGATTAACTATGTTATAATATTTTTTTGATAGTTTAAAAGACACTCATCGAATAAATTGTATACACAAGTCGAATCTACGAATGTGTTGATGAAAAATAATTTTAAAATGTCAAACTCTGTATCCTCTGTACTTGTAGGCAAGGTTCCCGTCAGTTCTTTTGCACCAGAAAAACATTTTCGGAACACATTTATTTTAAATGAACTTAAACGTTTGTAGAAAACATATACCCAACTTGAACAAATCGAAAATTAAAAGCCAAAAACAAACAATATGTTAATTTTTTATTTAAGTACTTAAGCACTGAAAATACAATAAAATATTTTAAATCTCGAACAGCCACTAGTTACTTTATACAAACAAGGTTAAAACGATAAGCTCATTTGCCCACCGGTATACAATCAACTTATAGAGTTTACAATATATAACGTATCACAAAACCGTGAAGATACGAGTATACTCGTATTATATTTTTTTTTAATTTTTTTTTTTTTATTTGCTTTACACAATCTATAAAATTTGAGTACAATAAGCGTAAATGATAATATAGAAAAACAGACATTGAATTTAATTTGGAGAAGCCACCCATTGATGACACTTTTTAGGGCGTTATATTTTCCATTATGAGATTAATTAAAGAGAAGGTCACGGCACCATTTTCTTTTCAGTCTTTTGGAAGGGTTTCCAGGGATAAGTAAAGTCAAATATTTTGCGAGGTTGTTCGGATGATTTTTTAAAGAGTTGTGGTATCGAGTGTAATAATTTGTAGCAGTTTGTTTGATTATTTTCATTTTTAGGCCAGAATGTAATGTTTGATTTGTTACGTAGAATGGAGCATTAGTAATTAGGCGGAAGATTTTATTTGGGATATTTGGATTTTATTCAAGTTTGATTTTTTGGTGGATTCCTAAATCTGAATACCATATGTCTATATTGGTTTTAAGAGGAGCTTATAGAGATTTGTGTGAAGAGTAAGTTTCGACTTTGAATGCAGGATTTGTCTAAGTAAGCGTAGACAGGCGTTTACTTTGAGTTATTGGATATGGTGTGACCAGTTTAGTTTTTTACCAAAGTGTACTCCATGGTATTTCGTTGTATTCGAGATTGGTATTATAATATTATTTGATGTTATTGGTGGGCAGATTTCATGTTTGAGTGTAAAGGTAATATGCCATGATTTCGTTTCGTTAATTTTAACTTTCCAGTTTTTGTACCAAGATTCTATTTCATGAAAGTGGGATTGGAGATTTTCAGAAGCCGTGAGAGGATTTTCGTAAACGAAAAGAATGGTTTTGTCGTCAGCGTATTCAGCTACTAAGGTATTTGATGAGGTCGGTTGGTCAGCAATGAATGTATTAAAAAAAAGAGGGACAGCTATTGCTCTTTGTGGGACTCCAGCGTTGATTGTGGATAAGGATGATAAACTTGGCGATATCAAACAGCGAATTGACGTTCAGTGAGGTACGATTGGAAAATTAAGTAAAACGAAGGTGGTAAAATCTTTTTAAGTTTATAGAGGAGGCCGGCATGCCACATTCGGTCAAATGCTTGTGCGTTGTCTAGAAAGACTGCGGTACAATATTGTTTTTTTTTTTCGGCGTAGCTGCGATTATGTCCGTTATGCAACCACTAAGCTTTTCCACTTTAATATTTGTGTGGAGGATAGAGGTGTTATCAAAAATTGTTTTACAATTTTCATATTTTGCTAAGTTGACGAAGAAAAGCGGGAGTGCTATTTTGTATGCCGTTGTCGAACGTTCATTACTAGTAATATGTTGAGATTAAAGTTTTCCAAATCTGATTTTATATTTTTGCAGGTTGAAGAAGGGTGGATGTTGTGAATTACAACTCTGAGAGGCTTTTCGCCCTCGAGTTGAAAAGTATGAAATTGCGCATTGCTTAAATGAATAATTTGACGATAGTCGTCAGAAGTGTTGGCTTGAAGCTTTATGTTTTTTTTGAGGAGTCTTGCAATAAAAATCGTTTTTTTCGACAATTTCTATGAGTGATTCACAAAGAAGTTTGTAGTTAAGGCTTTGGTTTGAAATGAAAATTGGTGGTATTTTGACTTTTTTTCCCGTCTCATTTGATGCAGTCTTCTCTATAGGGTCGGTACGGTCGCGGTTATGTAATTCATTTATATCAGTATAAGTAGTTATATCGTCAAAATTAAAAGTACTTGTGCCTTGGAGAACTGTGTAACGGTTTGGTGACGAGAATATTTTCGGGGTGGTTTGTGGTGGATTTTTGTTGTGAGAGATTCGTAGAGAACGAAAGCCGTTTTCATCTTCGGATGAACTTTTTTTGTTACTCGGCTTATTTTTACTATTAGCGGAGGTACTATTTGCGTTGATTGCTTTGGCATATTTGTAATGAAAGCGGCAGATGTAATAGTAATATGGTTATGATTATTATGGTACGGTACGGCGTGACAGTGTATGTGTGCGAGCTTGTGGACTGTGCTATAGATAACGACGGGATGGTTTGCTATCGTTAATCGGCGTTGTGCGCCGCGCTATCGCGCGTTGGTTGCGTAATATTGTGGACTATTATAAGTGAATTGTTTTCTTACCGGTTAGTTAAAAATTTTTAGTTTTTATTTTTGAAGAGAACCAGGACGCTTAGAATAGTATAATATTCGAGTATACTTGAGTGGAAAATTAACTGGTTATTCACGTATACATTTCAACGGGTGAAGTGAACTCGAGAGCGAAAGACAGAGAAATCTGACAGAACGGTGAAAAACACGTGCATGTATGACGACTGTTCGTCGGAAAGTTCGTATTATATAGTAACGAAATAGATAAAAAAAAAAAAAAAACCAATGTGTGTTTATTCAACGCACTATAACGAGTGATATCGAATTGCCGAATCAATCGTATGTTTTTTAGTGTATACTACTGAAGAGAACGTTTCACTTAAATAATATTTTTACTGTACGGTCTTCTCGGTCGATTCGAGTTTTGGTACCATGAAAATAGTGCTCGAAAAAATTGTTCCCATTCTGGACACTAGAAACATCCCCTAGCCACTGGAGTGAACGTGACAATTCCGAACACAAATGTAGTCGCGCTGTCGGAACGGGTGTCGCGATTGCGCGTTTCGTCAAAAATCACACACCGACCGTAACTCTTCTCATGCACAGGTACCCCGTGGTCGGCCATACCGAAAACCGGGCCGGTTCATCTGACGCAATACGCCGCGCCCCCGGACATCAAGTGCGAAGCGTCGTACACAACGTTGAAAGTCTTGGAGGGCACTGCGGACTCGACGGCGGACAGTGAGACCGAGATAAGTGATTAAATAGTTAAATGTAATAGTAAGGTAATTTAGGGGCTTCTGGGTGTCCTCCCCCTTAAAAAGTCTTCCCTAGCAACCCACAATACACTAATAATTTCTCTCTTAGAATACGACCCTCAACACAGACAAATCTAACAAAAACCATGACCCTCCCCTTAAAATTATATTATTTTCAATGATGAAATACGACATTACCCTTTCTCAACACAAACAAACATAACGAAAACCATTACCTTCTCCTTAAATGTAATCGGCAATACATAAAATCCGAGTGAAAACCATGACCTTACCCTTACCCAACACAGACAATCATAACTATAACCCTCCGCCCTAAACTTCTTTCATGAATTTTTTGGTTACGTCTTGGTGTGATTCATTATCATGGAAAATAATTGGTTTTTGAGGTATATTGAACTTTTCTAGCAGATCTATGGGAACGTTTTTTGTAGTCTTTACGAATATTCCATAGCTCATTGGTTTGTGCTTTTGAATAGCTGATGTATTTTCGCCTTTGTTTTCCGTACATTTTACCAGAAGTGCTTCAAAATCTGCGTAAATAACTATCGGATGCCGTTGAGTCTTACTCCACCCATCAAACTCTAGCATTGTACTAGGCATCTGAAGTAAAATTGGTTTGTGTACTCCGCTTATCAGATTGTGTTAATCTAGTGCTGCTTGTCCATATAATGTATTTTTAAGGGGTTGATTATCGAATGATGTGAAGCATCTATTGCAGAAAAGAACTTTTTCTTTATGATACGTTTTTTGTGCTCTAACAAGGCGTGAGAAATTTGAAATGTATGTATAGTGATTTTATCTCCATCGGTAATCAGTAAGAGATCGAAATGATCTGATTTTTCCTCATCCACAACTTTTAATGGGTAAATAAAGTGATTTTTCTTATTTTGTTTTAGAACATACACATTTATTGAAACATTCAAGTTATTCTGGATAAATATTTTTATATCTGTAAAGGTGTTGGGAATTTAAGATCTGAAAAATCGTAAAGATGTTCTTCATCTATAAACATGGTTTGATTACGATATTCATCGATATGTTTTGTCAGTATTGCCCATTTAAAACATTGTTGGTTTGTATTTTGTGTATTTTTGTGGTATGACGAACTACCCATAGGTGTATATTAGTATACACCTAGAAGTAATCCATCGATACATTCGAATGTGAAAATGTGTAATATTTTTCAATCACATTTCTTTTATCTGTATCTGTGAAAATCTCCTTTGCTATGGTTTTGAATGATCTGTTCTTTGATGAGTTAATGTGGTCTTTTGTAAGTAGCTTCAAGTTTCATATTATATTTGATTGGGTGATTAACTGATAGTAATTAAGTATTTATTAATTCATCCGTTGAAGATTCGAGGAATATATGATAGTTAAAACAATTATCGATATTCTTCTTGTAATATCAAACTCTTACGAGCGTGTGATGATTTGGTTTCAACAAATCCCGATGTTTTAACTAGTTCCATACGAGCCTTTTTTTTTGCTTTAACCGCATTAAATGAATTTTCAATATAATTTGTTCATTTGCTGGTTGGTGTAATCGATGAGAATGGTTCTATAATATAACAAATTTAGATGATTAAAATAAATAATAGTATAATACAGGTTATTATCAATAGACTGTGAATTTGTGTAGGAGAATGCTTTACTTTTTTGTTTAGTTCGTCTTAGCACAAAGTTTAAATTAAGTACCAAGAGTTTGATTTTAAAAAATTACTATTTTACATTTTAAACATTCATTTATTTTTTATCTCATCTTTGCGGTGTTTTTAATAATTTATTTCTATAGACATTTTATTTATTTTTTTCTACTAAATATTAAGAAGCAAATATTGATATTTTTGATAAATATATTTGTTTTTATGATAAATCAAATAGAATAATAACATTTTTTTTTTTTTGTAAAAATATTGATTAAAAGATTAATTCTAGACTAGAATACCAAAAGTTTTATTTTTCTATGTTTTTGCCGTATATTGTTATTATAATTTGTTTTCATTAAAATTTGTTCGTTTTTTTTTTTTATAATTTTGAATTTTTTAGGGTTTTAGTATAATAAATTCACAGTCCTTATGATATATGTAAATATATGTAAATAAACCTACCATCATTACTGTAGAAGTTTTCTGTGTTCTCTGTTGAGAAATATTGATACATTTCATTTTCTTTGATTTCGCATTGAATGTTTGAACGTTTTTCAGTTTTTATTGATCGAATTAAGGCTGAAAAAAAACATTATAAATAAAATCATTAATTCGGTTGAGATTTAATATATTGTATTTATTATGTATACATGAACAACAAACTAGATTTTATAAACCTAGTATAGTATTCAGATTACATAAATTAATATATTGCTAATTAAATAATACTTACGATGTTCTTCATGAGTAGGTATGTCTGATGAGGTTATCTTTACGTGTTCACACTTGACGACAGGAGCTGCATATAAACTTGATTTTATTGAGGGATTTATCATTTTGATGTAAATTAGAACCATTTGTAAAGGATTTGGTATATACGGTGCAGACGAACATTATTAATTCGTTGAAATAAATCAAACGAGGTGCATTAACTCCAAAGAAGCGAAAAAAACTGAACTCGGAAAACACGTGTTTATCCTTCAAAGTACTTATACAGTACTGAATTTAAAAATGTGTGTACAGATTATATTATATGTAGTATGAACGAGTCAAAATCTGTGCGTGATCTTCTGTATATCGTTCGATGCGATGATAGCGCTCCTAGCAATACTGTATGGTACTATAATAATAACACTGTTATAGTATGATAGGGTAGGGGTATATGACCGACCAAATTCGACAGGTTTAAACCAAATTTGGACATGTTTCTACTGGCACTTAATTATAATAATGGAAAAAAACAATACTTGAACATTACTGTGATCACTGAATAATGTGATTTAAGTTATAATTATCCTTTACGCTATGTATGACGAATCTATCTTCACGAAATTATTATGACATTTGTTTTTTTTCCTCAAGTTATAGATACTTATGATTTTTCTTGATAATATATTATAAAGATCTGTATTAACTGATTTAACAAATCGTGTTTTGTATAGAATGTATATTATTGCAGTGAAATAATATTACATGTATTACCATTATCTTCGGTTGGTGACGCGTAAAGGGGCTGATGAGCTGTATTTAGGAGAGTGGCGTGTGGTTTGAAAACACTGTATAGGGAGGAGGGTTATAGTTAGGATTGTCTGTGTTGGGTAAGGGTAAGGTCATGATTTTCACTCGGATTTTATGTATTGCAGGTTACATTTAAGGGGAAGGTAGTGGTTTTCGTTATGTTTGTTTGTGTTGGGAAAGGGTAATGCCGTATTTCATCAGTGAAAATAATATAATTTTAAGGGGAGGGTCATGGTTTTTGTTAGGTTTGTCTGTGTTGAGGGTTGCATTCTAAGGGGGAAATTATTGCGGTATTGCGGGTTCCTAGGGAGAACTTTTTAAGGGGGAAGACACCTAGAAACCCTCAAATTACTCTACTTGTAATAAAATAATTACAAATTATTGAATAATAATACGTTCACGAATACTGGCCGCACGTTTACAGACTAGGAATCGCACCTTAACAGCGACTGTTGAGCCAGATGTGGCAAACGGAAAGCTGTCATACTGTTATTGGACATTAAAAAGAATACTTTTTGTAAATTATATTTATCATATGTGATTTGTATGAAAAAAAATTTTTTAAAAAATATACCGTACATAAATTACTGTAAATCTGACATTTGAGTGCTTAAAAATAATCCAAATTAAGAAATGTATATTTTTCTACTTTAATTAGGGTTAAATAGAAAATATTCTTAAATAAGATTTTTATGCATTTTCGTTATCATTAATGTTAATTAAGATCTGATGTAAATTGTTAATATATCACTTTAATTTAAGGGGGCTGTAGACGATACAAAAAATCACGTAAAACAGGTCATAAGCTAGACAAAACTGTGGGACTTGGGTTCGACGGATTTTAATTTTGAAAACAAATTAAAAATCTTGAACGTTTTTACTAAAATTTCTTCGAAGGAATTTTTATTATTACAAAAAATAATGGTGTACTTAAATACTAAAATACATAAATTTCTGTTTTTTTAAATTGTCAATATCTTATTATTTGATTACAATATAGAAAATTCTTCTGGTCAATCCCTAGCTAACATAGTGATTTAATTAAATCTGTTTTCAACATTTAAATTCATCAATCCCAAGTCTCCCAATTTTGTCTAGATTTTTGGCGTTTTTGACATTTTATTAGCGTGGTGTAAATTTTCTTCGTGTTCATTGACCTGCGCATGCGCGTATGGGAATCAGAACATTTCTAAGAATTTAGTACCTAGCCATAACATAAATATTAAATACCACCCTCATTTCAAACGATTATCAGTCAATTAGAACTAATGGCTACGGAAATGAAATAATAATGTATTATAACAATTAAAATCATTGTAAAGTATAAAATAGATCATAATAAATTAATTTATGTTAGCACAAATCAAATAGAACTAGTTGTTTTCAACTATTCAAAAAGTCAAGTTTAATTTTTCTCGTCAGTAATTTTTTTTTGAATTTTAAAATGAATAAAGACTGGCGTTTGAGTAAAAAAGGACGTCTCAGGCTATGTGCATTACGGAAAAAACCTAATTTTGCCAACTTGAAACGCAAAAAACGCGAAGATCATAAAAACAATGATGAGGTAATTATAATGTATATTGATTGATATATAGTGAATATATTTTTTGTATTAATTTACAAATTAAAATAATTTTGTAAGTTTATTTAGATTGATAAATTTATTGATTTTACAATGGTGTTTGTTTTTTTACTTTTTACTTATAACAACTTTATAACGTTTTTGAGTAGAAATAATGCTTTGATTTTTTACTTCAGTCCTTCTTTGAAAGGGAAAATTCATCTAGTTGGTACTTTGGGGAGTCAAAAGTAAAAGATCAAGAAGTTTTCAAAAGCGTTAGGAAAAATCACAAAAAAATAACGGAAAAACGTGAATTTTTATGTATAATCAGTTTTTGACAAAATCAAATTTTTTAATTTGCTGTACCTCAAAAACGAATCATTGTAAATACTTGAAATTTTCATCAAATGTTTACATTAGCCGTATTTATTTACGATTACATTTTCAAAATATTTTGACTTTTTTAAGATATTTATAGACAATTGAAATTTTTGAAGTTTTTTTGTGTCTATAAAAAAAATTTAGCTATCCAAAAAATCTTTAAAATTGAATAAAAGGTTTATTATAAGTTTTACTTATTGTAGTAAAAAAAAAAAAAATCAAAAATCGTTAGTTACAATTTTTGTTTATAAGCATTAAAGTTCAAAAGTATTTTCTTCGTATATATTGAATTGTGCATGCGCGTATGGACGCTAGAGCATTTCTAAGAATTGTAGTATTTCTAGCTATAACATAAATATTTTATCGTTTATATATCATAGTACCAAATACATTTTTTTTTTAAATTTTCTTTTACTGTATGCTTATAAAAAACGAATAAATTAAAACAATTATTTTTCACAAAACATAGACAAGAGAGTAAAGTATTCAAATGTGTTTTCAAAATTAAAATCAGGATTTAGTTACCGGATGAATTTTTCTTCAGCTTTTTGGTTCGAATTTGTGAAAAAACGACCAGCTCTCAGCAGGCTTAAATGGTTAGGTAGGTAATTAAATAATAATATATATGTATATATAAAATCTAGATTTTTACATCCCATTGTACAGTCCAAATAAATAAAGTCCATATTTATACAATCCAGATTTTAAATTCCATATATATACGGTCCAGATTTATATGCGCTCCCACAGTATTATTTATGTCTTATAGTACTATACTGTCCAAACTACTGCCTATATTGTAATAATATTGGATCATCAAAACGTGAAGTTGTGCAAATTAATATAATGTAAAGATAAAATGTTCATTTTGATTATTATTGTAGTTCCGGGAATTCGATGTACAGTGGTATGATAAAAGCGATAACGGATTAAAAACCCTTATGTTCATTTACTACTCACACATTGGCACAGCCAAAATGTTCATGTGATATAAAATTCCTCCTTAATATTACTCCTTAAAACATGCTACGCTCCGGCCCCCTTAAACAATTTTTTTTGTAATTAACTTAACTTATTAATTGAAATTAAGTTAACGACATTTTTAACTTAATTTATGCAATTCTCATGTAAATTAACTTAATTGAACATGAACTCAATCAACTTAACTGAGTTAAAAAATATCATTAACTTGCCCAGCCTTGGCTAAAATTAAGTTCATACAAATTTGGGGAATGGCATACAAATTCATACAAATTGCATACTAAATGTATAGTAAAAAAAAAAAATATATGAATTTCGTTGGAGGGGGGGACGTGTTTCAGCCAGATTAACAATCTACGCTCGTTGTATATTATTTTAAACCGTAGTAGTTCACCACAATTTTTAAATAGATATCGTGCAATGGTTTTGAGCATTATTTCATCAATTCATCTTCCCTATCATTTTGACATACTTTTGGTTGTTCGTGAGTTCCACAGGTTAGTTTCACAGGTATGATAAAATATGGATTGTTTTTTGTGCATGAAAAGTATAATTAAAATTATTAGTTAATTTTATTATTTTGTGATTAAAAATCCTGAACCGAATTGAAGTATCAGTTAATTAATTAATTTTTTTTAAATTTTATTTTAAATTAAGTTAAAAGTGTGTTTTCCCTTACAATTTTGAAACGCTCCGTCTTTGATCAATATAATTGTGACTGTTTTTTATTTGTATTTTATTAATTTATAAAAACTCTCTATACACTGAGTCATATTGTTTTTCTATAAAAGTTTGATTTTTATTATTTATACTCGCATTTTAATTTTAATTATGGAATGAATGTTTCTTACATTTTTTTCTTTAATACATATGAAATAATTTTCTTTATTTTCGCATATTATTCCAATAAATATATTTAACTATACAGGCAGGCGTGGTTTCAGAGACTTACCAAGGGGAGGGAATTTTTTTTTAGCTATCGCTAAATTGCAGAGAGGGCTTAGAGAATATACTAACCTGGAATGCAAGTTTACCAATAAATAATCTCTTGTATTTACACATTATACTTGGTTTTGTTTAATAAAATATTTTATATTAAAAACTCTAGCCTTAATAATAGTTGTTTCCTCAAATTTTTTTTTTTTTTTTACTAAGTCACAGAGTCCGACTATGTTCTGATATTATGATACACACCTTAATATGGTTTTAAGGCAAAATGAAATTGTCAGGTAAGTATCTAATTAAATAATCTGGATTTTACAGTTTACATGTTCAAAAATATATTAAAAAATTTACGTTTTTGAAAAGCCCGGAGGGATATGGCCCTAGTGTCCCCCACCCCCTTGGAGCCGCGACTGTATACTTGCTTAGGTAAGAATATTTAATAAATTAATAATCAGTCAGTCATCATTATTGATTATAATATAATTGTTTTTATTTCAATTTCAATTAGTACAGTGGCATACGGTTTCTTTATTGTAATTTTGGTTTTAATGTATAATAATATGCGGTTATATTTGGATATAATTTACTAACAAAACTACAGTCTTAGTACAATTTATAATTTTGATACCTAGTATAATTGTATAACAATAATTATCATAACAATAGTTTTAACGTATTCCTATAACTAAATTTCAATTAGTAATTGATTTCTAAATAAATAATTACAATATTGTTCAATAATATGTTTCAGAATAAAAGTCGTACTAAATTGATAGGAAATTAAATTATTTATATATTATTATTTGAATGCATTGAGTAATATACATATGAAAAGAAAACACTAAACTTTTATCGCAAACTCTATTCCCACTTGAACTTTCTAATTACCCGTCTTTCTGATATCAATCTTCTTGACAAACCGTTCCGTCGATTAAACTGTAAATGGTGTCGTTATCTTCTTTAAAAAAAAAAAAATAAATAAATAATAATAAAAGAAAAAACAATGTTAAGTGTACGTATACGAGTATGAATGTAACTTCTGACACAAAGCGTTCTATCACTGGATGGCCTCTCTCTGATATTTTTCATGTGTTTGCAAATTATTTTTTCATATCATCTTATTGTGCAATATCATATTTGTTAATTTTCTTCATAAATAAAAAAATAAAAATAAATTTATATAAATAAAATAAGTTAAATTTAGATTATAGATAGTGCATATAGAGTCATGGACAAATCTAGTTCAAACATGAAAGTGGATTTTTTATAATATGATATTTTTAAAAACAATTTTTATAAACATATATAGGTATAACTAGACATATCTAAGTTTATTCTGAAACATACTGTAAGTGGTATTCCATCATATTTAAATTTTTATTAAATGCTAAAGAGTAACTCTTCTAAAATATTTAACAAAAGAAATCTTTATCGGTATTCGGTAATACAGTGTAATACAATACATGAAATTATTAATTATAATACGTATAATTTTGAAGTATGGATATATTCGTAGTATATAGAACTTATTATGTAAAAAATACACAGTTGCTTAAATTATTTGATTGAAAATGAATAACGACACGCAAAAATCAAAAAAATATTACTGGATTACTGGGGTTCTATTATTCTATAGGCATTAAACTTAGATATCGAACGTCAAAAGTAATTGAACAAACGATTAATGAAAACTTTTGTTTTTATAATACATTAACTAAATTTTTTTAAATCATCAACCGATTTATAAATGCTAAAATTACGAACGGAAAAAAAAAATATTTTACTTGATATGTTAAATCTAATTGAAAATGAAAACCGTTATCGCATAATTTGACCTAATATTGATATTACAAAATTATGATAGAACAGGAGTATTGATGGAACATTCATCACTCAAAAGATATTATAGAAGTATAAATATAATATATAGATATATTTATAATATATATTTGTTATACACGATATCTGAAATATTTTTACATATACACACGCGCACACACACAAACACACGTATAAATGTATATATATGACCCTAATAGATAACGTCTTTACAACAACAATTAAAAAATAATAGAAATAACAACATTTAATTAGACAAGTCGAACGCAATGTGGCGATGGATCGAACATTTATAGTATATCATGATAATAATATATACGTAGGCATATAATATTACATCGGTCTATCTCTTCGAAATGGCAAAACTACGGGATTTTTATCGACTATGATCTTGATCATTCTTAATAGTATTAATGAATACATTCTAGGGACGAAAAAGGAGAAATTTGCGATAGTATTGAAAAAAAAAAAAAAAAAACCATAAAATATTAATTAAAACCATTGGCTTTGGTATATGCAGCTATGCCATACTATTGTAAAAATTAGTGGCTTATACATGGACGCAGTCGTCGACTTTAGTGTAATAATTTGCTTTCAATTCGATAAAACCAGGTTTTCCATTATTTAAACGATCGTAGCGGCACCTAGTGACCGCGTCCACGTAGGAGCACTAATTTTAACAATAGGACGGCGTACCTGTACGGAATTTTTAAATCGATGTTAAAACGTACATAGACTACAATCGTTTATGATGTGATTGGGTTCGAGTTCACAAAATGTTACGCTCGACGATTAAATACCTATGAAATCGCACGGGGTACACCAGACAGGGGAATATATGATTCTTATAAAATTATAACACATTATTATATTATCATGAACGTATGTTGTTTGAAATAAAAGATCCGTTTTGCATCGGCTCTCCCGGCCGATCACACGCAGCTCTCCGGTCCGGGGATACCGCGGTTCGTGATCGACGCCAAAAACTGTTTACCGTAGGTCTGTTGGATCATTATATCGGGTGCCACCGTCGCCGCAACGGTCGTACGGTCGTTGCCGTAGTCGTAGTCGTCGTCGTCATAATCGTCGCCATTCGACGCGTTCAGATTTGGATATATGTTGTTGCCTCGCTGCTGCACCTGTTGCTGCTGCTGCTGCTGTTGCGATAGCAGTGAATACTTTTTGCCGGTCTTATCGTCGCATGCCGTGCGATGGTGGTTGTTCGGCGCGATCAGATTTGTGACGATCGCTGTTTCCGTCGCGCTTGTCGACGACACCGATCTCCCGCCTTGTCGTTTCCACAACAAAATCAACGTGACGCCGACGATCGTTACGATCATCACCGTCAACGCGATTACTATGCTCGCCGTGGCACCATTGCCGCTGCCGCCGCCACTACCACCGTTGACCGATTTGCTTTGCCGGTCGTCGCTGCCGCTCAACATTATCCACCATTCTAGAAAAAGTCAAATATCCAACGATCGAAATCGACCAAAAGTTCGGTATCAGCAGGGGGAAAAAACGTTTGAAACCGGGTGGAAAGAAACGAGGAGGAGTCGAGGTGTGAAACCGTGCGGGATATAGTGGTCTCTGCATGACGGTAAGCGATCGTGCATCGTATTCGAAAATCGTTCCCGGGGCGATCCTTTTGAATCATACTAATTTATTACATTTTTGATTATTATTCACGAAATTAGATGCTGACGATAGTCAGCTTTGGGATTGCCGAATTTTTTTATGGCCTATAAAGGTTTTATTTTATAAAAACGATTTCCGTTCACACGTGTAGTAATATCATTAAACAGCGAAAGATATTCGTTTCCCATAAGTGGAAGTCAAAATTTGATAAGTTTTTTGAAATAATAAAAAAATAAATTAACTCAAAACATATTTTTTCTTGGATGTATTGAGATAAATGAGTAAATAACGCTAAAAAAGTTATTAAGTAAAACAGAAATTTTCTGTTCGGCGGATTTTCACCGAACAATAAAGTGTAAATTATAATATCAACTGTTTTTATTACATCCTTATTCATTAGTAGTAAACAGTAATATTATAATTTTACCGGTCGACGACGTGCCCACAGGACCTTTCGTGCTGCTCTCGTTGGAAGACTCACCGTGCCACCACCACGGATGGCTCAATAAAATCGCGTTATCGCTTCCGAGATAAGTCTGTAGACTTCGTCCCATGCGATTGGCAGCGTATGCGGATAGACTCAAATATTTTTTATTTTCGTTCGGACCAATTCTTAGCTGAAGATTCTTGCGATTCACTCGGTACTCGATAGAATTACCGTTCGCCGTACCGGTGATGTTATCGACAAGCCATTCGCTACGATATTTATTACGATAGTTGTCGGCTGTTTCTTCCGTCGATCTGTAAACAACATAATATTAACTATGAAACGCGCACTATATATTTGTCGGGCCCCATCCAACATCGTGTGATCAATCGTAAAGTTAAAATGACTAGCGATCATATTGCGTGCGAACTCAATTTCAAAGGAGCAGCTTGAGCTCAAGCTAAAAATAAATTCATCGTAAAATCAAATAACATATATTCTTCGAAAAAAAGTAAAACTGTACATCAAGCAGTTTTTTGTACTAAAATTAAAGTTTTATTTAAAATTTAGAAACTTTTAATCGAATCAAAATTTCTTTTACAGATTCATCATTTAATTAAATTATATTTTAAAAATATCAGATTTATAATAATTATAATTAATTATCTGCATGGGTTTTTAATATAAAATGAAAATGTAATTTTTGTTCTGCGTGTAAACAAAAGTATATATACATATATATATATATATGTACTTATTCTCCATTCAAAATAAACATAATAACAAATAAACATTGGTTTATTTGAAAAAATAAGATTTTCAAAACCAAATAAAAATATGCAGTTTATAATCCAAGACAAACCCTACTTGTATGAACCATTTCGCATGTAAATATAAAAACATACTTGAAGTGTTAATTTGAAATGCGGCATTCTTTATACAGGATTTGTGTCAATGAAGTCTATATCGATAGAATCATATGAAAATATTAATGATTACACTCAGTTACAGCGACATCACGGCGGGATGAGTTTTAAAAATTTGTTTAAATAAGTTTACGATAACTGACCCGTGAAACGTTGTTGTCAAAACATTACTCTCATAGATCTCCAGCGAGTAAATCACCGGCCTCACTCCCCCGTCGTTGTCGAAATCACAGGTCACTGTAGCTATGTCCATGTCTTCTGCGTTATTAGTGGTGGATGGCGTGCGTCGGTGATAATGTCTGTTACCGTAGCCAAAACGTCGTTCCTGATCTTTGGGCAATCGAATTGTGCAGCTTGTCAATGCACCCGGTGAAGCTGCATTTATAAATACAAAATACGTATTTTAATAATTGTTTGAAAATAACCGGTTTTTAAATTTTTCCTTTTTTTCTAACTTCTACGTCATGGTTTTAACAACCTTAGAGATGTACACATAATACAAATCTATGAATAGAAAATCCTAAAATTAGTAATAAAACCGTTGAGAATCTAAATAGTTACCACTATATACTACTTTGCAAAATCATTGATGTATACTAATTGACAATAACACTCGCTATGATTTAATTGCTATTAATCATAAACTTGTACTGAAAATAATTATTCGATTTCTGTTTGCTATACAAGTTTATATAACACAATGGCTAGCAGCCAAGTAGGTACGTATGAAATAGACAGTTATCAGTGAAGTATTTGAAATTTGCACTTCATTATAATTAATAAAATCTTGAATAGTTTAGTACTTCTCTGGGATAGTTTTAATTAGCATAGATAGACTTATGTACAAAGAAAAACTTACATATAAGAGTATATAATATATACTCTATATACTTTAAGTACAAACTTAATAATTTGAGTTGTTAAGAAGTAAAAATCTTGTTTAAATATTATAGTATAATTTTCATTGAATCAACAAGGATATTCTGAGGCCATTTAATTAAATAATATAAAAGTCGAAAACAAAAAGATAGTTTTCTTTTTAAGCATTGGTAACACATGTTATGTGCATTTTATAAACACGCAAAGAGTTCATGGATAATAACAAGTTATACATGTGGTATTATGGAAAATAATAATATAATATTGTAATAGAGTTAAATAGAAAAATTATTTAAATATTAAACGCATTTACACGTTGATATGATTGGTAAAACAACAGTATACCTACGTAGTAGTTACCCATCAGAATATTACGGTATCGAACACCGATTCAGTTCTATGGTAAATAACTGTAATAATTTTATATGGAATTAATAATAACGGATTATTTTGAGACAAATTTAAATTTCATAGCGCGTTTATGATTTGTTAAAATTTTAGGTACATAGCAAAAATAATAATTCAAATTGTTGCTATAATTGCCGAAGTATAAACGTAAAAGATTAAGTATACGAGCTAAAAATGGAACAGCATATGGTTTAAAAATATTGATTCTATTTAAAATTTAAAAGCTCTTAAGTTTTTATTTATAGACGAACAGCTTTTAGCGATTTTTGTGTTTATTCTATAATGCAGTGTTTCTCAACCAGGGGGTCGTGACCCTCAAGAGGGCCGCGAACACCTTGGATTGGGGTCGCGTAGGTCAAAAATAATAAACCACTGATTTACAAAATATACATTTTTACCTAATATAGATGAAGGAGGGGGGGGGTCGCGAAGTGATTGCCATATTTTATATCTATTTTGAGGGTCGCGACACTAAAAAGGTTGAGAAACAATGCTGTATTGCAATTGCTTTGGATTTTCATGGCTGCGACGAGATCCGGGCCTCGTGTAGACGCACGCGTATGTTATTTGAAAACACAGCCGTCACAAGACTTCGAATGCACTTACAGGCCGGCACTATGTGATACAGACACGGATTCTGTTGTCGGCCGACTGCGTTCGTGGCCCGGCAACTGACCGTATCGAGCACGATGGGCTTTCTGACGTTCGCCGCTCTGTCCACGTACTGGACTACATCCGCGACGCCCACGGTCATGGCCGGCAGCTCCAGTACGCCGATCACTAGCCCGGTGGCCGTGTCGTTGGGCGAGCCGGACATCGCGGTAGTGACGTAGTTGCCGGTGGCCACCACACTCGGTGACTGCTGTTGGTGTAGTTCGGTTGCCTCGGCCACCCCTGGCCACACGAGCCATTCGAACTGAACGCGTTCGTCGGCGGGGTCGGCTTTCACCCGGCATACGATGCGCACGTTCTTCTCGTTCTTTTCCACGCCCACTAGTTGCCGTTGATTTCCGTCATCGGCGCAAACGGGAGCGACTAAAAAAAAAAAAAAAAACGCGCACATTAAGTATTATATTTCCCAGATTTTCAGTCATTTCGAAAATCGTGTTTTCCAGCGGTTTGTAAAAATATTTTTCTTTTAATTTAGTTTAAACATTTATTAATTTATTATTATTATTAGTATTTTTTTTTTAGTATAAATGGTAACACGTAAATAATTATTTATCTAACGATCCGAAGTGTATTATGTTTCTCTGTTATCAGTGTTTGAAAAGGATGTCGTTCGTTCACGTGTTCAATTTCATATTTGGTGAACGACACCCGAACGTCACTCGCGTCTTTCAAATATAATGCGAACGTGAACGACTCGACGTTTATGTTTTTAATGAATTGACTTAGATGATTATAGACATATTTTAATTACATTAAATAGCTGAAAAACTAGGGTTAGATGGATAAAAAATTTTATATATGTAATTAACTGGGCTACTTGTATACCTTGAGATCGAAACAAGTCATATAATTTAAAAAGACAATATTTTTTCAATTAAATACTTATTTGGTTACCTTAAATTTTACTTACATTGAACGCGAAGAGTGACAGGTCTCGAACGACCCATTCCCAAGTCGTTACTGCACTGGCAAGTGTACCGGCCAGAATGGCGCCGACCTACGTTTCTTATGACCAAAGTGCCAGCACTTAAAAGAACGACTTTGATGTCAGAGTTTATACTAATACTACTGTTGCTGCTACCATTTTGTAAGATTGGATGACCCTACAGTAATAAATATGATTATATCACAATTTTAAATGAACTTAGGGAGTACTTACATTGTGATACCATTCAATACGATTTCGTTGTTTACCTTTTTCTCCGCCACCATTTAGTACCTTGCATTCGAAATACACGTCATCTCCTGTTTTAATTCTACTGGGATCAAAAGTGTGACCCAAACTCAATTTCACTATAGGTGGGTCTGTGAAAAAAATTCAATCAGAATTACATTCATCAACTTAAATCTATAGCCAATTATGATATGTTATCAAGAAAAGTTTTAACATCACTATTTCTAGTTTTTCACTAAGACTATATCGAGAGAAAACTTTTGATTTTTCATAATTAAACTCGACAAGTTACTAAATTGATCAATTTCATTGATTGAACTATTTTTTCATGGAGATTTTTATTTTTTCTGATATTTTTTCTGTTGATAAAACTAAATAATGTGATGAAAAAAAATTTGAAATAGAGAACAAACATAAAAAATGTGATAGTGAATAAAAAGACATTTGATACAGAAAAAATTAAGGAAGATAAACCTAACTAGTGGAGGGTGTGAAAAGAACCCGAAGTATCGTAAACTAATTCGCTAAGTACCCGATGAAGATATATATAGTACAGGTTAGATTGTAAGTGATTGCGATGCATTTCATATAGTTATATGAACCTGGAGTAGTTAAAAAATACGAGTATATTCTAAATCTGTTTATTTGTTCAAAGAGAGCACATAATCACATAACACGCATAATTAATTACAAGTGACAATGTAATAATAGTTTGAATAAAATATATTATAATTATTATGAGACACAATTATAAGATTATAATAAAAAATACAACAATATTATGCCTTTCCTGGATAATGTAACAAATGTATCTTAACATGATTGGAAATGTTCCTTAATGAAGAAGAATAATTCTATTTTTAGTCAATACCGGTTCAGTGGCGGTGCTAAAGTTTGCGAGGCCCTGAGCAAAATAAATGTTGGGTCTTATATATTATATTAATAAAATATTTTAAGTTCAATTAAATCAGAACCACGGGGCCTTAATTATAATTTAAGGAGCGGGACCCTGGGCAACTGCCCCAATTGCCCACCCCCTCGTGCCGTCCCTGTACCGGCTAATGAACGAAGTTTGGAGCTTTAAAATTAAAAATAAAACATTATCATTTTTGAATCATAACCCTATAGACTTCAAGCAAAATTAAAATATTTTGTTCAAACTCAAATCAAATGGTTTAAATGTAAAATTATTATCATTAATTCAGCTATTTAAGATGTATTTTTTTCAATTGTGATGAAGATAAATAAAAATTTATGTTTTAATTGATATCCGGTCACTGTGAATTGAGAATGATTTTAAAGATTTTTTCACACATCGTGTGGGTTATTTGATTTGTAAAATGTTATACAAAAATTTATATATTGGATAAAAAATAAAAAATATAGAGTATTTTTAAAGTTCATAATTGATAGATTTTTATACTGTCAGATATTCACGTTTTATAAATCACTCCTTGAATAATACTATAGTAGAGCTAGATGAAATCGAGATATTGCTATTACAAATATCAAAAAAAACTAAGGTTGACCTGTTATTGATGTTGCGACCTGATTAAAAACTAATCAAATAAATTGATGGTATCAACAATTGAATCTTCTAAATGTATTAATAGAAAACATAAACATAGGCTAGGCATTAACCACGAGACAATATTTTATTATTTACTATATTGGATAATAGATTTATTTTGAAAACTACGATAACGGATCCGAGATTTTTCAGAAACAATATATAGTTTGGCTTTTTGCCTACATTCGTTCGGTTCAACTAATATGTTCCTAATACCATTTTTACGTCTTATTGATGGGCTAGATATATAATATATTTTTATATGATTTTTCAATTAAAAATTAAGCACTATCGAAATATGTAGACATGCAATGCGGTTCATGTGCTTTGAATTATTTTATATTATATTTAAATTATGATTTATAGCTAAACAACAAAATTAAAGTTAAAATTCGATAAAGAAAAAAAAAAACCATCTGATTAAATGTATTGCAACACGAGTTTCCCAATAATAATTCAATACGTTTTGAAAGCTTTAAGAAATGTTTTTTAAATGAATAGAATCAGTATGATACATTAGATATTTTCGTAATATAGAGCACTTATAGGGAACCCAGAATATACAAATAATACATTGTGAACCGAAAACGAATTACTACGCGAATGATTGGTTAAAATTAATATAATACGATTTATATAAATAAAATAAGACCTAATTGCCATGAATGTAAATGCAATTTTGATAAAAAGCTATTTGTAATTAGTCAAACTTACATTGGACATACAGTAGTAAGGCTTTGTTTTTAATATCATCCTTCGTTGTGTTAATATCAGGATTCCAAGCTCGGCATCGTAAATATCGACCGTCGTCACCCGGGATAGGTCTAAATCGTATCCTACTGCTATGTTCGGTTTTCTAAACAACAAAGTTTATTAAAATAAAGATAAAACAATCGACAAAGTGAACACGGAACACGTATTGAATTGTTATGAAGGTAATACAATTATGTGTCTACTGCGACGAAGACATGTTCAACTCGACGATATTCGTCTAGTGTTTAATTTCGTTAGAAATAAAATAAAGCATCGTACAGCGTACCGTATGGAATATGACGTGTTATATTGTGCGGAATAAAATTAAAATTTGTCCGATCGAGATAAACTGAAAATATGACGATCGCATAATACGACGTTAATATTACGATGATGCTCACCTCTATTACTGTTATACGAGTCGTCATCGGCGATGAAGGTATTTCGTCAGCCAAAGTACCATTACCGTCAATGGACCATTCAATCGTAGCTCTGGGACTGGCACCGTCGGCCAAACACTCGCCTGTGTACCACTTGCCAGATATAAGATTCGTTCCTTGTACTCCTCCGCTATTATTGCTCTCCTCGTTGTAGTTGACGGTGTTTTCCGATTCGTCTATTTGACGGATGTCGACTATTCGTACACTTTGCACATTCACTGCGCACACACGGTAATACGAAATTAATTTTTCAACTGACTACGTGTTTATTACTAAGCAAACCATTAATGGATTAGTTTTTTCGGCTTCTACGTTTAATAGGAACCACCTATTACACCAACTCATTTTTATAAATGTGGTTTTTAATGCGCAAACGTGTACGGGAAATATTAGCCAGGTATACATCATATTATTAGATTCTTACAAGCTTTGTTCATTTAATCCACTTTCCTTGTTTCATGCTCGGGAAAAAATTAAGAAAATAAAGAACGATCACGTTTTTTTTGTCTTTAAAACTATAATAGTTGACGAAGTAAAATACTAACATTCTCTATGTCGAAATTTACGTCAAATTTATTGAAATTAAATATAAAAAAAATACAGTTTGACAGTTAGATAATACCTGCACTATAACGTTAGATATTATTCTTGCACGAACCGTTATTTATTATTCATTAGATTTTTTTTAGTTAGTCACTTGTCCAGAAAAATAAATCATTATTGAAAACGCAGGAATTATAAAATAAACTGTATGATACGGGCACTTATAAATGTGTTCAGTAATCTGCTTATTTTCTGCAATTATAATATTTATATAACCGTTTATCGGTGGCCACTACATAAATCCACAGAAACTTGGGTTTAAGACTTAAAGCGAATATACTTACGGTACATATTTATCACGACTGTCATGCGGAGGTTGAATTCCATAGTGTTGTCGTCGTTTCCCGCAAGACACGTGTATGTACTGTTAGCGTGACTCCGACTCAATTGATTAATTACGAGTCTTTTTGTTGTTGTCTCTTCATCGTTACTGTTGCCACTATAAGATCCTTCCTCCGTAAGATCCATTACCCTCATACTAAGTGATGAAGTGATTTTTCCATTCGCTGAATACCATTGCACACGTGGCTTTGGTTTTCCTATACGATAGCAAAGAAAAGCGAAGCCGGTAACAATTTGTGTATGACTCTTATTACGGTCGAAAATGTTAACGGTATTAATATTAGATATGCATTGATAACAGTTTATTACATTTGTTTACACATAATAACAATTATAACGTAAATCAACGATTTATTTTAATCATGAATATACGATCGAAAAACATACATCAACAATACGAATACAGTTGAATATAATTTTTTTAAATGCTTGGGATTAATCGTGGAATTAATATATTTATAGATAAAATATTCATATTCAATGGGGGGGGGGGGGATAGATTCGAAACATGACTGTTGTTCACGGATCTTGATGAAATAATGACTAACCGACAAGAGATTGAAAAAAGATTCCTAAGCAGGAACCTTAAGCTTTGATTATAATTAGATGATTAGTTTATCACGCGTAGTTTAAATAGTAAATTAACTTATAGTATGGTTTAGTGGTATGTAGTACGGTCATTTTAATAAAGTTTACTACTGTGTTGCATTCTAAAAAAGTAAATGATTACTAAACGAACGGTTTTGTAAATAATTAAGCTTACAGTTATAATTTTGACGGCCCTACGATGCGGTTCGTAGCAAAACAAAACCCTATGAACGGGTTTAATATTGGTTTTATAAAGAACTAACGGCGGTGTTTAGACGAGGGTTCATAAAAACTGTTAACGAGCGATAAGAAATAATATATACATCAGACGAAATAAACGATGGCTTCTGAGACGATTTAAAGTTTGCCGCGCGGCGGTGCAAATATTTACGGTTTTTACATCCCTTATGGACTGCGCTATACTATTATAGGTACGTATAAATAAGTTTTTACGGCAGCGCCGCGTATAAAACAGGGTCGTTACCTCCTTGAACTTTGCACACCAACACCAATTGGCTGCCTTCCGGGACCGGACCGACCACGTGGTGCGTTCCACCTTCGATTTCCGTCCCACCGTTGTACGCGATCGTCATCTTGTCGGGCGGAACTGCACATTAACATTACACGACATCGTACGTTAGAACAATAATAAGTACGTGTGGGCGACGAGCACGTAGCACACGCTCGTTCCGGCTCACCTATGACCCGCAGTATTATCCGATAGTTCTTGGTGGGCGAGTCGCGGAAGTCCACGCGGCACCTGTACGCGCCGGCATCCTGTTCGGTTACGTTCGTCACCTTGAGAGCAGCCCGGCTGCTGTTGTCGTACGGATCGCCGCTCGCGTACTCTTCCGGGGAAGGATGGTGATGCTGCTTGGACCATCTTCCCCGACCGTCACTGTTGCCGAGCACCACGAACGTAGCCCTAGGCCCGAACCCTCCGTAGTCCTCGTCCGAAGACCATTTGAGCGCGTGGGCCAGCGGTCTCCCGCGCACGTCGAAACTGCAACCACATTCAATCGATAGATCCGATCAATGATTGTAATGCATACGCGATGCGTGATAGACTTTTAAGGATTTTCATCGCGCGAAGAGGTGAACCGCGGGAATATTAACCTTTTTCAAAAAGCCGATGCGCGAACCGTGGCAAGAAGAACGTTTTACACTATAAAACATGCCTACGATATTACATATGGTACGCAATACATACATATGCGTACCTGTGTACGTATATCGTTCAATGGATTATATTGTGTTGCGTCTTACGTACAAAACGATAAGGTGAAGCCAAATGTGTTTTTAAGTTTTAATGAAACATCCTAAATATATATCGGTTCCTTTGTTTTTTGATAATACCAGTTAGTACCTACTTACTAGCGTTAGATATCAGTAGAAGTAGTTAACGTTTAATATTTAATTCAACGAAATGGAATTTACAACGATATTTAGCCAGAATGGCAAACAATTAATAGTGTCAAACAATTTTAAATATGAATCAAAAATAAGTGATAACATTAAATGGGAACATGCAAGACGCAACATAACATAATTAATTAAACGATATACATACATAGTTACACATAGGTAGATATATATGATTTAGGAAATGTATAGCATATAATATCGTAGGTATACAAAATGAATCGCTGCAGCTTACTTAAATTTGCGAGAAAAATTCCACCGGTATAGATGTTGAAGATTTTCCCGGCTCTCCGTTCCCCATGCGGTATAAGCGCTGTCATACAAGTCCATAATAGTTTGCCGACATTATTATTACCTGTTTACACTTGCATGCGTAATCTTATGTTGGTAAATTTTTTAGGAAAAAATTATGAAAAAATATCCATCACGATAGCGTGAATGCAATACCATGTACTCGTAAGCCACATGGTGAAAATACTATAACTATCACACACACACACACACACACACACACACACACATTCATTATTTACTATCAGCAATCACGCACACTTGATACTGTGAGTGCGAAATTAAAAGTGAAATTCGTACGGTGATACTTCCGCGAGAGAACCTTTCCCGAGAGCTACTGTCGTGCATGCGACAAACGAATAAAGTTAGACGTTATACCTGTACAACGGCTTTCCGCCCGACGACATTTTCTTGTTCTTCGATTTGCTGTTCCGATGACGGATCGTTGAATGTTGCTGATGGTGCTTGAACCACAACACCATGTAGGCTCGATCCTCTACCGTATTGGTCAAGTCTTTCGATTTGCCACCTTCTCCGCCGCTGCCGGTCGTCACGGATTTTTGTGATTGCTTCGGTAAGCCCTCGTTGTCACCACCGCCAATGTCACATGGTAGCAAAGCTATTGAACCACGAACTGCAGTTACTTTCACCGTGCTCACTGTAATAATATTTCAAATTATAACGCACGTACACGAGAATAAAATTATTATCTTTTTCAATACAAACGTTTATTCAGTTATTTATTATCATTAAGTCATGTTTATTGAATAAATACATACACAAATACACACAAACGTACACTCGTAATCGCGGTAAGTACGATGGACATCATTGAATGTAATAAACGACATTCGACATTGCAGTGTGTTTGAGAATCAAACCAGCTGTTACGCGTATCAATAAGATTTTTTTCCAACTACAAAAAGGAATTTTCTATGAAACTACCATAAAATGTTTCTATCAAAATAATTTTAAAAAACTTTATCTATAGTAAATATTATATAGTTTATTCAATATCAATAAATGGTATCCTTATTATTAAAATTAAATTTCAAACGAAGTAGCATCTGGAAACATATAAATCAACAATTACATAAACTCCAAATTATTTTATATAATAATGAATAAAAAAATTAAAATGAGTCGGATGAAAATTAGTCTTCAAAACATCATTTGTTTTGTGTGATAACTATAGATAAGAAGTAAAATTAACAATATTCTATATGACAAATTTGTTTCTTTTTTTTGTACGGTACTTCAACAGTGAAATAATGTGTATCTTATTTAAAATATAACTAAAAAATGGTCACAATGAGTAGAAAAATATACTTTTCTAAACAGTAACTGAGAAAAAAAGGCATAAATTAAAATTAAAGTATAGATATCTTATTCATTCAATTATCTCAGAGGTCGAATTGAGAATATATTACTGAATATTACATTTATTTTTAAGTTACATTTTCATAACATCCAGGAAGGGTAAAGGATAATGTAACGGATAATTTTATACTCGTATATCATGACAATAATATTATAATAATATACAGATACCTATAGTGTATATTATATTAGATTATGATTTAAAATATATGTTTGTAGGACCGCCCAACAAACAAAATCAGTCAAATGACATTACCATCACGCCGTCGTCTTCAAGCGAAAATATAATTATCATTAATATAATGAAAATTACGAATATATTATAAAACACTGTATGTGCGTAATCATTCGTCATTGTACGTCAGTATATATAATGCGTGGTGGCAGACTGCATAGTAATAATAATAATGATAATAATAATAATACTATCCGGTATCTGCTCACCTCGTCTCGAATATTTTAATAATTCGATTCTCGTCGACGGATTGTATATGTGTTTGTGTTTGTGCACGCATGCGTATGTATACAAATATTAATAATAATTCTATTAAAACTCGGCAGCGGCAGTGACGACGATGACGATCCCATTATTTTGTAAAATTAACATGGAGTTATTATAATAATAATAATTACTAATGTCATCTTGTTCGAGTAGCACGTCGGTGTTGCCCGATGAAAATAAGAAAAAATGGACGTTAAATAATACTATTATATGTAAATAAATATAAAATATATTACATGCACACACACACACACACACACACACACACACACATACGCTCACATATACATATACACATGGTCGGTATCATCGTCGTAACATAAACGACTTAGCCAACATTCACCACCGGCATACGCGATCGTTTTGATCAAATTGTTATTTTAGACCGGTCTATGACGAAGGGATGGCGGTAGACGACGGCGCACTGACGACGTGTGTGCATGTGTTCACGTGTATATGTGTGTAAGTGTGTGTACACCGCTTACCGGGTAAAATAGCCTATAGAAAAAGCAATAAATAACGTTGGTGGGGTAAGGGAGGCTGTCGTATTTAAATTGGACATTACCTCCGGTGAGAGTTAAAAAAAAGTGTTACTGAGTGGCGGCAATAGCGGCGTAAAATAAATAGTACAAACTATTTTACATATATACGTGTACAGTATATGGCGGCCGTACAGCGATAATGGCAGGGGGCACTCTTAGAACATCATGCGTACGAAGGGGGACACCCGCTGAACGACTTTGTGTTCTGCGGGTAATGTGTGTGTGATTTGACATTGTCTCGTTTTTCATCGGTGCGATGTCGAAAAGGAGAAGGATTGGATAAGGTGTACAAACGTGTATTGTAACTATGTACAAACACACACACACACACACACACATATATATGCGTGTGTGTCTTGGTGCGTAGATGTATATAGAGACTACAACGATGACGACGATTACGATAATAATAGTAACAGTAGAAGTAGTAGGGGTAGTGGTGTAGAGGTAACGGTTTAAAGATGATCGGGTGAAAATGGAAGGGTGGTGGTTCTGAGAGGTAAAGTAGCGGCGGACCGTGATGACAATCGTCGTTGTTGGTCGTTGACGTTTATATTTTATATATATACATATAAGTGTATGTATTTTATGTATAAATGCATACATTAGAAAAAATATACACATGTGCCGCACCTGTAATCGAAAAATAACGGATAAGAGGTGCAGGGGAAGAGGGGTTCTGTTCGAGGATAACCGAAATAATAACGATAAATAGAATAGGAGTCTTAGAAAAAAAAAGAAAGAAAAAATAAGAGGTGAATGCCGCGAATGCATATTATGACATGGAGAGGAGGGAGAAAGCAGAAAAGGTAACAAACGGTAGGTAAAATTTTTAACATGAAAATCGACAAGTAAAACATTTGGAAATAAATCAAAACATGTACGAGTACATCGGTAGGTTGAAATGTATAATCAAGTGAAATGTTACAGTTAACATTTAATATTGATAGGAGATTTTTGCTGGTTTTTTTTTTATCCTAATAATGTTGAAAATTACCGATAAAAAAAAATTAAAATTATAACTTCTCGACTGAGAAAATGTCATAAAAAAATTGTTTGCCTGAGTCATTATAGCTAATTATTTAATACTTACACGGTAATATTTACAACTAACCGGTTATTAATTAAGTTTATTATAATGTAAATAAAAAAAGTAAGCTTATTTTAATTAATCAATTTAACTTACTTAATGTACAATAGTGACGTATTAATTTAAATTAATCCTCAATGCTTTACTATAATATGACCACATCAAATGAATTCAATTCGTATGACAATATATTACATAGTCTGCTTATATTTATATTTTATGTGCATTTAATAACTATATTATAATAAATATAATATTTATGTTTATTACGCAATAAAACTATTCAATATGAGCGATTTAGATGAATAAATTTTTCGCAAATGGTTTCATATCTGCCTATGACATTATAATGGTTAAATATCATATAAAAAAGGTATGATATATTTCTAGAAAGTTTTATAAACCACAAAATATAAAAGTTAAGATGTATACAAAAATAATAACAAACTTCCAATTAATTGTCAATATTCAACAGTAACTATTTAAACAATTGAAATGCCCACATATCTATTTTATTCTGATGACTGAAATTGTTCGTATTTCATGAAATAATTCATATCAAAGCTTTGTTATTAAGAATCGAGTCGCTTACATATTGCTTGAAAATTGTAAATTAAAATTAAAAACTGATTCATAGTATATTAATTATTATAGCTGATTATCTATAACTCATTAAATCAATAAGCAGTTTTGGATCTACAATTTCCAATATAAGAAATTTAAATTAATTATGTGGTCTAGGCAAATAATTATTTGATTGTCATTAATGTAGCAAAACTGCCTATACAAGACGCCGTGCTATTACTGTAATTAAGTGTAATATTTGATTTTCAGTAACATCGATCAAATTTATAATCCTCAAAAAGAGTATATTCATGAGTAAATATTATTGGATTTAAATATTTTTTTCAATTTATGAATTAAATTAACAAAATAATATAAGTAAATATCGATTGGTAATGTTCAAATTTAATACCATTTTTGTATTATATAGTATTTGTAAGTCTTTAAATGAAATTAACAGGTTTATCTAAGTACTTAAAATATTCATACCTATTTTAAGATGATAAACTTAATAAATATTATCAAATTAAATCTAAAATTAAATCATAACAATATCTTCATAAAATTAATATTTTATATTTCACTGTAATTTAAATTTGGAACGTTCATAAAAAATAATTGTTTATGAAGATTTTCGAGATATTTTTTATATACTATAAGAATACGGTTAGTAGAATTAATTTTGAATTTAAATTTCTAATCTTATTGCGAAAATTAAAAATTGTATCAAAATAAATCTAAAATTAAATCATAATATTATTTTTTTGGCTATACATTAATCGTAATTTAAAATTTTGAAGTCTCCAAGAAAAAAAGTAAGTGTACATTTTCATAATACTTTTTTTTTGATTTTGTACTATTTTCGATTAAAATATTTGAATTATATTCTAATTCTGATGTTCTGGGATTCTGATACTGTATGCAATTTAATAAGTATAAAATGAATGCATTTAAATACACATAGTACATAACGCTTTCAGATGTTGTTCTACTTAAAAATAGATCAACTATTTACTTTTTCAATAGTTTTATTCAATTTATATGTAATTTACTATTATATTTATAAATTGTTAAAAAAAAAAAAATTAAAATTTTTGCTATCATTTATATTTTAAATAAAACCACGTCATCAATATTTTATTAGAAATAAATCAATTTACAAAATATATTTCAATTTACATGGTACTTGCTTAATGCAAATATGTAAGTACCCAAGTAAAATTTAATTTTATAGTTATTGTATAATTATTGTTTCATGTGACAGACGTAAACCTAAATTGAAAATCAAGCTCAAATACATATTAAATTTTGTATTAGAGTTGTTACGTTGTTGCGCGCGTCCGCGCATGTGTGTGCGTGTGCGTCTATTTCAAATTGAAAGGGTTGAATAACGGAGAAAAAGGTAAACATCATATCTGTTTATAAAACGCTTTATCGTAGCTTAAGTGTTTAGCTATATGGTTAACGTGAAGGTAAGTTAATTTAAAAATGTATTTTAATCGCATTTGTTATTATAATAAGACCATCAACAGTAACGTAATATTCAAAGGTCGACATTGTACTTTCAAGTGCTGATACTT